ACAGAAATGTTGTGTAGGATCCTGCACATTTAATAAAGGTGGTTCAGACATTTTAAGATATATTTTATCAGGAATTATTTCATTGAATTCTTAGAAAGAATTGGTAATGAATTTTTGTCAAATGTTCTTTCAGCATCTGTGGAAATAGGTGAATTTTTTCTCCTTATGGTACATTTCTGGAGTAAACTAGACTTTGCCATAATGTATTATTGTACTATGTATTGCCAAATTGTTTGTCAATATATTTTCTAAGATATTTTGCATTGACATTTACAAGTATTATTGTTTAAGAAAAAATGATTCATCTGTGCTTGTTACAAATGGCCAAGAAGACCGTTCAAGGGGGAACTCCCTTGGTAGCACAGGGGCCATTGCCGTGGGGTCTTGCAGAGGAGGAGAGAGCTTGAGCTCAATCCTAAATACAACAAGGAAAAGTAGAAATTTATAGCCAAAGAACAGGGGTGTCAGTGTATGAAAAAATTACTAAGAGGAAACATTGAGTGCAAGGGGAATTCTGGTTAAAATGGCCTAACAGAATCCTTGCTGAAGGCAGGCAGAGGTGATCGGATACCTCCTGGGGGGTGGTGAAGGATAAGGAGCTTGATGAAATGGTGATGAGGCACGGAGGATGGAGAATTCTGGCTAAACCACCCAAGCAGGATTCTCCATAAAACCAGACAAAGTAGAGATGAACAGAGAAACCCAACAGTCGGCCTAATTGAAAAAGAACTTGGAAGAGACTGGGAGGCAAGGAGAGAATATCATTATGGTCTCTAATTTACTTCTCAATGAATTTTTTTGTATTTTGGAATTTGTGATACTTGCTTTAAAAAAAGGTTTGGAACATTTTCCTTTTAATATATCCTCAGGACCTCTTAAGTCACAAACTTTTGCTTTTAAGAGATCATTATCATAGCCCTAGCTAAAATTACATCAGCATTTTCTGTGTGTTAGGCAGTCCTGTAGGTTACTCACTACTAAGAACCCCATGTGTCTGGGTACCATGATTTTTTTCCATTTTTGCAGATGAGAAAGCTGAGGTGCATAGATATTAAGTACTTCACCTTGTACTAGTAACTAGCAGGCTTTTCCAGGCTCCAGAGTCCATGCTCTTATGCCCAGAAATTGAGTTCGTCATGAAACCAAATTGTAAAAAGAGATCGCAGGGGTTCATTGTTTTTTCATGTCCCATACCTGATTTCCTTTAGGATCATCCTGGCTTATTTTACGTGGTTGGTTGTTTTGGTTTTGGAAAGTTACACAACAGAAATAAACCTCACAATGACATCGCTCTGAAGCAGCCTGGCATGCAATGCAGATGTCTTCAAATAAAACGAGAGAATTGGGACTTGTCAAATTGAGCAATTATGGGAGGATTATGTATATGATCAAAAATCTAGTACCTTATTTCAATAGTAGATTTCCTTAAACAGTAAACTGTCTCTATGTTCCACCATAAAGCATTTAAAATATTAAGCAAATTAGATTTAAGTAATCTGTAACGTTGGGTAGGCTTAACTATTAGGAATGGAAAGTTGGTTAAGGTAACTGCATTCCACACAGATTTTCTCAAACATTTTAGTTAACACGTTCTTTAGACGAAAAGATCGTGTACTTTGGCACCTGTTGCCAGCATTTCTGATCAGGCTACCACTGTATATACTTCCAGGTTGCTACAAATCCACAAAGAATTTTGTAGTGCAGAATAGAACTAGAAATCTCCTTTTTTTAGTTGTTTTATTTGTCTGTGCCTGTGTTACCAATCAAGTGCAAAAACTGCTGAAATGCATGAATGTTGAGAATTTTAATGAGCAGAGAGAGCCAGCATGTGCTCCCCAGTCCCAACATCTGTTCCAATTTGTAATTGGCTGCAACAGCCTTTGCTTTATGCAAAATGACTGTGATCATAACAAAAATTACTTTTAAATTGCTTGTATAACCATATGTCTGTTATTTTTCTAATATTTCAAGTCTTTCCTTAAAAACTGCTTAGGCAGAGTTGAATTAATGTGTATCAAGGAAGGAAATAAAAGACTAGCTCTAAGAGACTTTGTCACCATGAGAACAGTTTAAGGAAAATAGGTGGGGAAAGAGGGGCAGAGGGGGAAAAATTGGAACAACTGTAAGAGCATAAACAATAAAAGAAAACCATATAAAACAAGGTAAAAAAGAAAAACACTTAGCTTTATCCAGAGTTTTAGTAAAAGAGCCTTTTGAGGACTATTTAAGACAGCAACATAATTTTCAGGGTTGAGTGCAAAACAAAAATGAAGGGTTCCTGGTTCAAAAAATGGGTAAAAAAACTCATCATTGAAGGTACCAAAGCATAAAGTTTTCCCCTTTCTTCCATAGTCTCTCTCAACTTGTCAGGCTGTTATTTTATTTGCTACTTAATGTCACTTAGGTAAACAAAAATTAAAATTTTTTTATTATCAGCATGCATTTTACCATTTATTATTATATTGTGCAATGCTAGTTTTATGTGCAAATGTAGGAGCCTTTAACTCCTAAGCAGGATCACTAAAGTTACACAGTTGTTTTATTGTCCATGTGTACGTATGTATTTCATTTTTATCAGAACAGTGGGAATGTGCAAAACTAACTCAGTTTTTTGCTTCATTCCTTGATATGTGCGCATCCTACCAATACTCTGCCTTCGACTTGCTTATGGATGAGGGAGAACTGAAAAGGAAAGAACCTAGGGTTGCTCCAACTCTCCTTTCTACATCACTTTCAGCATAAGTAGTTGGTGAATATAAGGACTAACGTGAATTAAGAAAGAATAGAATAGGATTCCTTGGTCATTTGTGTTTCTTAAAATGCCTTGCCTCTTTCTGCATTGAACCAAGTTCTGGTTCAAATCAGCGGCCCCCTCCAGGCTCCCCTACTCAGCCATAGATGTAATACACTTACCTTGTTGTACCTTTGAGCCCTGCTGAGCAATCAGGCAATCATGGCTCCTTTGGAGTGCCAGCCTAAGGGGGCAGCTCTAGTGCGGTCCGTGAGTGGGAAAAACTGTAGATGTGTGTATTGTTCCTGTCTTCTCTGCTCACACACACACTCCATTGCCCCATCTAATTTCCTTTGCAAAACATGAAGTCAAAAACAAAAGTATTAAGAATTTCACGATGGTGACAGGAGGTTATTAAATGAAGCTTGGGACTTGTGTGAGCATGGGACTTGGTGACTGTATACACACGAAGCTGCCCATGAAGTGCCTGTGAAGCTGACTCTGCCTCAGGGGCTTATCTACAGATGGGGCGATCATTAGATGGGTCAAGTAAGACTGACCGAAGGAGTAATTAAGTTATGAATGGAAAGTGCTCAACAAGTATCCTGCACCGGCAAAGTACTCAATACATGGTAGTTTCTTAATAACTATGTCACTTCATATCCCAAATAAAATCAGGAAATGGTTATTGTAGTCCTACTAGGAAATTTGATTTAGGTTAAGCATTTCTTAGATAAGCTTCACTAAACATGCTATGCTTTCAAACACGTGAGAGTCAGAAACACAATGAATGCTCCCTTATCTGTGTTGTGCTCAGGAGGCAACTATAGGATGCTCATGCAAGGCTCTGACGTCAGTTCAGGAAGCTCCCTGGTTTACCTCATGGGGTCATCAATTACCCCGGCAGGCTCTAGCAAACAGGGCTGTGTGAAGTGTCCAGGAAAAAAAGGCTGGAGTCATTAAAGGTGGCTGAATTGCCAGGTTGCCTTCGGTTAAGAAATGGTCAGCTCTGTAAAGCCTTGGGCAGACCTTCCAGACTCACAGAGGGGAGACATTTGAACCCAAAATGAGAACCATATGGAGCAGTGAGATTGGCCTGAGCAAGTAGGGGTGCTCTCTTGTTGACTGCAGCATCCAAATGAAACTTGGAGTAGAATGGGTACAGGATCCAAAGTTACTGAAGACATTGCAGATAATGCTCATCAATTTTTTAGTCCAGTGGAGCTGCTTGTACAGTGCTATTTAGTATGCCCAAAGAGTATTTGTCCTATTAGATGTATTTAAACCAAGCATTCATCTTGGAAACATCAATTTACAAAGGATTATTTGGCCCTGGCTGGTGTAGCTCGGTGGATTGAGTGTGGGCCCTTGAACCAAAGGGTGGCTGGTTTGATTCCCAGTCAGGGCACATGCCTGGATTGCGAGCCAGGTCCCCATTTGGGGGCATGCAAGAGACAACTACACATTGATGTTTCTCTCCCTCTCTTTCTCCTTCTCTTCCCCTCTCTCTAAAAATAAATAAATAAAATCTTTTTAAAAACGATTACTTGCTCAAAGTTATTAGCTCATGATTGAGTTAGCACAAACTGATTATTTAAACATCATTTTATTTAAAACCTAAATATTTTAAAAAGACATTCACGAACAATTTATTATTTTCCACTGGCATAGTTTAGGTTAAAATTATAGCAACCTAAAATTGAGAATTTGTTTTGTTTTAAAGTTGTTCATAAAAATAACTGGTTAGATATGATAACTGGCTGAGAAATTATGCAGCAGGATAAAAAATAGGGCATTATAAACACTTGTATTTCCACAAAAGTGAGCAATTTTAGCTCATACAACAGGTGACATGATCCACGTGTCTCATGCAAGTAGGATTTTCCTTGTCCGATTTTAGCATCTGGCTGACCCTCTGTGGAGAAGAGGTAACAGAAGAGATATAATCTGAATTTTTAAAAATCTCTTGGCGGAGAAAAGGATTGATGAATATTTGATATGAAAACCATGTCTATTAAGATTCTTTTAAGACCTATCCCCTGCCCCTATCCATTTGGTTTTGAAAACCTGTATTCAATTTTCATTTTAAAAACTGAACTAAACTGAACTATTCAGAAAGTATTAAGTTTCCAAATTCCTGGGTCCACTCATCCACTGCGGTTACAGTGACTAAAGCCGGGGAACACTGAGTCAGGGCTGCCTCTGCTGTTGCAAATGAGGCTCTTCCTCAAAGAATTTGATTCACAAATACAGTCATTATTATTTCCAGATGCGGAGCCGAAATATCTGATTGTGGTGCGGCCTGCCCCTGTGCCAAGTCAAAAGAAGTCATGCTCAGGTATTTCTCATTCATTTTGTTTTTTATTTATGGCTTTTCATCTCTTTCTGACCCATGGAAACCCAGTGCCGTGGGGGAGCCTTAAGAATCTAGATTAGACAATCAAACAGGCACAGCAGGCTCTGGTCTGCTAACAGATTAGTAGCACAGCGCCGTGGCAGGGACTTCTCGGGACCCTATCCCAGTGTGGCCACATACAAGCTGCAGGGCTGTGGGCTCATTACAGAACTTCTCTGCGACTCTCTTCTGCTGCATAATTAGGGTCACTCAGAGGATTAGACAAGTTCATGGATATGCCACACCTAGATGGGCCAGCCCATAGCAAGTCAAGTACTCACTGAGGGTTGCTCCTGCTAGTCTGTCTGTATCTCGAAGTGTGAATTTAGGTTTTATTTACTCTTGATCTCTCCCTTCTAAACATCTTCTATTTAGTCAAATATAGAAGAACTCCTTTCATAAAACAGCAACACAGCACCTAATTTCCCAGGGTTAGGAAATCTTGAAACACAAACATAGATACGTGTGAATGAACGAGTAGAGACATTTTCACACGAGTAAAGGAAGATTAAAATCCTCTTTGAAATTGCCTCAGTTTCACTACTGAAGTTTTTTCTCAGATCACACAAGCTGGCCATTGCCCCAAGGAAGGACCAGTAGAGCTGAGAAGGTGATTTTACTGTCTGATAGCACACCTTCCTAACTGTAGATAGAGTTGATCTTGTTTTCTAATGTGAACTATTCTCAAAATAATTATTTCCCAGTCATACTTATATAGCGCACTGGATGCCACACACAAAAGAAGGAGCTTCTGCTCTGTTTCGTTCCATCTTTCTTAAGGTACAAAATGGGTAAGGAGGGCATCCAGAGCTTCATCCCCAGCAGAGGGGCCTTCGGCAGCCGTGTGTTCTGTCCTCTCCATGTGCCTGCCAAGCCTGGTTACCAGAAATCAGTTGCCTCAATCCTCTCCTCCCTCATTCTGTTGTTTTCCACTTCTTTTAAGAGAAGCAATAAATGGTCATGCATTTTGAAAATAAGATTATGTTTTTTTCTTGACCTATTATATTATCCCAAAGTGCAAGGAAAATCTCAGTCACTCCTTATAATTTGTTAATGATAGTTGTCCAGGCAGCTTTCCATATACTTCAAAATAAATATACTCACAATATTCCAAGACTCTATTTCCAAATACTTAAAAAATAAAATCAAGAAGCATGAGTCTGATTCCATGAGATTCTGGCTTCAGACTCATTGAACTTTTTCTTAGTGCAAATATGATCACAGTAAAATACACAAAAACACATAAGGAAAGTAAAGAGAGTGATTACACATTGGTAGCCCCTTCTAACTTCATTTCTTTTCATTTGGGGGCTTCTTTGACACTAGCCTTGATGTTAATTTTCACTTTGTGATGACCAGTTCAGGAAATTATGTCATCTCACTCAGGATATAATACCCCACCTTTCCTTTCAGGCAATGGATATAATCTTTGTTTTTGTAATCTGTGCTTGAAAGTGGTAAAATGACTAGTGGATTTGCTTTGCTTTGTTTTATATGTGTATCTACCACATAAATTTTAATTATTTAGTCATTTTATATTAACATCGAAACTTAGTGAAATAATCATTTGATGGTCATGTAAGCCTTAGGTTCCCTTAGTAAGAGAAAAATCTATCTTTGGTCTCTAAGCAGCACGTACCATATTTTTTGGACTATAAGACATACTCCCCCCCCCCAATTTGAGAGGAAAATGCATTGGTGGCCCTGCTCCTGCCTCCTGTGACCCCACTCCACCACTGCCCTCCCCCACACAGCGAGCCAGGTAAGCTACAGTTGGACTATAAGACACACCCCCTTTTCTCCCAGATTTGGCGGGGAGTGCATCTTATTGTCCAAAAATACATAATTCATACATTGTGAGTTAAACTAATAATGTAGTAAAAAGAAAATTAGATACAAATGCAGGAGAGCTAGATTTTATTCTTGACTTTTTTTTTTAGTGTGATGTTGGCCACCCTTGCCATTTCTCTGGACCTATCCATATTCATCTGTAAAATAAGATGACATTAGTGGAAATCAACTCGGAAGGGGGAAAGGCATACATACCTCAGGGCTTTTTCAAACTACATGCATTCCCAACCCTCATCTCAGATCGTAGTCTTCCCCCCTTGGGGGCCAGACGTGGACCCTTTGAATAACAATCATGCCAGATACTATGGATGGATAGATCTGGAAAAACCTACAGAGAAGTATAAATGCATGTTTGCAACCAAGGAAACAATGAGTATCATTGGAAATTATTTTAAATATCTCCTAAAAACTCAGCTATGTTACAGTGAGGCAATTTGTCATCACTAGGTTACGTATTTTCTGGGCTCAGAAAGCTTTTCACTGGAGTAACAATTTGCAGAACTTAAACTTCTAGTAGAAGTTAACAGTATGACACCATTTTCAAGGGTTTTTAGATAATTTCCACCAAGCTCATGCAATGGGTACCTTCCTACCCCTTGGTTCACACTGCATTAGATTAAGATGACACAAGTCTATCCTACAGAAAATACAACAGCTGTAGTTTCATGAAAGGATAGGGAACTCCAATGGGCATACAAACTACATATGTATTGTGTTAGCTCTATGTAGTTTTATTAGGTCTGCTATTGGATTTTTATTTTATTTCGATTTCTTTAGTGAACCAGTGTTGCGTTCCATGGCTGGGGATCTTCCCTACTCCTTTTTACTGTTTCCACTCTTGTAGTTTCAAATATTTTTGAAAATGCAAATGTCTGCTGTCCCCTATATACTTAAAAAGAATCTACAGTGCTTTATCAGCCTCGCTCTAGACCCTGTCCAAATCTACTTAGTCCTGTCAGACTAACTGCTTCCTACATGATTTCTACTCTTCTAGCATCATTAAAAATGTATGCACGTTTTCTACTACTCACTGTAAAAATATTCTTATTTCAATAGTATTATGGGTATTTTACACTTCTAAAAAGGTTTTAAAAACAATATAACCTACAACCTAAAGGATAAGCTTTCTTTTCTCTTCTTAGATGTTATTTCATACTAAATCAAAGTTCTAGGGGAAAAATTTGCATGTTTTTTCTGTAAAAGACATGAAGTGAGTGTGTGTATATACATTTATTCATATATGTATATGTGAATACTGTATGTATATGTACATGGAAATGTGTGTGTTTATTTACTTCACTGGTAATAGCCAAGACCTCCATATTCATCTCTGACTTACAAGAACATAAAAATTAGATATAATTGGATATAGTTCATAAGCATATATTACACTATATGAATCCATACATATATACACATATATACATATATACACACATAAATACCACAAAGGAATATTTCATTCAATTCATGCTTAAATTCATTATCAGAGAATTAATAATATTTGGGCATTATATGAAAAGAAAAAGAACTTGCTACTTTCAAATTCTTCATTATCTTACTACTTAAGTCAGCTTTATGCATTTTACCCCAATCATGAAAATACATCAAATACTACTAGAATTAACCTGTATGTTACTTCCATAGGCAAAAGACGGTCTCGCAAACCTCTCCAGCTGGTGGTTGGCACTCTGACACCAAGCTCTGTGTTCCTGTCCTGGGGTTTCCTTATTAACCCACACCATGACTGGACATTGCCGAGTAACTGTCCCAATGACAGGTAATTCATCATAATGGAAGACTTTATTGTTTATCTGAAAATTAGTGCTTCCTTTATCTAGTTTTTATACCTGTTTCAGAAGAACATATTAATACCAGGAACATCAGCATTTACAGATCAACTCTTAGCTCTCCAGCCTATTCTGAGTATAAGGGGAATGCAATGACCTAACTTGCTCTTAAAGGAGTTATCACCCACCAAATGGAAACCCATGCAAGTATTGTTTGCTTAACAAAGAATAAACTACCAGGGAGAATAAATAAACCCAGGTAGCAAATAGGGAGGTTCAACAAGGAGTATATTAAAAGTTCAGAGGATGAGGCTGAGGGTAACTGGGGAAGACTGTTAAAAGTTGGGAAGGTTGCTCTTGGACTGGGAAAGAATGGATTGTTGATCTGGCAGTTAAAGTAGGACTAGAAGCAGTAGTTCTCAAAGTGCGGTTCCTAAACCAAGCAGCACTCGCATCAACCTCACCTGGAAACTTGTCAGAAATGGAAATTCTGGGGGTCCCCCTCCACACCTACTGAATCAGAAACTTCGAGGGTGGGGCCCAGTCATCTGAATTTCAGCAGCCCTCCCGGTGATTCAGGTGAGCACTAAGTTTGAGAATCACTGGCTTTGAAAATCTGGAGGTGCACACACACAGGGAGAAATGGAAGTGGAGGAGAAGCACAGAGTTGGAAATGAGGCTATCATTTCTTTGACAAAACAGAGTAAGAAAAATCTAAGTGTATTTTTCAGTTTCTGCCACTCAGCCACCCAACACATGTGTCTGAACCTGTTGATATGCTGGGCACCGTGCTAAATGCTGAACCATAATGCTAAATAGGTTAGTCAGCCAAGGTATTTATTATTTTTTATTTAATTTTTTTTAATTTAAAAAACACTCAGTGATTTTCAAATTTTAGAGGTTGCTTCATTCCCTTTATTAAATAAAAAATTATTTGGTATAACAAACCTAGTAAGATGCATTGATCTTAGGTGTGCAGTTACAAAAATTGTATATATTTATGTATTCTACATCCCATCAATAAATAGTACATTTTTTATTATTAAATGATTTTATTTAAATGTAAAGTGCATTCTCTGCTTGAAGTTTCTTCTCTAAGAATGAAATGTGACTTTTTAAAAGGAAGATATTGTAATAATTGTTAATAATAAATATGTACACACTTAGAAGCATACAATTATTGGATAACCATTCAGGAGCCTATGTGAAAATCAAACCCACTTAAAATTATGAAGCCCTTTGTTCTTTTCTCACTTCTCCCCATAAGGGGGTCATTGAAGCTTTTAAAATTTTTTTCTGAATATTTTCTTTCTTTTTTATTGTTCAAGTACAGTTGTCTCCATTTCCCACTACTCTCCCCACCCCAGCCATCTCCACCTCCTACCCCCGATCCTACTCCCCCTTGGGTTTGTCCATGTGTCCTTTATACACGTTTCTTGATGACCCTTTCTCCTGCTCTCCCCAGTATCCCATCCCACCTCACCTCTGGTTACTGTCACTTTGTTCTTAATTTCAGTATCTCTGGTTATATTTTGCTTGCTTGCTTGTTTTATTGATTAGGTTCTACTTATAGGTGAGATCATATGATATTTGTCTTTCACCACTTGGCTTATTTCACTTAGCATAATGCTCTCTAGTTTCATTCATGCTGTCACAAAGGGTAGGAGCTCCTTCTGTCTCCCTGCTGGGTAGAATTCCATTGTGTAAATATACCAAAGTTTTTTATCCACTCATTTACTGATGGGCACTTAGGTTGCTCCCAGTACTTGGCTATTGTAAATTGTGCTGTTATGAACATTGGGGTGCATAGGTTCTTTTGAATTGGTATTTCAGGATTCTTAGGGTATAATCACAGCAGTGGAATTGCTGGATCAAAAGGCAGGTCCAATTTTAGTTTTCTGAGAAAATTCCATACTGTTCTCTACAGTAGCTGCACCAGTCCACATTCCCACCAACGGTGTACTAGGGTTCCCTTTTCTCCACATCCTCTCCAACACTTGTTGTTTATTGATCTGTTAATGATGGCTATTCTGACTGGCGTGAAGTGGTATCTCACTGTGAAATAGTACATTTCCATCATCCCAGAAAATACATTCCTCAGGAAGCAACCACTGATTTGATTTCTATCACCATAGATTAGTTTTGCCTACTCTGGAATTATACAAAAAATGGAATAATACAGTATGTTCTCTTTTTGTGACTATTTACTTTCATTCAGCATGTTTTTGACATTCATTTATGACATTGCAGGTATCAATAATCTATTCTTTTTTTATCCCTGAGCAGTATTCCATTATGAAAATATTCCAGAATTTATTTGTCCATTTTCTTGCAGATGGACACCTGAATTGTGTTGTGTTTTGGTTATTATATTCATAATATAATTTTATAAACATTTTTGTATAACACTTTTATAGACATAGCTTTTAATTTCTCTTACATACCCAGAAGTAGAATTCCTAGTTCTCAGGAAAACTGTATACTTAATGTTTCTTTTTTGTTTTGTTTTTTTGTCTAACTTTTCCATTTATACTCCCAAAAGCAAGATATGAAGAGTTCAGATTGCTCCACATTCTCACCAGCACTTCATGTTATTAGCACTTTTCACCTCGGTTATTCTAGTGTAGTTACGTATTGTTACCATTTTGATATGTGCATTTCTCATGTATTCAGGTGTTGAGCACTCTTTCATGTACTTTTTGGCCAAAATATGTATTCTTGTAGTGCTTATTTTTGTCTAAATTGGACTAAAAAGAAAGATCTTTAAAAATGTTTGTAAGTCCTCAAAATTATCTTTCATATGCCTTTGTTTAGGAAATGTAGACTAAGAAAAAATTAAATTTCCCTTCACATATCCATTCCACAGTTCTGAAGGAAGGAATTCTTGGGAAAAGACATGTGGAAAATATTGCCAAAACCAAATTTTTGAAAAATAATTGTGAGATGTTTCAAAGAATCAGAAATGTTTCTTATTTCACCCATTACTAAACTCATACTTATTTTATTTGGAAAATGCACTCTTGAGAGAACATGCTTTCTTGTGATAATTCCAGTTTCTGGTGGATTGGTCCATGGCGCCAGTGCTAAGAAATAAACATTTATGAATTGCATTTTTTAAAAAGATAATTTTAGTATCTTATTTAAAAAGAAAGGCTAAAGGGGAAGAGGGGGGAAATGGGGAGAGAGAGGGAGAAAGGGAGGGAGGGAAGGAAGGAAGGAAGGAAGGAAGGAAGGAAGGAAGGAAGGAAGGAAGGAAGGAAATTTGGTACAATTATAACAAAATACAGTTGATTTTAATGGTTCTTCAACTCGCTTGATAAATCCTTGTGGTTAAGTAACCTGAAAATTCATGTGGCATAATTTGGATATGATTACCTTCCCATCCTCAAGCCTTTTCTTCAATCTCACCTGGTCCTACTGATCCTTCCATGAAAGAATTTATCTAATGACTGATTCTAATTGATAAATGTTGTCATGGTTTGATAGCACAAACAGATAATGAATGTGGAGAAGATAGAGGAGCAGATGGTCCAGTGGAGTTAGGATTTTTTTAATCAGGGCAGTTGGCTCCCAGGCCCAAGCAACTCAGACCATGCAGGCACCTCACCCCTACCCCAGGCACACACCCTGGCTCTGCCTTTCTCATCAAATAGAGGGAGTCAGGCCTGTCCAATTATAATATTTAAAATAAATAATTTCATTTAGAATAAAATGTCTTAAAAATTAAATAATAGCAGGTCAAAATGCTTGCAAGGGGCCCTGGATGGTATAGCTCAGTGGATTGAGCACGGGCCTGCAAACCAAAGGATCGCAGTTTGATTCCCAGTCAGGGCACATGCCTGGGTTGCAAGCCAGTTCCCAGCAGGGGACGCATGAGAGGCAACCATACATTGATGTTTCTCTCCCTCTCTCCTTCCTTTCCCCTCTAAAGACAAATAAATAAATAAACAAATAAATAAATAAATAAATAAATAGTTTTTAAAAAATGCTTGCAAGCTTTCACACTTGAGTGAATGAGAGAATCAAGGCATGCTTGGTGGAAATAGAGAACTGATAGGACATAATTAAAGGGGAAGAATTAAACTGTAATGACTAAAAAGAGGCACTTGGAGTATCTGTGAATTTCATTTACCCACGCCTCCATTCTCCCTAGTTAATAAAGAGCTGACATATTAAAGTCTTTGCGTGTTTGAGAAAAAAAATAGTAGTCCCTATTTAAAAGCTCTGGCAATACTGTACACAATATAAGCAGCCAAATAAATCTACCAGAACAACTCTAAATTAGTGTAATTCGAAGCAGACTTGGAGTAATTTACTCTCATATGATCATGCAGATGTTTTTAGAATTTAGACTAATCTAGTAGGTTAGAATAAGCAATAATAGTTATAGGGAATGATTACTTCTCAAAAATTGGAAGATTAATACAGCTGAAGTTTTGCTTCAGGAGTATCTTCTTGAAAAACCATTGAAATCTGAATTCCCTTGGCTTGCTACAGAAGTGCCAACTGGTATGATTTTAATCCATTTAACTCTAATATTTGGGCCTTTGTGTAGAGTCTCTGATTTAAAAAACATCACATTGGTTTGTTGGATAGCCTCATTTACCTATGCAAATGCAAATAATTAGGAAAGTTTTTACTTTTTTACTTTGACTTTGGACTTCCTATACCAAAGCTCTGTGCAGTAAGTTTGTGATGGGAAAACCAGTGTTTTTTGTTTGTTTGTTTTAAACTTGGAATTATTGATGAAATGTTTATTCATCCTTTGTGGTGCATGTTTCTGTTCCTATTTGCATAGAGTCCATGTGGCTCTCCCTGTTTATATCCTTTCCTGAGATCATATTGAAGAATAGATGGGCTTCATTTACAGTTTCTATTCCTAATGGACTTTGAATGGAAGAACGTTTCACTTGTCCTTGATATGTCTAAGGTCAAAAGAAAGCTTTCCAAATTGGCCCAGAGGAAAAGTGAAACATGTTTTTAACCAAAATTTATTTCACCATTAATGGCTTATTTTTTCCTTCCCATGTTTCCAACTTGTTAAGTTGTTTAAGATTGCTTTAGTTATCACTTTGCCAACTTATTAAAATTTTATGATTCATTTAGATATTACTTTCACATTTTCTAACACTTTCATATTGTATTTATTTCCTCTTAATGTAGAATTGGGGCCTTCTTTTCAACTGGTCCAGAGAAGGCTGTTGACCTTCCTTTTTTCCTCCCAAGTTTTTAAGAAGCAGGTGTTTCCAATGTTTGTGAATTTGGATCTGAATGAGCCCAATACCTTGTTACCCATTTTTCTTGCCACATAAATTTTAAGTTCTGTGAGGACAGAGATCATATGTATCTTATCTCACCAGCATTATCTCACCGCATCTGGTACATAGTAGGCCATCAGTAAATATATGCTGATTAATAAACAATGAAATTACTAGACCCTCCAGAGGTCTTCTCTGATGATACCACTGGGTCCCCTGGATCATGCAAGCAATTCAGGACTTCAGAAATGTATCCAAACTAGAAATTTATAATTGTAGCCATCCATCTGGTCTGATTTTAACTTCTCTGTGTTTCTTCAAAGTTCTGTCATAAGCCGGGCAGAGAAAAAACATTGACAAAAATCCCAAGCATCAAACTTGTCAAAAATGTGTGTTATAAATCACTGTTGATGTTTTGATTTGAGGACACAGAAGATCAGTACTCTATCATGTTTCCTTTTAGTATTAGTCAGTACTGTGGATAGAACAGCCACCTTCCTTCATTCTGTTTTGCACTGCTTTGAAATGGAGAACTGGAGTCTAGACAGCAGCTTTTACTAGAAAGAAGCTAGCTAATGAATAGTTTCAAGCAGCTTGGTAGTGTGTGACCAGTAAAAATGTAGGTCGAATGTACAAACTCATCTCTTTTTCTCTGTATTTACTGTATTGTAAGCCCCCTGCTGATTGCACGGGCAGGCAATCTGTGCAGGTGCACCGAGTGCCCCCTTATAAGTCCCCATGCTCTTTCTAAGGCTCCACTGTCACTGTCTTGACATTCTTAATCATTTTTTAATTAGAGGCCACATATTTTTATTTTGCAGTAAACCCCACCAAATATGTAGCCAGTCCTGGCCCTTGTTTCCAGAGAATCTGGGTAATTGTTTTTGTATCACCAAGAATTTGTGCCTGGCAGTAAGAGGGTGCACAATAGACGTGTTGATGTGAGGAACGTGCATACCTGTAGATGATTTTTATGATTTTATTTGAAGCAAAACTGATGCCAGTTATGGGAAGCGAGATCTCAATTGCTCCCAAGAATGACACTTTTGCAGTTTCTCTTATGTGTTTGGAATTGAGGGGACAAAACTGGGAAAGATCACATAGATGTTGGAGAAAGCAAGGTGGGGATTGGATTATAGGATACTGGACAATATTATGTGCTCTCTTGAGTGTTGTTATGGCTTATTTCAAAGATGTTTTAACCTAAATGCACAGAACAAGTGGACAGGGCTTGCTTAAAGCAAAAATAAGGCTTTTGCTAGAAAGTAATATGCTTGGTGCGTGACTACCCACTATGACCTTCCCAGTTAGGAATTTATGATCTGGTCACCCTGACAGGTTACTTTTCATAGAGCTCTTTCCACAAATGTTTTAAGCATGAGTAAATGAGTGGTATTTTTAAAAAGCTTCACATAAATGCAGTTGATCTGAATTTTAGTCCATTTAATTTTTCTGGGTTGAAGAGTGGAGGAAAGGCAGTACATTTTTGAGAGAAAATTTAACATATAAGGAAGAATCTAAAATAGTATGAAAAAATCTATGTTTCTATCACCATACATGACAGCTATTATTTTGTTCTATTTACTTAAAATGCTTACTTAAAAATAAAAAGTTTAATTATCTGCTCCTTTTACCTTGAATCCCATTTCTCTCCCTACCTGCTCATTGGGAGCCAAAGCACTATGATAATTTGCTGTCTCCTTACAATGCCAGCAATAATGTATGGCTACATATTTTGTGTATGTACATTTTAATATTTACATAAATGACATGACACTGTATCATTTTGTAATTCACTATTTTCATCCAATATTTTGTTTGTAAAAGCTCCCCATGTTGACACATGTAGCTCTCGTTCATGCATTCCCATTACTGCAGGCAGCTGTGGTGACGCCCCCTTTGCTGGTCTGCCACCCCACCGAGGGAGGCTGTTGGGGGCAGAGCCATTGGAGTCCTTCCTTGTGTTCTGGCTCTTCCACTGCCACGGGGAAAAGTCATTAGCTGGGTGACATGGACAAGCTAAGCGATCTTTCCAAAGTTCCATTTTCACATTTGAAAAATGGAAGTAATAATCCCGACCACTTAAGATGTTTTTGTGAAAATTAAACAAGAAAATATACGTACAACCTAGTATGTGATAAAACTACAAAAAACAGTGGTGGGGATTATTATTCTTTATATATGTGTGAAATATTTTGAAGGTATCAGCAAATATATAACAGTGATTTTGAATTTATATTGTCTGATTTTTCTCATTGTACCCTTACCTTGGCTGTTGGTCTTGATTCTTTTTTTTATAATGGTAAGATAATTTCACCCTCGGAATGTAGTCCTGGTTGCATCTTAGAGTTTCAGTTTTCTCTTTTAAAAATCAAATGATATTACTTCTAATGCAGTTTTCTTGGGGTGAAAGGCTTGAAGCCATACAGCTATGAAACTATAACATTAAGTATTTGTAAAATGATGCCTATGTTATTCTCTGTGCATAACTGGGAGAAAAATGAGCATCCACTTTTTCCCAACTTTAATTTTGCAAAGTAGCAAGAGAAATTGGAATTCTGTCAGACTGTAACTGTGCTGCTTGCACAGTACCCTAATTTGCAATTAGAAATTAAAATCTGAAGCATATATTAAGGTATTTTTTAATGTTCTCTACAAAAATTTAAACAAAAGCTAATATAGAATCCTATCTTTGGAGTAGATGAGAGTCTGTGATATATTAAGAAACTTGAGAATACATTCTGAATCTTTCTGTGATTTTAAAGTATCCTATTTTGGGGTTTCAACAGGTTTTATACTATTCGCTACAGAGAAAAGGATAAGGAAAAGAAATGGATTTTTCAACTCTGTCCAGCCACTGAAACAATTGTAGAAAATCTAAAGCCTGACACAGTTTATGAATTTGGAGTGAAAGACAATGTAGAAGGTGGAATCTGGAGTAAAATTTTCAATCACAAGACTATTATTGGAAGTAAGTACCTGGAACTGTCTTAGTAATGTTTTTCTTTGGCCCCTAGTGATCAAATTTTTAATCATGTATTAACTGTGTAATGTGAGACAAAGTAATTCCCATCTTCTAGTATTTGAGAAGACACAAAAGTAAACAGAATTTGTTGAGTCCTGATATTTGAGATTCTTTTTTAAGACCGTTTTTTTAAATGATACTAACACTTGATGCTCCCATTAATAACAGTTGGTTGACCACTATAGTATTTTAAATCAATCCCTGACCTATGCAAACCAACTGAGCCGAAAAATGCATAATGTGTGCAAATGTTCAGATGGAAAACTGAACTGGTTTTCCCTGAAGCTTTAGGGGGTCCTGGGCTTCCTTTCTCTTATCCCTTCACTCAAAATCTTTATTGGAATTAGTATTTCAAATAAAAGTAAGTAAAATAATATGCTTAAGTTAGAGATAGTAGGACTTCTAGTTGTTCTCATAACGATTACGTAAGAATTGATTTAGAAGCAAGAAAAATGAAAATAATACCATTTTCCTCTTGTTTTTGTCAGGTATAAACAAAGTAAATGGGAAAATTCAAAGTACCTATGATCAAGCGAACACAGTGGTATGTACCGGGTTATTTTCAAGAATGTTTTTTAATAACTGTATTTGCATTGTATTTTTATTTAAGTAAGGAAAGAGTCCTATTATTCAATACTGAGACTGGATCAACTGATGAGCTGTGGGATGGGGCTTTAGGTAAAGTACTTATCATTTTAGGAATTAGTTTCTTTTTCAGAAAACAGAGGTAAAAGTATAAGATAAAAGCATCTCTAATTTGTTTAAAGCTCTAAAAGTCTGATATTTAATATAGTCACTCTAGAACTTCAGTATTCCGGGTATTTTGAAATCATGCTTATTATCTTCTGTCCTGTGGATTGTTTCTTTACTGTAACATGTTTCAGGAGCAAGTTGGCACACCCTGCACTTACATTGCTACTGTTCAAATCTTTTCTCTACTTTCTATCACTTCCTACTGAAAAGAGCCAACCCTTCTCAAAATGACAAGGCCTTGGTTTGTCTTTTTCAGGTGCACAGCCTCTGCTTAGTGCCGTAAATGTTTATACATCTTACCTGCCAGGCATCTTTCCCCATCTAGTCACCTTTTTCTCTCGCACTTCAGGAGCTCAGTCCCTTGTTCTTCTCTTTCCTTTCTCCTTTCAAAATCTGTGCTCAGGAAGCATCCCAGCAGCTATGTGCTACCAGTTGTAAATGTAAGCCGTTGTTATAACAGTCACACAGTTGTTTGCATTTTAAATCACATGCCCAATCACAAAGCGAAGGATGTCATGTCACTGGGTAGGTGGAGGAGGCACTTTGATGAGAAGAGTGGGATTTGGTCCTAGCTTTGGTGCTGGGAATGGAACTTTTCAGCCACGGGGATATCCCGCAGTCAAGTGAACCTGCAAAGACTGTTGATGGTTGCAAAGCTATTCTTTTCAATGTGTGAATGATGTATATGAATGGGTATCTTTTTATGTCTAATTAAATAGTCCACAGACTGCTCCAATTGATCGTGCAGCATTTTGGGGAGAAAGGTAGTACGTGCCCCACAGGAATAATAATAATAATAATAATAATAATAATAATACAACTATGCTGAATTCTTTTTACTGACAAAAAATGGGTTTGGATAAAATAGAGTTGACTGAGGAGAAATAATAATCTTGCTAAGATGAATGTTTCTGTGGTTTGAATTGGCAGAAAAGTGTGCCAGTTATTGTAGTATGCTATACTAGAATAACTATCAAAGTATGATTATCAGATTACTGTGATTGCCCAGGAAAGTATTTTATTTCAAACAATAATATTAAAAAAGGAGATTGCAGATACATTCCCAAGACATGATTTTTTTATTTTCCTTTTTTTAGTTTTCCTCCCTTCCTCCCTTTCTTCCTTCCTCTCTTCCTTCCTTGTCTTCCTTCTTTCTCTCTTTTTGTTGTTATTTCTCTGTGTCTTCCTCTTTCTTTCCTTCTTTATTTCTTTTTTCTTGAGTTTTAATTTTTCTTAATTATCTAATATTTAAAGATTTAGAATATATAAAATGAAAAAGAAATATTAACCAAATTGCCTATAACCCTGCTACATGACTAGTACAAAACCCTTTATGGTTCTACTGTTAAAACTTTGGAATATTTTTTTATTTCTAAGTATATTTTCATTATAAAATTAAAATCATGATATATATAATTTTATTTTTTTTGATATATATAATTGTATATCTCACTCTTTCATTTAGCCAAAATATGATATAGCATATTTTTTAAAGATTTTATTCATCGACTTGTTAGAGAGGGGAAGAGAGGGAGAAGGAGTGGGAGAGAAACATCAGTGTGTAAGAGGTGCATGGACTGGTTGCCTGTCGCATGCCCCCAGCTGGGGACCTGGCCCACAATGCAGGTGACCTAGGTACCCTGACTGGGAACAGAACCAATGACCTTTTGGTTCACAGACCGGCGCTCAATCCACTGAGCCACACTAGTCAGGGAATGACATAGCATATTTCATGTTATTAAATTCTCTTCATACACATAATCTTAATTGGTGGTACACCAATTAAATGATTTAGATCATTTTAAAAGCATGATCTAAACATGATTTTACATACTAAATCAGTTTCTACTTTGTAGACATGCAAGTTATTTCTAATAGTTTTTTAATTGTAAGTGATGTGATGATGAACATTTATGTCTTTGTTCACATTTCTGATTATTTCCTCACAATAGATTCTTAGAATGGGAATTAACGGTTTAGATATTGGGCATTGCTTAAACTTCCTAATAGGTATGGTCAACTTTCTTTCCAGAAAAGTCACACCAATTTACCATGTTGTGAGCCATGTACCAGAGTTATCTTGCTATTGGACCCTGGTTATTAACATTATGTATTTACATCACTAAATCCTGGCTCATGTAACAGTGTGAAATGGTTTTAATTGTGGTTCTCTGCTTGCTGATAAAGCAGTACTTTCTTCCCTTGTTTATCAGCCATTTGAAGTTTTCATTTAATGACCTCCGTCTCAGCTCTTGTTTGTTGGGCGTCTCCTAGTGTTTTTGCTGAACAGTTTAAAGGCATAGATTAAAGAGCAGTGACCCTTTGTAATATCATCTAGACACATTCTCACACTTGTTATCAACTTTGTTATGAGACTTTTTGAAATAGTCAAGTCTTGAAATTTGCTTAATCAAATTGTCTTTCTCATTGTCATATCTTCAATTGTATTATATTTTACAAAACCCTCCCCTATCCAGAGAGCAGATAAATATTCCCCTCTTTTGGTTATATAAGTGGTTTGATTTTGTAATAATTAAACTCTAAACAATGTGGATTTGATCCTCCTCTATTTCGTTTATGTAGTAAGGTTCTCTGTTGACTAGCTTATAGATCTTTCAAATAATGGACCAGTTGGCCTTGTTCCAAGTATTGCTTTGTGCCGCTCCCTAAGGTCCCTTTGGCGTTGTCTGTCTTAGATCCAGTCACAGGGGATTCTTTTCCAGAACGGTCTGCAGTGTTGTTGTGAATGGTTTCCTAGGAAGCATCTCTTATCTCCCAGCCTCTTAGTTATCATGCTTTGTCTCACATGTGACTTGCTGATATCATTTGATCACATCCCAATAATGAGTGTATTTTGGCAGGATATTTCATTTAGGTTGAAATACCCAGCAAGATTGGGAAAGATAGTTGACATTTTACTCCCAAAGAACCTAATTTCTGTTCCCATCACAATAGCCATGGCCAGAAGAAGAACCAGAGAGAAATGTCCTGCATCCATTGACACAGAGCCAGATATTTCATCACTTCAAGCTGCGGGGTGGCACACCCCCAGCCAGCTCCCCTGGGGTGTGGTCTGAAACTCTTGGCTATTTCCAAAGGAAAACTTGAATTAATTACAAAGTTATTTTAAGGCTTCTCAGTGAGGCTTTCTTCATTGTTACCTCCTGAAGGGCAGAAAAATGTTGCACAAATTGCTCTTGGGTAGCTGGGGAAAGTCAAAAAGAAACCACTTGAGACAGCCTTGACCATCTTACGTGGCCACTTAGAACTGCTCTAAAAATTGATTTGATACTTTAGAGGAATTTTTTAACCCAAATTAAGTTCATGTCAATCCAAATACTAACCCATCTCTTCTCTGAGGCTGATCTTAGAAGGCAGTATTTCAAGAGTACTTTTTAGGGTTTTAAGCAAAAGACACTTAAAAATGTTTTTATTCATATATACACACTTATATCTAAAACTTATATGCAGCAGAAACCACTTAAAACCTTCTAAAAGGAGATATTTGACGTGGGAAAAACAATTTAAACTTTAGGCTATCCATTTTTTAAAGATCAATACTATCTAGGCTAATAAATTGAATGTTGATAAGATATTTTCAGCACCAAAGCATATGCTTTTATTACAATGTTCCATTGCTTCTCCAAAGCAGTGAATGATCCTGGTATGAATGTCTATGGCTCTGGGAAGTCAGTTCATGTAATTTTTAAAGATTCTCATTCAAGGACATGTTCATTGATTTTGAGAGAGGAGGAAGGAGAAAGAGAAACATGGATTGGTTGCCCCCTGTACACACCGTGACTGGGAATCCAACCCAAAACCTAGGTATGTGTCCTGACTGGGAGTCGAACTGGCAACCTTTTGCTTGCAGGGGTGTCCAAACTTTTGGCATCTCTGGGTCACATTGAAAGAAGAGTTGTCTTGGGCCACACATTAAATACATAAGCACTAGCAAAAACAAAAAAATCTCATAATGTTCTAAGTAAATGTACAATTTTATATTGGACCGCAGTCATAGCCGTTCCAGATCACATGCGACCTGCAGGCCACAGGTAGGACACTCCTGGCACAGCATGACGCTCCAACCAACTTAGCCACACCAGCCTGGGTGATTTAATGTGCTTTTAATCTCTTACAATAAAAGAGTTAAGTACAAAAATTGAATGTTGACTACAGCCCCCATCTTAAGCATGTGGCTACTTTATATTGTAATTGATGTCGCTGAGCGCAGGGTCAGCCGGCACACCCCAGGACGCATGCCAGAGACAGCGCAGGGGTCCCTTCTGTCTGGACAGTGACTCTGCTCTACCAGTTGTAGAATACTTACAACATTATCCCTGCTTATACTTCCAGAATAATCAGAGAAACGGCATATGCATTAAACAGAAGCATGATTATTTCAGCTGAAATTGTATCACTCGAGACTCATGTAGTTGAAGAAAAAACACATTTTTCATGATGACTGTGCTGTTTGCTCTATGGTGAAAATCTAGAGCATTTCTTTTGAGGTTACATGTTTAATAACAGGTTTCATTTAGTTTTAATGTAGTTATCTAACTAGTTCACTGAACAATAAGTTTTTTAATTTTAATTTTTCATTGTATTTTTCCCTTACCATTTAACCCCCATATACTCCCCGCCCCCTGTAATCACCATGCTGTTCTCTGTGTCCATGAATTCTTTTTCCTTTTTGGTCAATGACCCACCTGAACAGTCAGTTTTAGAAATGTGTAGCATTTATTAACCAAGATTTTAAAATAGAAGTTTAGTTAGTTAATCCAAATCTCCTTAGGATCCCTCTCCCCCTAAATTATGATATCTATTCTCACCCTTAATTTTTTTCCATCAGAGATCCACCCGTGTTTTTGTAAAGCCACATCTGCATTGGCAAAAAGAAATGATGGTGCCCATCCTTAGAGTGTGACCATCATTATACAAAGGAAGTGAACAGGGAGAAAGACCTCATGGTCTCCACCCACACCCTGATCATGTACGATAACTACATCAGCTGTCCTTCCATTATTAGCAATTGTTGTCCTAAGCAGAAACTTGAAAAATTTACATTTATGCCAACAATGTTGCCAAAGGTGCATGTCTGGCTCCTCCGTAGCTTAGCAGAAATACAAAGACTTTCGCAAGTAGAATGTTAGATTCACTTCTAACCAGATGTTAGATTGAATCAGTACGTTTCGTAACTTTCATTAAAACATTCCCCAGATGAATTAAAACCAGAATGCAACATGTCCAAGTTCTTCTCATGTGGTTTGGCTCTTGAGCCATTGGAATTTGATGGTGAGAAGCTCTTTAGCCACTTTCCAAATGGACAGCCCTCCTTATCTCAGGGCCTGTTACATTTACAGTGAATATTTTGATATCACAGTAATACCAAATGGACAATCCTGTAAAGAACAACCTGAAAAGTATACCATCCTGGTATCATCACTACTTTTATTAAAGCTAATTTTTAAAATAGTACCAGGAGGAGGTTAGTATAATGCAGGTTGATGTGGAAGCCCCTCATCCTGTGTGGCAACTACTTGCTGTGATTATTTCTGGGTAAGCAGAGCGTTTGCCAAAACAGGACTAGAAAAAGGCTGAGTTGGTCATGGGGTCATGGCCTTGTCATGGGGTCATGGCCTTTTACCACGTCGGGTCAATCTTGTCACTGAATCTCACCAACTGGATACTTAGCTACAACGCCCAGGAAAATGGTAAAAGTGAATTTCCTTACCAAGTCCCCCTTCACAAGATACAGTACCACCTGGGCTCATAAGGGACAGAGTATCGTGAAACTCAGAAAAAAAATAAAACAATGCATCTTTATAGAGCATATAGAGGAAAATATGCTTACTTCCTGGTATACGGTAAACTTTTACAGAATAGTTGCTGAATGGAGTGATGAAGGAAGTGGTGATGGAGGTTTGCAGCAGGAATGGGGGGTGAGCAAGCTGTAGAGAAGAGAGTCAACAAGGAAACAGGCTGAGAAAGAAAACTGGTACCAGGGCGGCATCTGTAAAGAGCAGTGTTCTGCTGAGGCCACACCAGCTAAACTGTGCAGCAGCATGTGGCACTTTCACCGCCTTGTCCCCCACCCCCAAGCTCAACACCAGTGACACTGAGATTCCTACACACACTGATAAATGTTCATCACAGTAAGTCTGGATGGCAGGTTACTGGTACCTTTAAAAACAAACAAGCAAAAACATTGGATCTAGCTGGTGTGGCTCAGTGCATTGGGTGCTGGCCTGCAAACCAAGGGGTCTCTGGTGCGATTCCCAGTCAAGGCACATGCCTGGGTTGTGGGCCAGGTCCCCAGTAGGGGCCGTGTGAGAGACAACCACACATTGATGTTGCTCTCCCTCTCTTTCTCCCTCCCTTCCCTACTCTCTAAAAATAAATGAAATCTTTTTTGAAAAAATTTAAAAGAAATTAAAATTAAAAAATGAAAATAAACACTGTACATGAAACAATTTAATTAAAATTGGGTTGTAAGTGGCTACACTTGGAAATTACCACAGTAGTTCATTCTCCAGTTAGTCTAGGTAACAGATATTTCCCTACACTTTTATAAGAAAACACAGGGAAAGGATTCACAGTGTGGATTTTTTCTTGGGAATTTTAGAGACTTCAGCGTGGACATTTTGGGCAGAGGGATCTCCCTGATGCCCTGTAGACACCTGCCTACAGAGATGCACCCGCTTGCTCATTGGTCCAGTCTTGGTGCATCTGTGGATTGCAGATTAGGCAAGAGAGTAATTAGAGGTCTAAAAAGAGCTGGATTCTACAGCTAAATGATTTCCTTATTTTTGGCAGCATATACTGTACATATAATCTTGCCATCATCTTAGAACATGGCTCTGTACTCAAGAACACGAAGAAAATCTTTGTTCCATTAGTGTGAAGAGTGAAATATTTTCCGTTTGTCCTTGTAAAAAAGTTGTTTAAAGCAAATCATTATAGCAAAAGAAATTGAGATTGGCATCATGCAATTCAAAGTTTCAACACAATAGCATGTAGGCATTTCTGCTATAATGTTTCTCTGGAAAACTTCACATTCAGCAAAACAGGCACTGAATTCAGTAGAAGAATGCATTTAGAAATCTTGTGAAGATGGTGTGATCCCTGCGGCAAGTGGCTCCCATGGAACTAGAGGTTGCCGCAGCAGGTACCTAAAATTCTGAGAAATGGCAGAGGCCATGGACTCTCAGCTCTTTTGCTGGAGCAGCGCTGGTGTAAGTTAAGGTGGACAGGTGAGGCTGCACCAGGGTCTGAGCATCCCCATCTGAGGCAGCATCCTGGGTACCAGTGCTCATATTTTATTCTCTTATTTAAAAAGATGACAGAAATCCTGCTGCCAGAGCAACATCGAAGTGGAGGATTTTTTTTCTTTCCCACTGAAGATTATACTTCTATTCCTACTTTTCCCCTTGCCTGGGAAAAATTGTGTACAAATGATAATTGTATGTTTATATCATTCTCTTTTTACCAATACTGTATGAACTATGCAGTATAGAAGCTTCTGTAGTAGCTGAACAGACTGTTGATTAAAATAACTTTTTCTAATTATAAATGAAGTTCTCCCACATAAAGAATCTAGAAAACAGAGAAAGGCATACCAAATAAAATTAATATCAGCTTCTAAAAGTAACTACTGCTAAAAAACTATGATCTATTCCCCTCTAAATGTTTATTTATACATATTTGTTATAAATTTAGGTTATGTCGTGGATATGAATTTATATTTTTTGTATTATGCATATTTTTCTACTTAAATAGATATCAAACATTTGAACCATAAGTTATTTAATAAAACCTCTGCTTTTGGATAATAAGGTTATTTTACATTTGGGAATAAATGACTTTATACATTAAAGATTATTTCCATCTTTGATTAATACCTTAGGCTAGGTTGCTAGGCATCTTAATCCATTAGGGCTACTATAACAAAAATACCATAGACTGGATGGCTTAAACAGTGAACATTTATTTCTCACAGTTCTGGAGCTCTGGAAATCCAAGATCAAGGCGCCAACATAACCAGTATTTGGGGAGAGCTTACTTCCTGGCTCCCAGCCAGCCATCTTCTTGCTGTGTCTTCACAGGGTGGAAGGCCGGACAGAGCTCTCTGGGGCCTTTTTTATAAGGGCACTAATTCCATTTCTGAGGGCTCCACCCTCATGACCTAATCACTCCTCAAATGCTCCACCTCCTAATGCCATCACATTGGGGATTAAATTTTAACATGTGAATGGGTGGGGGCATGGAATTCCGTCTATAGCACTGAGTCATAAGTATAAATGTTCCTTTTTAAAAAAACTAATTTGGTAAGAGTAAGCTTTTATTTATTTATTTACTTTAAACATAAGAATCTTAATACAAAAAGAAAAAGAGTCATCTGTAAGCTTGGTATTGTGGCCCTTCTATCATAGGAATGCCATTTATTAATATGGTAACATGTTAGTCTCTTCCTTTCAATTATGTTGTAAGTATCTTGTTCAGCACATCCTGAATTATCAGCAGATCTGGTAGAACTTGTGTATCTGTATTATGTATGCATTTTAAATCAAACATCAAGAAATCGATGTCATGTTTACCTCTTTATCTCAATCTAATTTTTCTCTACTTAATTTGCTGCCTTTCTTTTACCTTGTTCCTGTGTCTCTCCTGTGGCTGTCTTATTCTTGGCTCACAGCTCTGTCTGGTGATGCTACGCCTGTCCCTGGTTCAAGTAGTTCTATGCTTTTATAACTTCCTGAGGGACATCTGAGGTAATTTGGGAGAAGGGGAAATGTACAGTGCTCTGAGAACTGCCTTTCTAATTCTGAGGTCCTTTGTGCATAGATATGTACAGGATGGTTGAGAGTACAGACCTTGGAAATAGAAATGTCTGGATCTGATTCCCGGCTCTGCCATATTGGGCAAGCAAATACGTGGCGTCAGGAGCTCATGGTGATTGAGTTGTGTGTAGCAGCAGCAGCAACTGGGTACGCTCAAATACTTGATGTTGTTCAGTTTAGAAAGATAATATGTAGCATAATTCTATTCAAAAGGGAATGTAAAGAGAATTTGGGTCACATTTGAAATGAAGTGAAAATAGACTAGTATTCAGTACAGAATCCATTCCAGTTTCTAAGTAAACTAATGGGAGTTTTGAAGAAACTGCTGATGTTAAAACTTTGGACATTTACAGGAAAAACAAAGTGAGTCCAATAAAATAGAGGCAGACACATGTGTACTAAGATCTTTCCAGCAACCTTTAAACCTGTGTCATGGGAGACTTCACTGAAGACAAGAAAAAGCTATTTTCAGTTTTTTTATTTATTATTTTTAAAAAGTTGGCACTGAAAAGCTGACTCTCTCCCTCCCTTTTCAGCCTGCACATGTCCCAAGGAAGCTGATCCCAATAACAATCATCAAGCAAGGTAATTTGTATGAGCCTGGTCTGGATATGTGTTTAGAACTACATATATATACACACATATACACACACACACACACTCACACACTCTTACAGGGTCGGGCAGAAGTAACACCTACTTGAGTGTAGTTGGTAGGATAATAATATGGGTGTAATAATTTATAGTTTTATTTTGAACATTTCCCCTAAAATGTCATATGATGTGTTTGACTGTGATATTGTTAGGTTACAGAGTTACATGCTTATGATTTGTAATTAAAAAGGGCATTACTTGTGCCAGACCCTATATATATTTTTTTCCCTCACCTGAGAGAAAAAATATATATACATATCACCTGAAGATATGTTTATTAATGAGAGAGAGTGAGAGAGAAACATCAATGTTTTCCTAAACATTGAGCAGTTGCCTCCGTATATGCCTTGACTGGGGGGATTGAACCCACAACTTAGGCATGTGCCCTGACCAGGAACTGAACCTGCAGCCTTTTGGTGGACGGGAAGATGCTCCCACCAACTGAGCCACCTGGCCAGGGCTAGAATTATTTTTAGTATACTTTTCACCTGAGATAATTTAATATTGTCCATATCTGTTCAACTTTCTGATTATTGTTTTTCAGAAGAAAAGTTAGAAGAAATCAGCATAGTATAGTAAATTAGAAGTTAATAGGTAATTTTGGCTCTTGTACTAATAAACAAAGTCATGACAAGTCACATTGGCTGTACAACTAGGAACAAAGCAATCATAAATATTCAATTTTAAAACGTCAGTTAAATATATATGGCTTAGTTCAGTGGCAAGTTAGCGTATATGAAGAAAATTATTAGGATATTTGGGTTAATGAAATAAAAACTTGATTTAGTGGTCACTTTGGGGAAAGTTAAGACACCCTGGCTTTAAGAATTATAATGTCTTATTTCATTTCATCATCTGGTTGTTTTCATTTTGACTTTCAGTTTTTCAAATTATTGAACTGCTTTATTATGTCCAGAAAGTTTCTTGGGAGAAGAGATTGGGCACTTAAAATTGTTCTTCATTTTAAGAAAACAATGTCCCGTGTTCTTTGAAAGCAGGGTCAATTGGTATTAGAATTATCCAAGGATTCTTTGCTTTGAGATTATACATTTTCTCATTTTGTGCTAGTTCTTTACTTGAGTAGACTGCAGGGAGTGGGGATCAGAAAAGAAATTTTCAACTCATTATAATAGAACACTGTATGTTAGAGTAATGGCCTTTCATTACTTAGAGGCATTGGTGCTAAGATGCACCTTCTAGTCCTTTCGTTGGCTGTGTAATCAACCCAATGAGTTCTTGACTATTAATTGAAAAGTTAAATCAGGGCTTCCTCAGTGCAGTTGACTTCACATTGTTAGCTTTTTACTGCTTTCTGACTATTCCTTAGCCTCGCCAACTGCCATTATCTTTTTGTATTTCAACAGTGATTCAGAATGTCACTCACAGGGCTTCCACAAAATCCCCAGATAAGACCCCCATTGGAGGAACAATACTGGGTGAGTTGTCTCGAACTCTATACTTAAGATTAAGAAAGTCAGGCTGTTTCTTTAAACAATAAGGCCTCTATGGAATTATGCACTGTGTAGGTCTATTAAATTGATGTTGGTTCATTCATTTCAACATTTAGGATCCTGGCTGTGTTTACTCCAGACCAAGAGCTAAGAGATGCTAACTCTATCACAGTGTGTTAGAGAAACAACTGGAGCTCGTGCCTACTGTGAATGAGGGCACCCATCCCTACCTACCCCTCAGGATTGTTGCAGTTATGAGGGAATTTTTGTCATATTGAACTTCTCTTTTAAAAATTATTAATAATGTTGTTCCTTGTTCACCACACATCCTAAGCATCATTTTGTAATTTTTTGCATCCATGGGTTAAAAGCCAGAGGATTCTGGTGGTTCAGTTCTGAATAGCTATGCTTGATAGTTACTAGTATCTGGCACTCTGAGCTTTATTTTATGTCATGATGCATTCTCTTCCTCTCATCTTTACTCTCTTTCCTCGCAGTCCACCTTGTTATTCCTGGCCTTAATGAAACAACTGTAAAACTTCCTACGTCCATAATGTTTGATATTTCAGATGCAATCAAGACACAATTAGGTAAGCAGCAAAGCTCTATGATTGAACTTTTTGGTGACAGTTACTAGCACTGATATTCTTAGAATAGCCTAGGAATCTAGAAAATGAGCTGTTTGGGATCTCAAAGGAAAAGTAAGGGACAGGCATATGCATTGTTGATGGGAATGTAATGTGGTAAAGCTGCAATGGAAACAGCATGATCACTCCTCAAAAAATTAAAAATAGAATTACCAGAGGATCCAGCAATTCCACTTCTGGGTATGTAACCAAAAGAACTGGAAAAGAGCTCTCAAAGAGATATTTGTACACCTGTGTTTGTAGTACCATTGTTCACAGTAGCTAAAATGTGGAAGCAACTCAAGAGTCTGACGGACGAATGGATAAGCAACATGTGGTTTATACACTCAATGGAATATTATTCAGCCTTTAAACGGAAGGAAATCCTGACATATGCTACAATGGTGATGAACCTTAAGAATATACTAAGCAAAATAAGCCAGTTACAAAAAGACCAACACTGTGTGCATGATGGTTGCAGGGGGCTGGAGGGAGGACAGGAATGGGGAGTTAGTGTTTAATGGCACTGATCTTCAGTTTCATTAGATGGTAAGAGTTCTGGAGATGGATAGTGGTGATGTTCATACAACATTATGAATATATTTGATACTACAGAGCTTTACATTTTAAAATGGTTAGGACCATAAACTTTATGTATATTTTATCACAATTTAAAAAATGGAAAAAAATTAGGGCAAAAATTTTCCCCAAACAAGTTGGAAAATTTCTTTTCCAGAGAAGTTGAAGTATTAAAATTATTAAATCACATTCTATAGAAAAATAGTTATTTTATATAAAAGAATATTTGAATTTACATTTACAAGAAAAGGATGAACGTTGATCAGATTAGTGAAAATACACATAATTATATAGGTACAATTTTCAAATGCAGTAATTGTTATAAGTTACACTCAGTATGCTATTAACAGACCATGAGATACTTTCAATAAGAACTGATATAAAGGTCAGGACTGTTAGCATTATAATTGACTTGAGATTGCTATGGCTTCCTGCTTCTAGAAAAAAAAACAGTATGATTTTAGTGTTTAACAAACATAAAATGCAATAATTTGAAGGGTGAAAACAGCCATACCTTTTGAAAGGAGCCCAGGGAGCATTTGCAGTGGTCACTGGGCTATGTTAGTTACTGCACTTGAGTGTCAAATTAATTCTCTGTGTGGCAGAGGACCTCAAATCCAACAAGCCTCAGATGCCCTGGAGGGCTTGTGAACACACAGGCTGCTGGGGCCACCCCGGACTTCCTGATTCAGTAGGTCTAGGGCGGAGACCGAGGATTTGCTTTTCTTACTAGTCAGTAATACGGGTACCACGAGTCTGGGAACCATGGTTCGAGAACCACCCCTCTAAAGTTTCTGGGCACTGTCTTGGGCTATTGATAAATGCGGAAGGAGATGGCGTGATGTGACAGAAATTGAACAAGACTTAAAAATGCAGAATATTTTCCCTAAAGTCAACATTGGCTAGGAACTGCATCACTTACGTAATTGAATTGGTAGCATTCAGTCAACAGATACTTCCTAAGCACTTCTCTTGGCCAGAGAGCAAGTTGCTGGGGACTGTCATGGTGAGTTACACAGACACAGGACCTGCCTATACTGGGACCTCAGTTTTACTTTCCCTTGCTGGAGACCTGACCTGTTTGCTTCTTTGATGGTAGGCAATCAGTCTGTAATTGTTTTAAAAGGTGGGAACTCTTAAATTTTCTTAGCTGTTAATTTTGAGAACCTCCTGCAAGGAGGAACAAAGCCTTAAGCAGGCAGAAGGACACTAAATAAGTGGACTATTAGACTTACAATTTTAGAAAAATCTTCAAAGCTTATGCATTAGCATTTCCTTGAGTTGTGAAAAGAGTTGCCAATAAATCTTTGTGGTTTTGTGCAATCCTTACATTCTTACTGTAAAATATTCATAGCTGATAGTCCTAGGGTGAGTTATATCCAGGAACGTAGACAAGTGACTCAAGGCTTCTTAATGTGTTCATCAGACTTGATCAACAAGCTCTGAACTACAAAACCCTGTGACTCAGCTCTTCACCATCTGTATGCTGTGCTAAAAGCCAGGAAGCTTCCAAATGAAATACCTTCATGAACCTGTGTTTGGCACCAGAGTTCAGGACTTCTGCACTCACGGAGTCTCTGTCTGGAGCCTGCACATTGCCTTGTCCTGCTCCTAAAAAACCCTTGATTGGGAAGAGGGGGGAAAAAAGCCAATCTCTGGTTGATTTGGTCCCTAATCTGTCTGTTAAAACCACAAAACCCAGGATTCGTGAAGGAGACTGAAAATGGCAGAGTTTTTTTCCCAGACCACTGCTGTCAGTTTGAAATTAGAAGATGTTTTATTCCTTAATCCTTAGTTTTGAGTGACATTCTCAACCCTGCCCTCCTTTTTTTAGAGATTAAACAGTGGATTTTTGTATTTTGTTTAATTTCATTTTTCTGATATAATTCACTAAATCTTCAGGATTATGATAGAGAAAATGCTATGCAAATACTTAAATATCTTTTTTAACTTGTATTTCTGGGAAAACACCTGTCAAATTTAACACGGAGTTTCTGACACATGGAAGAGGTTGATAGCCAGTACGTTTGAAAATGTCCAGTGAAGCCATCAAATGTACCGTCTTAACAGTCTGTGTTTAAAAATCATATTTTAAATTTACTGTATTTTTAATGTGATCATAATTCTTTATAATAGCAAAGGAGAAATAAACTTTCCTGGATTTATTTATCACCACAATTTAGAAAAGCCTTATTTTTAATGGTGTAAATTCTAAAAATAATATCCTCATTCCAGCAGGACCCATCATGGGACATCAAGAAATTATTAGACTTTGTTCTAAGAACACATGGTGTGAATAATGAGAGAAATAAACAAGAAAGCCAGTATTACACCCACATCTCCCAGGGATTTACAAAGCATTTGCCAAAGCCAAGACTTAGCTTGCCAAAAAGTAAAGGAAACGACAGTGTTGAAAAAGGTGCAGAAGGATCAGACAGGAAGAAGAATTTCCTGGGTCATAGGTCATTCTGATTGCGTTTTGCTCCGCTATTGCCAAGGCTGCACTTGTCCAGGGAGAGCGTAGGTGAAGGCTTGGGGGTGATAGGAAACATAAAGAGCCCGCATTTAAACATTTCTCCATCTACCAGTTTCTCTGATATGAAGCACAATACTTAAAAATACAATATGTCTTTGTAAGAAATTAGTGATGTGTAAAGAATACAAATTCTCTCTTGAGAAGGCAGTTTACCTTTTTTTTCCCCTTTCTCAGCTTAATTTTAAATTAAGGTGATTACCAGCTAAGGCCATGTTTAGACTATAAGAAGCTAAAGCCAAGTGATTTAGGGCATTGCACAGAAGTCTAGGATCTGGAAGTTAAAAATAAATTAGTAAGTAAATAAATAGTCCTGGTCAGCCAGGCAACCACCAAGAACGTAGGTTATTACTCAGGAAGGGAAGGCTTAGCAAATGTGTCCTAAAGGATTAGAGGACACTGAAAAAGAAGAGACCATTAAAGAAAAACCTGATAACCTTCCATTTGGGAAAAAATAAACAAATAAAAAACATCCGCTTTCCTATGGTACATGCTCAATTCAACAGAATTGAGCTTGCTCATAAAAATGTGTAATCTGAATGGGTTTTTTTTTTTCCTTTTTAAACAATCACAGTGGTTCTAATAAAAAAGAAACTATACCAAAAAAGCAGGAATAAAAGTCGATCAAATTTAGAAATTTTAAAAATAGAATTTTTAATAAAATTATACTGGATCTGTGTTTTTAGTTATTCCAGAAACAGAGCCCCTTATCTCCATGCCCTGCTAAATTAATTTGAAAAAAGGTATTAACCTTTCTGTTGTGCAAACATTCTGTGCAACTTCAGGTGCACAGGCACCCAAAACGCACTTGGCTATTAGAGGTGGCAAGTATGTGGCACATGGGACAGGTCTTTGCAGCATTTTAAATCACACCTGAAAATAATTAGCCTTAGGTACAAATCCATTGAACACTTCTCTAATACCCATTAAACACTGATTGGCTTCTATTAACACTGTGAAAGGGACGACCTTGTCTGTCACAAGTAAATAAATGTTTTATGCCCTTTTTTAACTGAAAAGAAGAAAATGGTCTTTATAACAGAGATGTGAACCACAAAAGATTTCAGTATCTGCGTCCTCAAAGGGTTTTGAGAGCACAAGTTAGATCAACAGTTCTCAAAGGGAGCAACTTTGTTTCCCAGGGGGTACTTGGCAATGTTCAAATGGAGACATTTTCAGTTGTCACAGCCATGGACATGCTTCTGGAATCCAGGGGGTAATGGCCAGAGGTGCTACTAATCATCCTGCAAACAAGGAAAAAGTCCCCACAACAAAAAATTATCCAGCCCAAAATGTCAATTGTGCCAATGTTGAGAAACCCAAGAAGTTTCTGCACAGCCTCAGGTCTCTAAAAGTCCCTCTGATTATAATCAGTTCAAGGTGACATGATCAGGGTATCACAAAGATAAATTAATCCTTTGATGACACTAGACCGTTTCAAAATATTACAAGCAGGTCATTCATTCTGGGTGTGAAGTAGCTGAATCAAGTCAATTTTTGGTGCATTTTTAAAATGGGAAATATCTTAATCAGTGGGAGTCTCTGGTATAGAAATGTACTTTCTTTGAAAAAGAATACCTAAATTTTAAAAGGAATTTCCTGAAGAGTTGTCTGAAGTGGGAAAAACTGGGGAAATTTTGATTTCATTCTTTACACTGAATCCCCACAATAACCAAAACAAAGGTCTTTGTTAACATGTGGCTCAAATAAATTACTGTTTATTTGCCACAAATGTTGTTAATTAATTTAGTTTCCCATGTGTGTTATTTGTGCTTTTCTAAAACTTCAGGGTCATAACTTATTACATGTTTCACTATGAATAGTAATGGAAATTTTCTATTCATTGATTTTTTAAAATTAGGAGTACTTGAATATAAAATTCCAGTGAGTATTTGCAATACAACATAGGCCTTCCAGAAACCCTATGAATCAGAATGATTTGAGAGTTATCCAATTACTGGGTTGTGGCTTTTTTCTTCATTCCAATGTCAACTTAGATTTTAATAAATTCCTGGGGGTTAACAGGAAGGAACTCTGAAGACTGTCATCTATTCATGCTAATCCCTTGTAGAAATGCACAATAAATTTTTGACAGCCTGGTGGGAAGGGATAAGAATAGATTTCTGGAAATAGTCTGCAGTTTGATTATGTTTTGAATGAATCGTATTTGGACACTGTGTTACAGGAAGTGGGGCAAATTGCTTGTTCTCTGACTTTTTTTTTTTTTTTAGCTAAGAATGAAACCTTGGCATTACCAGCTGAATCTAAAACACCAAAGGTAGAAGAAATCCCAGCACAGCCCATAACAGGTAATGAGATCTTCGTGTCATTAACTTTGAGAGAATAAGTAATATTTTTTCAAATGACAAATGATTGACAAGCCTGTACATTTTTCACTGAAGAACCAGTAGGAAATTGATTTTGATCATAAACACAAAACAATAGATGATTCTAAGTTCTTAATTTAATGTTTGAAAAAAACAACAGATGCAGAATAAACTGTCAAATCATATAACTGCTACATAATATGGAAACTATAGTTCACTCTAAATGAAAGTTGTTACCTCAATATTCTGAAATTTTTTTCATTTATTTTTAGAGAGAGGGGCAGGGAGGGAGAAAGAGAAGGAGAGATACATCAATGTGTGGTTGCCTCTCATATGCCCCTAGCTGGGGACCTGGCCTGCAACCCAGGCATGTGCCCTGCCTAGGAATTAAACTGGCGACCTTTGGATTCGGAGGCCGGTGCTCAATCCACTGAGCCATGCCAGCCATGGCTGAAATATTTTTATATTAAAAAGTAATGCCTGGTTTTGGTGCTTTCCTTTTATGTAGAGAAATAAGACCATTTTTTTATTTCTTTACTTTCTCAAGTGGTCAGTGGAGTGGAATGCCAATATCCTTCACAAATCCATAGTTTAAGATATATATCATTTAGCAACAATATATCCAGAAGATTAACAATCCTAATACAGACACTAAATAATAGTTCATTAAAAATACTTTAAAGAATAAATGTGGGATACATTTTCCCCAGTTTATTAGCCATTACTAACAAACATTCATGTGAATGAAGTGCCCAAGCCTCACCCACTGGGGACACATTATTCTCTGAACTACGGGGTTTTTTCCAGAGCGACACCACCTTGTCTTGGACTCAGCAAAGCAAACATCTGGCAAGAATTTCCCCAAATCCACATTTATCAAAGTAACTGCAATCTAAAGTGATTTTTAATCCCTAAAATTGCTATAAATTGAAGTATTAGTGATATTTACCTTGTACTAAACTCTGAAACTCATAACTATTCCAGAGAAGATAAAGATTGGTGGTGAAATAAAATAACTTGGATTCAAAAAACCAGTACAGGTAGGGATATTTCCGACAAAGCAAGAAGTATGTGGTTCTACCTAAAGGAGAGAGGTGGGCCTTCCTTCCCTCACCTTATGGGAGTTGGGGCAGAGGTAAAAGCTATTCATGCTGAAATAGCCCTGGCTGGTGTACCTCGGTGGATTGAGTGCAGGCCTGTGAACTAAAGAATTGCAGTTCAATTTCCAGTCAGGGCACACGCCTGGGTTGCAGGCCAGTTCCCAGCAGGGGGCGCATAAGAGGCAATCATACATTGATATTTCTCTCTCTTTCCCTTCTAAAGATAAATAACTAAAATCTTTTTAAAAAGATGCTGAAATCATGTATTTGAATGAAATTCCTACGTAGTTTTCTAATTTCAGTATAATTGTTCAACACCAATAAGACATAAGCAGGACCCAGTGAATGAGTCCAACGTCTTTTCTACCCCAAAGATTCAACCCTATTATACTTCTCTTGGCACACTGTCTCATGGGAGAGTCTACAGATTTTGTAGTGCTCTGCCAAATTGATCTCAGAATTTTCCACTTCAGAAACACTTAGTCAAACACCATAACTTGTTACTCAGTGTTACTGTGTCATCACGAGTCCTTACCCTGTAAAAAAAATTCTGGAATTGTCTAGCTCACCATTCATTCCAGATCTCAGTGATCCTGGATTTAATTTCTTAAAAACTGCTTAGCTGAGGTTGCCTTTGCCTTCAATGTAGCACTCGGCACAACCTTGTGGCTGAACTTTTGAGTCCTTATTTCAATGCAGTTGCAACCTTTGCATATTGATTGCAGTTTGAAAGAGAGAACTGATATAATGTAATAGTTCTAAATAAATCTGGGTCATTATTCTATTTCCTCATCAGTTCATTTATTTAATAAACATTTATCATGTGCTGGCTTGCTGTATATCAGACATCATACTAAGCCCGGAAGATAAAGAGAAAGAAAAGGCAGATAATAAAAAAATATGATTAATTTGCTAAGTGCTTTCATGGAGATCAGTTCATTATACTTTTTGTAACACGTGGGAGATGGACCAGACCCGGAAAGGAAAGCCTGGGAGCAATGTCAGATCCGGCACCTGGAGCCAACCAGGGAGTTTTTAACAGACAGAACTTGAGAAGTTAATGCACTAGGTGTCAGTTATTAATTCTCAAGGGCAATAAGTGTCTTATGGTCTTTGGTTGTTTCATAATTTTACCTCAGTTTGTAAAGTTGTCTTTTTTTTACCTTCTAGCGTCTCCTGAATCACTTCCAAGGACCACTAAACCCACTGTATCTAGTGCCTTAGACATGTCAGAAACAACACTGGGTAATTCTAAGAAGTTTTTTCTAAAACAAACGAAACCCTCCGAACACTCACAGAAAAGAAAAGTAATCCAATACCTTACCTTTCTCCTCTTCTCTTCCCTCCTTACCAGCAGTAGTTAATCTTCCTATTTCTTGGACCAGTTTCATTGAAGAGTTAACAACATGCCTTGACCCTGGTGAATGATATCTAGGTAGCTCTGGAGGCTAGATGCTAAGTGTGGTCTCTTGGGTTGTACAGAAAAACAGAATGCCAGCCTTTTAACCCAGAAAGCTTGGAGTGATGGTGTAAACCTGGAAGTCTTGGCTATGTCTGTGCTTTCTGCTTTGATTGCCTTTTCCAAGTCTTGTGTGTGCTAAATATGAGGAGAATCCCCCAAAGTGTCATGCTTTCTAATAATAATTTTACGTCATGCATGTTAGTTGCTTCTCAGCCCAAGAGATTCTTACTTGCTTCATTCTCTTCTAAAGAAAAGGAGCAGCATGTACTTTGTTCTGTACTTGTGATGTTGATTGTTCATGCCACACCAAAGCCCATTGAAAGTGTACCTTCAGATTTGAACAGCTGTGTGAAATTTTTCCGGGCAAAGCCAGCTATTTCCCCAAAAGGCATCAGCTGCCTGGTGCACACTCTGTTTCAAGCAGGCATCACATGATCATAGTTCAGCCACTATGTCGAATCCCAATCACACAGTTGCTAGCTGAACTCTTCTTTATTGTAGTTTTCGGCAAAAAGACCCTGGAAAGGTTCCAAACTATCCTAATACCTAGGTTTGAGTTACCACTGAGCACTCTAGGTAAAAATTACTAATTACTGCTACTCGTTATTACCTTGGAAATTGTATGCATATTTGAAAGAATTCTTTAGGCTAATTTATTCAAATTCATCTCCTCACAGGAAAGAAGAGACACTTGGCTTTTAAAACCATAAGCTCCCCAACATCAAGTTTTCAAGTTATAAAAATATTTGTTCTGTAATTTAGGTCTTAAAGAGTCTCTCTATAACAAATCCTTCCATTGTTTTTCTTTTTGGTCGTTGTATTTTGATGCTATATTTTATTCTTTTATGTCACTATATCAATTGTTTTCTGTATTTTCTCTAAATATCTTATATTTAATTCTTTTCACAGAGAAAATATGATTTATGAAGACCCTGTCATAACATTCTTCAAATTTCTGAGCACAATATCAATAAAGGTGTTGGTTGGGATGAGCTTAAATATAAAGCCATGTAGTCACCAAAATTCTATTTTAATAGCTAGTAGATGGACATTTTTTTCAGTTCAGATGTGTTTGGTGCTTAATATGAATCTAAATGAAATACATCTAGGAGCGCACATAGACATGGCTGAAGAAATTAGAAAAGTAGTAAAAATGAAAAGAAGAACTCAAAATCTTAAATTATAGTGGCTTGATTATTTTTTTAAAAAGCTTTATTATATTCCCCAGCACTGAAACATAAGATTAAGAAATGTAAACAGTCTCTTACTTAACATGTGTAATTTGCCTTTTTTGTGATTGTTTTAGCAAAATCTTTTCTCTGTTACTTGCCCCTCAAGTCATAACATTTCTTATGTGTTTCTTTACAGCTCCGAAAAGACTTCCAGAATTTCCTCAGGCAAAAATACCCTTCCTTTCTGAGAAACCTGGGGGCAGCTGGGGTAATAACGGCACCTGAAATCCGGTGTTAAGATGTGGGTGGTGACTACTTAATCCTGGAGAACACATTTACTGCTTCCCATCTCTGCAAATCTCAAAGAACTGATGAATTCCATTAACTTGGCCAAACCAGTGGTTGATTTGGGTTTAAAAAACAAACGAACCCTATTTGTCTGATTGGGTTTTTTGTATAAATTTAATAACATCATTAGTCCATTAATTCTACATAGCTCATTAAGTTAGTTTTTTGTCTTAAAAATATTGAGAATATGATGCCAAGCTTTGGTCTCTCTCTAGTCACTAATCACTCTCGGGATGGGTACACATTGATTTCTTCTTGGTAGATGATGGCTTTTCATTGGGTCAGTATGTGCTTCTCATTGCAGGATTCTGGTAGTCAGCCACACCAACCACCTATTTCTGTTTCTTTGTCCTCCCCCCAAAATCCTCAGCAAATTCCCTTTCTTTTTGCTGTAGCTTCAAGTGAAAAGCCATGGACTGTACCTATCACTAAAACATCTGAAGACTCCAAAGTTCTACCACCTCAAACTGGTAATTGCATTCTTTTTTTTTAATAGATTGGTGCAACAGTATTAAATAACTTCTTGTTTTCATTTTTGTAGGTTCCTTAGTTGGTTATCAATATACTTTGTAGTAAATGGTAACGCTATAAATCATTCCTGATACTTAAATGAATCTCATTTTTTCCCTCAGTACAAAAGTAAAATGTTTTTGCATTTGTTTCAGAGATCTGTATTTTAACATCTGGAAATCTAATTAGGACTTTGGCTAGCAGAAAAACTACACATTGGTTCAACGATTTTCTAGAGATCTAAGAGCAGTAACAAAAACAAGCATCATCACGGGTCTGATTTAACAGATAAATTTGTTTCCCTTGCAGATCGATAATTTGCTTCTTTTTCATCAATGAATTTTTTTCAGTGGCAATTATTGCTATTTATTGAGCACCTTTTATGTGCCAAATGTGGTACCAGATACCTGGAAGCGAGCTGTATGACTTGGGGCCCGGGAAACAGTAATAGGACATTGCATCTTGGTCCAACTTTTCAAAAGGCTTCCAAGCCCCTATGTATCCTCAAGTCCACTGAGCCTGCCAATGGAAATCAGCCAGTCTAGCTGAGAGGGGCAGAGTGGTGATTCCCACTGCCCCTCAGACCATACCTCACCTTCCTCAACAATGAATATTTAAGAGCCTACTATGTGCAAGATATTATTGCTAAATCCTAAAATCTATCAGCATATCATGATGGAGAGGGAAGATCACAAGTCTTGGCATTAATACTGGACTTTATTTCCAATTCTGGCTTTCCTACTCATATATTTTAACTATTTTCTCTACTTTTCTGGGTCTTAGTTTGCTCTTTTTGTAAATTGTGGCAATTGGCTTTTTTTCCTCTGAGAATTCTTGTGTTCCTCCACTAAAAGTGATCAAGGGAGGTAGCTCTCCTTTTTTAGAATAGATTTTTCTCAAAATACAAAGTTTTCTACATGTCTTTTCTTTGATATCTAGCAGTCAACTAAAGACAATTGATATTCAGCATATGAGGATTATAAGAAAATCTCAGAAACCATTTAGTGTGATTACTTTCATGATTTTTGTTTTACTTGTTTGTATTTAAATGTTTTGTGTACCTTTTAGTTGTGACTTTTTTGAGCACATATAGTATATAACGTAGTTAGCAGTTCAGGTAATAAAGTTATATAACTGATATTTTGTGGCATTCTTCAGTAAGAAGTCCAACTGAGGGCCAGTTTGAGAAAGGATGAGAATGATCCTTCAGACTCATAGATCTTAGTCAAATTATCTTTTCTCTGACATGCATAATGGTATCAGATATCAGCAAAAGATACAAGGATGTGTCAGCTAAAGTAAGTGTGTCTATTATGCTAATCTCTCCTAGCTTTTCCTCAAGTGGGAGAACACTTGAAATGTATCTGTACTGGTCAGCCAATCAGAGAAGCCTCAGACTGGGTCTTTCTAGACCACAGTTCCCCTAGTCACTGACCCAGAAACTTTAGTGAGTTATTTAACGTGAGTATGGAAACACGCTTAGCAGTCCAGGTCACCTGAGTCCAAAATCCGGGCCCTGAGTAGGGGTTCACACTGAGCCTCTCACTCCATCAGCATCACGCAGGCACAGCCGCAGTGTGACTACGCAGCTAGTCTGAGGGCAGTGTGTTGGTTTATTCTGTTGCACTGCAACAGACCTGGCCTGCCTCCCATGTCCATGAGCATCACTTCTCCCAAAACAAACCTGTGGGGCTCACTGGACCAGATGACTTCTTAGGTCCCTTTTATCTCTTAGCTTTTGGATTGTCCTGTAGGGGACACAGGGTCCCCCAAGGTTTCCCTTGAGCAGGCTCTAGGTTTTGGTGCCTATGATTTTTCAAGGACAAGCTGACCAAAACCTTAATGAATCCATATGGAGTTTTAATGCCTAGGGCATGAATTATATACAAAGCCTGAATTGAAGCAAACATCAGGAGTGAAGAGAATTATGTTGGGAAGTGAAGGTGGTAGAGTTACAAAGAGACAAAGATAGATGAGATTAGAAATCCCACTACAGGCAGAGTTCTTTTCACCTTTCATTTCATAAAAGGAATATTTTGGTTTTTCCCTTTTGGATTCTAAGTAGTGGCTAACATAGCAGGAAGCAGTTCTATTATTCATCTGCCAGAGAATTTCCAGCTGGGGACTGCCAGCCTTCTGGATGAGTGTTGGGGTTGTCACGGGCTGTAACAGCCCAGCAAAGGACGAGTGCAGGCTTGAGTGCAGCCCAGGAGCTTCCTCACCCACTGTCGCTGCCTTTTCACTCGCGTACCTCCACTACTTAGCGGGCTCCTTGGACCAGCAGCACTGGCGTCACTGGGGAGTTAGTTAAAAAGGCAGAATTTGGGACTGTGCTCTCCAGATCTGTTGAGTCAGGATCTGCTTTTTAACAAGATTTCCAGGTGATTTGTATGAACATTAAAATTTGAGAAGTGCTGCCTTATTGTTGTAGTCTATGGTATTTCACATGGTGCCTATAAGAATCATCAAATGTGGTTAATTGCAGGACAAGAGGACTCAAATCAATATAAGATTGGTTTCTCCAAGTGGGGATTGCTATCTCTTGTTTTTGCTAATGCCTGTAATGCTTACATCTATCTCTTATATAAGAATTCTGTGGCATCTTCCTAACATGCTAAATTTCAAAATAAAATTTATCATATATATTTATCATATACATTATTTGTGATTTAAAGAGTTGATATAGTCATGCCATTCTTTCATTGATTTCAGCCTTTCTTATTTCTTGTGATTGATTTTGTGTGAATTTATACATGTACTATTTCCTATTTAGTTTCGATGTATATGATTATTTATTTTATTTTCCAATTACGTGGTTTTCAAATGTAATCATTTTGAGAATGAAGAAGAGAAAGGTAGAGATAGTATTTGAATACTGGCCCATAAAACCATTGATCCATTTTTAGTTGTTATATCCTTTGAAGAAATGGTATAATTTAGCTGGTATGAATGGCATTATTATAGCAAAATTAATGCCTTGTGGGGATACAATGCATCTATATTTACCATGTCAATTCCCTCCGATCAAAGACCAGCAGGAACATACCTGTATGTGAACAAAGTTAGGTTTATTTACTCACTTTATCAATAGAAAATACATGTGAGAAACTGGGGGAACTTTCAGTAAGACAGTGTTGGAAAGGACTTACTGTGGGACTTGGCCTTGTGTTAGGTGATTCCTGGGAGGGTACAAGGAAGTAAAGCTTTGCTCTCAATGGGATATTGTCTGAAAGTGGAATAGCTTTGTGATGGAATAGCTTTATAATTCTTAACAAGAAGACAAGAAGAACAGAGTGAAGCTCAAGTTGTGATTGGCAAAGAAGCAGCAGTTAGTTACATGAGCCACACGGTGAGGACAGTCATTTTTGTGTTCACTCGTTTGTCTGTGTTCACACGATTACAGAGTGCTCTTGTTTTTGTCTCGATCCGTCTTAGTCACTGAGTGGTCTTGCTGAAATTGGTTTTCTCTCAAACTGTTGATGTTCAGCAGGCAAACACCAAGCCGAGCTGTGGGGGCCAAACCAGTGGTGGATGCCAGGGTCTGCTTTTCTCTTTATCAACCATTATACATGATTTATCGATGCCATTTATAAAACCCATTTTACTTTGGCATTTACTGCATTTGGTTTCCACATTGACTTCACATTCTGTATCAGATCATCAGAACATATGCTCTCCAAGGGATTTCTGTATTACTTTTGGATGTAAAAATGTATGTGGAGATTCTAATTTGTGTGCTGAACATTGATATCCTTGGGTCATTTCAATAGTTTAGGACAAGAGTAGAACAGAGTTTTTGGAATTTGGAATATTCCAGGAAATCTGAGTACTATAGCCATTAACTATATTCTTCCCCACTTTAAGCCTATTTTTCCTAATCTTTCATTAGTGCTGCATTTTGCGATCTCATTATTTGAACTGTATTTTGTATCAAACTTTCTCTAAATTACATTTAAGTAGGATCAATTGATTTTGATTCTCTTGGCAAATCCAGTTCTCCTTAAGGTACAGAAAGGAAATTACAAAGATCTGCTCTAAATAAGAATGCCAGAATGCCAACTTATTTATAAAGTCTATATTTTTAAAAAGTTGGCCACATTTCAGGAATACTTTAGTGCTTGTGATAATCATTCAGAACAGTCCATCTCTCTGATGTTAAGTAGAACTGGTCTTATATTCTACTGGAAGGTGGCCAGCTGACTATGATTTCTGTGTTGCCACAGAGTGAGTTCCAGAAAAGCTCTCGGTGCCTTGCAGCCCCACCCCCACCCCCAATGAACTGTGTGCTGCATGAATATGTGCGCACTTGTTGACTACTCTTCACTGGAATAGTATAATTTTGTATATACCTAGCAGATTCCTATTAGTAGGTTCAGAGTTGCATTTATACCGTCATATACCATTGATCCTTCTGAAGTCTCCAGAGGCAAAGAGAGTTATCATTCTATTTTATCTTAAGAAGATATATGGGACATTTGCTTTTGAATAGGCAGAGGAGCAAAAACCAGATGATCATTCCTTTCTTTCTGAATCTCTCCTAGAAAATGCTCCGTGTTACAAGTGAAATAATGTCACAGAGCTTCCTTTGAAATTTTCACAGAATAGTGCAACAGAGTAAATCAAATGCTTTCATTAGAGCCAGGTGTCTTCTGGATTTTTAAGAAAGGGCAAGTGGACCATAAGAAAGAGTGGCCAGTCACTGAAGTTTATTCTCATTGTGAATTTAATTGCTGATCTGTGAGCTATAGGATGAGACAGAGCTGGCTTAACAACCAACTCAACTATTTACTATTTATGTGGCTGTAAACAAGTGGCTTAACCTCTTAGGTCCCCAGTTTTCCCATCTATAACATGGAAATAATATATATATTATTATATATTAATGGAAATAAAATATATATATATATTTTATTGGGTTGTTATGTTTTAGAAACAATGTGTAAGTCACTGAATCTGATTCACAGTACATAAGGGATGCGCTCTCAGTACAGTGGGCTCTCGCATCGAATGTATCTTCTTCCCACCAACCTAAATTTCCTGAAATAGTATAGATGCTTAACAATAATATTAACCAATTATTTAATTAATAAGAAGAAAAAGACTCTTAAGCTTGTATACATATGAGCATATCAAATGACTTTTGGATCTGCATTTAACCTGTGTAAAAATTTTTAAGGGAATGAAAAGGATATGTGCTATGTTATTTGAAGAAGATTTGCACCCCCATGGGAATGGCAATGTCCTATTAATCCCACGTGGCCGTGCTGTTCAGTTCGAGTGGCAGCCTATAGCATTCTCTAAACTGGGCTCAGGCCCTGCCTCGGCTCAGGCAGTCAAATGATGCCATGACCAACTCTGTGTTTTCTGTGGGCATCAGAGTTGGAGAAGCAGCTTCAATGCTTTGTGTTTCTCATTCCCCAGATGCAGTTTACGCATGATTCTTAAGTCCTTGTATGGTTTGAGGTGGCAGGTGGAAATCAAGTTTCTGTTTCTGATTTGATAATGCCGACAGTTAAGCCTCCTTAACTCACTTGACCATCCTCTTAAAAGAGCATCATTTTGAATTTAAAGCCCAAATAAAATAAAAGAAATGGTTTATTTTTTAAATATAATCCAGGATGATTAGATGTGTTTAGTTTCATCTTTAGAAAATTCTCCTGCCTATTCTTTCCACAGGGGGTCCAGACAAACTGATTTTTTCCTACCTATTGTTCTATGACTTAGTGTTACTAAGACAACTACTTCTTCTGGCAAACTTATTTCCCCTTAGACAATCAATGTTGAGACTTCCCTCGACAGTCAGACCTGTGGATGGTAGCTCTCATTCTTTTCATTAGATTCCACTGAAGGGAGCCACCTTTAAGAGTTTATCACTAATTATTTTCAGTGTTTAATTCTTTCAGTACTTTGTAGAACTTTAGTAAATTGCTGTGCACACTCTTATCAGTTATTTAAAGACTTGGAAGCTGAACTGATCAGTGTGCCTAAGGAGTCCTACACTGGCTGGAAAGTTCTGGCCCAGGTGGTTTGCTCAGGGCAGTTGAGAAGAGGTTGAACTCTACTTCTGACCTTCCTGACTGCCTGTGAGGTGTTGATTAGTGTGGGTCTGGCCCACCCAACTGGACAAGCCCCAGAGAAGAGAAAAAGTTGGAATGGGTGGTGGCGTTGATGCTTCAAGAGCAGGAAAATAGGATTCAAGTTTAACAGATGGTTTACAGATTTACTGTGGCCTCTTAGAGATATATAGCCTTAGCCTTTGATTTTACTTCATGAGCATTTTTTTTTTTGCAGAAAATATTTCCACAAATTTCAGGGTTAACCTGAAAGGTATTTTATTTTCCCCTGAACTGAAGAAAGCATTGCGTATTTATTTAAATGGCACTGAGAACTCTGTGTGTGGTGTTTATAAATGCTTTTCTCTTCAGCTATTTATTGATATTAATGTTGTATTTTCCCATTGCTTCTTCATGTATGATTTTAGGTTCTATTTTCATGGAAGGGGATGGCCACATAAGCATATGGCATGTAATGGTGGAGTAGAGACAGATTTGTATGCACATACATGTGTATCATAGCATAATTAAAGGCCTGTTCATTTATTCTCATTTATCTTTACTAAGAGCATAACTGCACACTGCCAAACTCAGTGGCATTTGTTCATTGTAGTGGGTGTCTCATAGATTCATTCTATTTAGTCTCTGCTGTGCACCAGGCTTTGGGGTGATGAACAGAGTGCATAGTGAGCATCGTCACATTTTCTGTCCTAATGAGGTCTTTCCTCTAAGAATGTGTGTTTAAACGTGGCGGTCTTTCACGTAGTTGTTAATATTCGTGGCATTTGAATACAACACATTGATGAATTCCTGATCATTGGAAATACTTGTCTGTGTGCCACCACATTTCCAGAGCAAGATGAAAGTATTTTTATTATAGAGTGTGCATCTCATCCATTTTTAAGTAAAAATAAAATGTACAAACAACAAAACACAATTTTGCAATGTAGTTTTAGGGAGTTATGAACAAATGAGAAAATGGTAGTATGGCCTATTTCATATAATATTTTCATAAGAAAAATATGACAGTAAAATTTAGTTATTATGATTGTGTCATTACAGTGTTTTAAGAACAACTAACACTATTAACAAAACTACTGCTCTTTATAACGTTGCAATGGAGCTACCTATTTCCCTCACACTGGATTTCTCCTCCAAGTTTTGGTTGCACTGACGTTCTGTGAACGCAAGGTGAGGGACAGCGCTCCATGTCCTGTAGCTGGGGCATTTCATCCACTGAGTAAATATGGTGATGAGAGAGTTGCCTCTAAACCATAACACATGATGGCACATAAAGAGTCTGAAAAACAGAAGGGTTCATTCCAAATTCTTAGCTATCGATCAACTTTATGGCCTTCTAAAAACCAGAGGTGCCTAACCATTTCGTACATTTTACTCTGGTAGGAGTATGTACGTGTATAAGAGTTTTGTAAAGAAGTCAAGAGCTGTTGATTTTTAGAGAGCTTCATTTCAACACTGTCCTCTCCTCTGATATCTCTTATTTCAGAGTCAAAAAAACATTGTTTAACCCCCAAACGAAATGAGCTGGCAGCGTGCTTCCCGAGGCTGCCCAGACCTTGTAAAACTCCCACCACATGGCGTTTGTGTGCTTTTAGCACTCTTGTTCTTCATTGCTCAACTGCACAAACTCCAGAAATAGAAATATCAAGGACCAAGCCTGCTGGCAAAGGTGTTATTTTAATCTTAAGCATATTTGAGGAAATGTTTGGACGCAATAATCCAGACATGAGCCACAACTGGCCGAGAATGGTGGAATGAAGGCTTCTTTTCTTACTAGAGCACCTTCGGAGAATAACCTAAGGAAGATGGCAGCCAGGCTTGGAAAGTCTAAACAGAGAAGCAAATCGCAGAGATGGAAAAGAAATAGAAAAAGAGTGAATAAATATCAACTTTTGGAACAAAAAAATGCAGAAATAAGAAAGGTGGTCCAGTGTCACTATAGATAAAAGGAAAATGTGGGACTTAGGATAACATAAAGCAGTTGTGGCAGTTTTCAAAAGTAACAATATAAATAAGTCAAGCTATTAATTCATAATTTATTTCCTAGTATGAGAGGATGAAATAAAAGTTGGTCGTTTTCCTAATTAATCTAGTAGTAGACAAAGCTGATTTTGATGGTTCTATGAAATTGGCTTAAAACAATACTAAGATCAGCAACTGCCAACATTTCTGTCCTTTAAAAGGTTAGTCTTTCTCCTCTGATTGTAGCTAGGCTAAAGAAAACTTTACATTACAATGTAACAGATTTACTCTCAGGATGTTTACACATTTTAACTCATAGTTTTCTTTCTGTTTTTTGAAGATTTTGCAAAGCATTAGACTCACCTTTACAAGCTGAAATTTTTTGTTTCTGCCTCTTAAGCGTGTGGTACAATATACACTGTCCTATCTGCCTCTCGGAGTGTGTCACAGGCTGATAGTTTCTTACAGCTTCCCCTAGCAGTGCTTCAAATCATTACTCTGCTGTTGAATTACAAGTAACCCCAATGAGTAATTTTTCCCAGGAGCTCCCCCCACCTTTCTAGTTTATTTCTGCACAGCCATTTTGAATGGGCAAGAAAAGTAACATCTATCTCAAAACATTCCAGCTTCTGTACACCTGTCAAAATAGTGATAGCTATTGGTACAGTAGAGGACATTTCTATTTCGATGCTGTTTTTGCTTGCAGGTTCAGTTCTTATGTGAACATGAAAATTATCCTTATTTTAAAACCGACTTTTTTAAGGTCACCCTGCTTTTTTTTATTTCATGTAGAATATGCATGTTATCTTTAAGTCTACCTAGATCGTGGAGAAAATAGAAAGAAAGCTGCCACCAGGTAAAGTGGCAGAAGGAATAGTGTGAGAGGAAGAGAACAGGTCTCAGCTTTGCCATTCCTGGACCCGCGAAGGCAATGGAAAATATGCTGAGCTGGACAAAGGCAGTGTGTGACCACTGGCCAATGTCTTCACCGCTGTGAATCTCAGATGCATTGTCTAGGAAATGGAGATAGTACCCTTTTATCTATAAAGTGGGGATAGTCTCTACCTCACCCATTTCTCAGGAATGTTAAGAGGGTTAAATAAGCTGATATAGGAGACAGTGCTGTGCAAACTGTAGAGTGCTGTCCGAATGTTAGGATAGCATGATGGTGACTTTCACTAAGTAGAAAGACTAAGCAGTAGACTTTGTGCAGCCTCAACGTGATAGCTGTTTCCTTCTTCGGAAATCTCTCCCGTTTTACTTCATTTATGTTTATACTCTTGGAAGCTCTTTGCTTTAGAGCTGGCACCACTTTATTGTAAATATATACAATATACATTTTGTATATATTTGTATAGTACTGTGTTCACATCCTCCTGGAGACCAGCATCAAGGCTTGCTGTATAAAGATGTTTAGTTCAGGGCAAGAGGGACTAGAGGCAAATCTTAGTGATTCCTTACACTTTAGTGACAAGACTAGCATTAAAATGTGTCATGTAATATTTTCAGTCAAAGTTAACATCTCTTTTACCTTTTCTTTTGAAGCAACTTATGATGTTTTCTCAAGCCCTACAACATCGATCGAGCCTGAAATATCAGAGTCCCACGCAGGTATACCCACCCTCTCGATCCTTGCCCTAGATTCCAGGTGTTCTGACAGTCGTGTACCTAGTTCTCTCTTTTATTTTTGCTGGATGAAAAAGTGTGCTCTCCAGAGCCCTGCAGGAAAAAAAGCAATCATGTCAGGAAAGTGAATTCTACCCTCTCCTCCCATGGAGCAACCATGTGTTCACATTCATCCGTAAATGCGCTCTGCTCAAGTGGGAGATGCAGACAGGTGGTTGCCCCTGAGGCAAAGTAAGGTGATGGCGGATTGCTCTATTGCTCAGAATCATTTTAAAAGGGTTTTGGAGTCCTGCAGAGTTTTCTCGAGCAGTGGTTCTCCAACTGGGGGTGATTTTGCTCTTTCTCACCCTTAGGGGCATTTGGAAATGTCTAGAGACACTTCTTTTGTCTTAGCTGGAGGAGGTGCCACTGACACATCTAGTGAGTAGTGGCCAGGGATGCTGCTGAACCCCCACAATACAAAGGATAGGCCCCCGCAACAAAGAATGATCCAGCCCTAAATTTGAATAGTGTGGAGGTGAGAAATCCTGCTGCAGAGAGATCCTGTCACTCATTAGTGTGGAGATCAGTTGGTCTAATCTTCGGCATTCACTTACTGGTGCAGCTACAGTGAGTTCAACCCAGTCCAATATTTCCTTTCAGCAAGTGTTTATTAAGCACCTACTAAACTTGCCACTGCAGAGATTCAAAGTGAGTGAGACTGGTCTCTGCAGACATGCATGTATGCCTGATATTTTTCAGATGTGTAGCCTTATCTCAGCATTATTCATCCCATGGTAGATAAAAGTAAATAAATGTAAACTGCAGGAAAAAAATCTTAAAAAACGGAATGCTAAAGTGGGTTCAGTTAGTAGTTAAGAAATAGAAGAAGCAAAAAAAACAGTTGAAAATAAGTTGATTATATGAGACATAGTTTTATCGTGCTTTCTAATGTTTAAAGTATATATGGTGAAGAGGGCAAAGGGTGGGGAATGGGAGACATCTGTAATAGTGTTAACAATTTCTTAAAGTTTTATAAAAGAAAGTAGATATGTTTTTTAAAGTAAGCTCATCTTCAAATTCTAATGAATTGCTCATTTAAAAATGTTGGTCAGAAATCCCTCAAGTGTTCTTGATATTTTTTCCCTATATGAGGCATAATTTATTACTCATGAATTTGTGTTTTATTCCTGGGGCCTTCTGCTGCTTTTATAAATGTTGACATTTATTCCAACAGCAACAAGTGATCCATTTCTGGATTCTGTCCCACCTAAAACTTCTAGAACTCTTGAACAGCCAAGGGCAACACTGGGTAATGTTTTTAACAGAAAAATTATTCTTTGTTTTCCATCAAAAGAAAATCCATGTGAATGCCTTTCTTCCAAATGACCATTTCTTTCCATCACATCTAATTATTTATTTCTTTCCTATTTCTGAATATACATATTTTTTCCTATAATGCAGGCATCTTATGTTCCATTTTGATTTCCTTTTTTTCTCTGTACTGTAATAGAAAATATCTTCCCATCTTTGAAGGAATGAACAGCTTTGAAAACTGCATGGACATTTTCATCATCCATATCATCCCATCTCATGCCTGTGGCCTGTATCACTATCTCCCATGCATTGAGTCTGCCTGGAGTCAGCTACTGAACAATTATCACTCTGACCTTTTCCCCACTTCACATTATTATTTCATCCATCAGCTTTCAAGACTACATGCATTTTTATCCTTAGTCATGTACCTGTAGCATGTGCTTTGTAACACCATCTAAAAGCATGTTAAAACTCTTAAAATACCTCATTTCAACTGGAATTACTCGGTGGGACGGGGTGTTTGTGTTTTCAGCTCCAAGTGAAATACCATTTGGTCCTCAAAAGGTGGAAGTCATTCCCCATCCTGAAATGCAACCTACAACACCTGGTAACTAACAATATTTGTATAGTTGTTTGCTTTGAAAGAGCAGATAAAGTGACAAAAAGGAGTCATTTATGTTGTCCTTTTCAGAATATTTTTAGCAGTAAACATTTCCCTTTGTTTCTTCCCATAAATTATGAAGAATTTTTTGCTGTTATTCTTTGAAATTTGCCAACCAGAAAATAGCAGCAGAATTATAGATAATTGTTTTAAAATACATTCACTTTTAATTAGCACATTCAGATACCACCAGGTCAGAGTGTTTTTCTCAAAGTAGGTTTCAGTATAAAGAGTCCCAAGTAGGCTCCGCAGTCCTGGACATGAGGAAGAAAAAATGGGCAAAAGAAAGGTACACAACCTATATTTTAGAATAGAAGATTACTGGAGTCATGAAGTTCATTAACTACTGATGAGGTTAGTAGAGCACTACAGAATTAAAGAAGTTCTGAACTTTCTATTCTGTTTGGTAAATCATCTTTTGAGTCCTTGATTGTACCATGTGTTCCTAAATTCTTCAAAGGTGCTCACAGTATGGTACACTTACTTGAACAATGTACCTTCAGTTCTCATATAGAAATTTAATTCCTTTGGCCCAATGAACACATTAATTGAGCACCTACTGTGAGTAAAGCATGGTGCTGGGCATTCTAGGGATACAAAGAAATAGAAAGCAGTTCTTGAACTCAAGAAGTGTACGAGTTTATATTCGCAACCTGATTGAGCCCTGAGAGGCATCACTCATGAAATCTGCTTTAAATCTGCTTTCAGCTCCCCTGCAAACCACATCCGTTTCTTCTACACCTAAACAACGCCTCAGGCCCAAACCACCAAGAATCAAACCTGGTAAAGAAATGGTTCTTTAACTTTTCAGGATGTTTAATTCCAAATAGGTAACACCCATCTCCGTGCCATAAATATAAGTGCTATGATTCTATAGGTTAAAGTTCCTTTAGAAAATTTGAAGGTAACTAAAGATGTGTAATTAATAAACCAAAATAACAAGAATCAATCATTTCTAATAAGATTTTATGAAAAATCATGCGATGTTCTTGAATGTAAACTCTGGTTTAAACCTGGAAACAAGTCTTGCTGTCACAACATGGCAAAGTGAGGTATATAGTACAATTCTTTTTCTTGGTATGCTGTCCCTATTTAAGTATTTATTAGGCTGACAGTTCTTATTTGTTTGGTGCCTACTGCGTTTTCAGTTTCCCCTGGGGCAATGGCTGAGATGGACATGATTCCAGCTTCCCAATTTCTTATAACCCCTAACAGATAATATATAATAAACAGTGAGAGAGCAACCGAAGATTATATAATTCATTTGTGAGACCATAATATATGTGTAGAAGGTCAGGATGAGTAAGAGTTGAGGAAGTAAGCTTAAATATGTGCAGGATTTGGGCAGAAGAAAAAGGAAACAGGAGCAATAGATTTTAAGGCACAGAGTTTGGGTAGTAGAGGTAGCTTATCAGTCTAGAGGGGATTTTCCTCATTGTCAAATAATACACTCAAAATCACACTCAGCAGGTTGGGTTTTGCTTATTCCATTGTAATATAAATACAGGTTTTTATATAGTCTATACTATTATGACTGAGTTTGAAAATTCTTTTCCAAAACTTCACTCACTGCACACTTTATAAACACTGACTACTACATATGGCAGAATATTTGAAAGGCCATTCAGTTCTTCTTTGAAGGATATCTTTTTATTGTCTCTAGGATATGTTAACATCTCTTTTCCTTTTACCAGAAAGAACCAAAAGGCCTGGAACCACAACATCTAAAATTTCTAAAGGCCCTGAACCAACATGGACAACACTGGGTAAATGATGGGTCCTTAGTGGTTGCATTACTTCATTTCACCATGGGAAATCCAGCCCCCCAGCTTTCCTGTAATGTCTCAATCAGCATTCTAAATTGCTCGTTTCAGCAATTCCGAGTATCTCATGTAGTACGTGGACTCTCGGGCTTTCATGGTTTTGGATATTTGGCTCCATAGTTAGTGGATCTACACTCAGCATTATTCATCATTCTATGCCTTGGAAAGCTATTAAACCATTGTTTCCTTCCCATCTTCTATTCAGTCATTATATTTGAGGTTGTGTCTTATACATAGTTTTCTCTCTCTTTTTTTTCTTTGCATAAGGCCCTCAGGTTCAACTTCAGGCTACAGTTGGAAAAATGATTATTATGGTATTAGTAGAATTTCTTTATGCTGCAGATTATAGCATTGTAGCTATCAGAAAATATTGATTTTAAATGTATTTTTTTCTGGTGCTTGAAGACAGATGTAGCTGAGGAATATGAAATAATGGTGTATGATTACACTGGCTTTTTTTAAAAGCATGGATTAACTTCACTGTCTTTGTGTAGTTATTAGGGCTATTTAATGGCAATGCTATTTCTGTTAGGTCAAATATACTCTAGAAATGTTTCACTGTATTTCCATTAAATGCTGTTCTGTGAAATATTTTTTAATGGACTATTTCCAAACTATGCTAAGATGAAGGGTTCATTCCACTTAAAGTTTAGATTTTTCTTTTGTGGTTTTAGACACTGAAATGCCTAAATATTGATTTATTGATTGCTTTTGTTTCCTTATTTTTCTAGCTCCCAGTAAAACACAGTTTATTTCTTTGATACCTAAATCCCCTGTCAGCCCAGAAGTGACACACATCAAACCTGGTAATTACCCCAAATTTCTGTTTAATATTCCAAGACATGACTTGAAAGTTGTTTTATGCCACTCTTCAGAGCAAGGACTTCTGAGTTGTATTTTGGTATTTGATACATTTTGCCATGAAAAGTGCAAAAATGCTATGAAATCTCACTATAACCAGCCCCTCTGACAGTACCACAGCGTCACTCTGAGCTTTGGGGACGATCATTGCACTCAGGGCCACCAGAGAACAAACACAGAGACAATGATACCGATGGCTGAGGACTGACTCCCTTGTCTAGGATTATGAAATAGTTCCCAGTGCCAAAGCTGACTGGGACTCTCGGGTCGCTGGACAATCGCCTTTCGGCTGGAGAGGGAAGAAGAGTTCCCATCCCTTAAGAACTCTGCCTCATTTGGAGCGTCTCAGATTCAGGCTGTGAGACCAAAGAGTTAAGACCACATATCAAAAGTACAAAAGCTAAAAATTACAGCTTAAATATTTAGCAAGTATTTTGTCATGTCTTTAATGCATCTGAGGAAGGCATTGAAAGGGGATAAACTGCCACATGTATGCTTACAATATATTTGAAATTTTGATGCCATATAGGACAGCTTGAACTTATAGTACATCATTTTTATTATATAGAAATAGTTCAAATAAACCAATGTATGCATTCTTAGAATAATATTACAACCATGTACCGCCATAGTTTAGTAAATGTAAAAAACTTTCAGGTTTACTCAACAATAATACCCTTTTTCAGTGCTTTTCTGCTTCATCTTACTATGTAATAAAATTCTAGCCACAAAATTGAAACAAAATTCATGCCAGGGGAAGTCTCAGCAATTTAGAGAAATGATTGAGAACAGAAATAATTAAGTAGGAGTGTAGATTTATTCTTTCATCTCAACGTTATTTGGCAGAGAATAAAATTTCTTATGACAGAAAAGAATTCGAGTTTACGGAGGGTTGTATCTCCCTGAGGCTCCATAACTTCTTTCTGTCCTGGGGCCGATTTCTGAACACTGGCTCCTCAGTCACTGTCTCCTTATGCTTCTCAGGAGGTATTGATGGTGTTTCATTGAAGAAAAGGGGACTCTTTTGCAGGGAGGGGTTAGCCTGTATATATCATTTAAAACAGAGACCATTCTCTACATAAGGATTGTAGGACATACTAAGGGACCAAATCTTTGGGGGTTTTTTCCATCCAGAATCTACACAACAGTTTACATATTGACTTATACGACAGTACATGTATGGGATCTTTGTCACTACTCATCATTTTCATCTAAATGTTAAACCCTTCACTCTTGGAAGAATGTATTTTTCACTATAACATTCAATGGATTTTTCATTAATCCTTGTTTACAAAGGACAGTTACTAAAGCAAGAGTTTATGATTTTTTTTGCAATGAAATACATAAGGAAGCAAATGTAGCTGCTCAGAAAAAAATTCTAATGACTCCTTTTCAAGAGGCAGCGAGAGGCGAGAGGAGTGTGACCAGGGGTGGGGTCTCCCAGTCAGAGAAACACAATGATGTGTTCTTACTCAGAGAGGCCACTTAGAGAAAGATGTGTAGCTTATAAAACTCCACAGCCCTAGAAGCAAAGAACAGTGACAGTGAGCTACATGGGAGAAGGGTTTAATGTACATTTATTTTTAAATCGTGCTTGGGGACTTCAAAATAAGGCAGTAACTATTATACTTATGTTATATTTTGAATAGAGGGCTATTACCAAGCACGCTGAGAAATATTACTTTATATTTGGTTCACCAAGTTTAAGTATTTCTCCGATCAAATTATTTCTATTATTACATGATAAAATTTGAAAACATCAAAAAATGTCTCCAGATGTTAATTGCAGTTTACACAAGATTCATTATTAATTTTCGGCACTTTCTAAAAAGGTTTCTGAGAGGCAGTTCATTTGTACAAATAAGTTGGAGGGTGTGTGTTTATTATTCTAAGGTGCCTGAGCAGAGACTTCTTAATTTGACATTTTCCTTTTAAAGTGTAGAATATTACTTGGAAGCTTAATGAGTTTATATTCCTTTGATTTCTACCTTTTAATCACTTAAGAATATCCACACTTCTTCCTCTAACAGCAAGAACAGCCACTTCAGAGTTCACAGCTAAATTTATGCCAACTCAAGTTGACATCGAGACAACACAGAGTAATGACTGAACCTCTGCGAACTATTTATTTTTATTTTAGGGCAGGCCACCATTATAGCTCTGCTGAAGATGTCTGTTTCTAGCCAAGGTTCAGGAGAGCAAACAAACCACCAAAAGCTTTTTGATTTGAGGAATTCATCGCCTTTCCCAACCCTCTCCTCACACTCCTTTTTTTTTTTCCACTTCACTTTCCACACAGGCTGCTTTTCCTCTGGTTTTCCTCTGTGGTTAAACTAACAAGCAAAAACCACCACTTGTTTTGGCTTGTTATATAAGAAGAATCCAGTGCTTTCTTGAAAATCCCAGCCATCTACTTACTATGCCTCTATTTGTCTGCCTCATCCAATAAAAATTATTTCTTTCATAGTTCATCTTTAAGATTGTAATGACTTTCAGCTCTTCAACTTTTAACACACTAAAAAGAAAAAGGCAGAGTCTTCCAATGAATTTTATCTGTGGTAGATGGAATTGTGTTTTGTTCTCATTGCTGGTCACAAATCTACAATGAGCAAGTTGTGTTTTTCCTTGTTTTGTGCCGAGGTGAGTGGTGTAGTTATTTGCACACCCTTCAGCCTTTTTATGGAATACTTTTACACCTTTATCTCTAACACCTTAAAATTGTCAATAGATGGAGTCTTCAGGACACAGATTTGCTTTAATGAACACTGACTTTAGTATTTTCATATGCAGGTGAATTGGAAGCTTCACTGATGGGGTCCATATCTGTGTGGTCTCGGTGTGTCAGGAATTTTTTTTAATGCAGATTTTCAGAACTAAAATTAGAAGTCAGTATTCTTTAACTTTTGTAAAGGCTACAATGCTGAGTAGCAAATTTTACTTACTTTTTCATACTTTTAGAGGGCAACTTTGTAGAAATTAAAACATGAATTGCAACCTCAAAGTTTCAAAAGAATTTTTATTGTTTGCTATTTTCAGATGTGGTGCATCACTCCTCCTAACAATTTGAATGAAATGGAAGGTTTTGTTATCTGTTAGAATATTTAAATAATATTGTTGTTCAATTTAGTTAGCATTTCGTGAAACCTGAGACTGCTTCTTGCCTCCTGTTGATTTACTAATGAAAATAGACCAAATTTCATATGTAAACCAATTTGTTCACCAGCAATAAATGCTAGTAAATCTGGAGAACAGCATACGAACCCTATTGGCGTTTTTTAGACCATAAGTTCAACTTTTTTTCATAAAATAATATCAAATCCAGCCAGGCCAAAACTCATTCATGACTAATGGAACTCAGGCACAGCGACAAGTCTAATGGGTCTGCCACCTGTTCTCTCTGTCGTGAATGCCCCTGACTGTCCTGCAGGAAACAAAGTGCAGGGGGACAGGAACCGCAGGCAACCTTGGAGAGGCTGCCTTGACCTCCCTCTAATGGGGTATCTCCTCAAGCACTAGGAGCAGTATTCAGAATATTGGGTAGTAGAGAAAATAGCTCAAAATCTACCAAAAAATTAGAAATCTCAATTCTTATTTTTATTGTGGTTTGTGGAGAAGATGTGGGTGTTGAGCGTTCTGTTGTCAAGCCAGTAGAACCCGATGGCTCATCAACGAGAGAATACTTTTTATGCTAATGGCCATTTAGTTTCTGTCTTAGATGGTGCTCTTCCTCATTGCCTCTGATAATACTTGCTCTTATTGCAGCCCCGGAACCTCAGGCTCCAACACCATCGCAGTCAACAATAGGTAATGAAGTCTTCTCACTTCAGTTAGTGAAAAAGAATTATCTCCCTTTTTACACCCTCAACTTTGTCCTTAACTTTGGTTTTTCAAACATTTATTTCATCATCATCCTTCAGATCTTTCTTTCAGCCATTTTTGCCAGAAGATCAGCCCTGTGCCTATGCTCTTTGACATAGAGGTTCTGAGACAGCATGAAAGCCACAGTGATTTTGATTTGACACCCTCTTTATTGTCTCTCTTCACATTGGAGGTCTGTGTCCTGAACTGCTTTTAGTCTGGTAACTTCCACTGCAGGACTGTGGCTTCTCTAGGACATATTTGTGCTTTCACTTTTGAAGGTGCTTTTCTTAGTTTCAAAATTCCAGCATTTGCAGATTTTCTTGAAAAATCTTATGATCTTTCCGAATCTAAATATCCTGCTTTGTCACTAGGAAGTTCATTAAAAGAGAGAAATATAAAAAAATAACCCCAATCTTTATCGTTTCTTTTTCTTCAAGGGAGCAGATACTGTGTCCTGCTCATGCCGTCCTAGCCAATTACCCCTATTTTCCTTCATAACATGAACTGTTGGTTACTTTATTGCATTCACATGTTCCAAAGAAGAATCATACCATTTTCTTTCCGTTTCTGTTTCCAAACTTAACTGACTGGCTATATTTTTGTTCATTTTGTTTAAAAACACAGGCATTGGCTCAAATAAAGAAGGAGTTTCTTATATGAATAGAACTTTCATCAGTTATATTTGCTCTAAATTTAGTAATTAGAAATCAAGCATTTTCATATTTAGATAGATTTTTATCATTTTTCCTTTGATGTTGATTCCTTCTTAATGATGTTTCATGCAGTCGCTGAACCTGGAACGCTGGGAACCAAACCTACAACAACAACATTAGGTAATGCAGGTGCTGCGTGGACGACCTTCCTTTTTCCTGACTGTCGGCGTCTTTATTAACAGGCTCACATTAATGGATTAGTCCATTAATATTCTGGGCATGTGTTCTCGGTTCTTTTTCATAAAAATGTTTTAAATCTGTAGTTTTATAAACTATATCTCATTAAAAAAATTGCCATCCCTGAAATAATTTCTGAATTCGAAGCCTTTTAACACATCTCACTGATTTGTAGATTTTTTTTAAATGCTAAGTGCAAAATTTTTCCTTTTGAATTTTAGGCTAAATCGATTTTAATTTTTATCTCTAGTGGCTTTTTAGAAATAACTTTTCTCGTGTTCCTGTTGAACAAGAACTTCTAAAATTTTTTATGAGGCTGTGTTTTCCAAACTATACAAAGTTCTGGATTTTCCATCACAAAATGGAAGAATAAGGGAACTCTTGAACAGTGATTGTTTATAAACCTTTGACCAAAAAAAAATTATTGAAGACCTCATTTAGCTGGGTAAATAATGATAGAAAGTTGCAAAACAGAAGGGTATATGTCCACAATAAATTGAAGAACTTAAGTGTGCTTCTGAGCCATCTGCACTTTTGTTTGTTCTATGTTAAGTAGCTAAATTTTTTTTTTCTTCAGCTTCACGAAAGACTAAACGACCAGGTCGTCGACCCCGCCCTAAAACCACTCCTAGTCCTGATGTGCCCAAGTCCAAACCTGGTAAATGTAATGTTCAGGGTTTCAGTTAACACAGAAAGTAGACTATGGTAGCTTCTGATATAGTAACTACCTACTACCTAAATAGCTGGACTTTAGGGAGCACTATAGTTGATTTTTATATTTAAGCATCTATACTTTCTACATTTATATGAATATATTTATATTGTTATGTTTATAGGTATACATAGAAATAAGCTGACTCACTAAGTATATTATTAAAGTAGAGCGTCTAAAACTCTTATGCAGGATGCATGTTCGTGGCAGACGAGCTGTGGAAAACCAATAGGGGAAAGGGGAAGGAATGGGGCAGGGAATCAAAAGGAAAATCACATTTTAAAAACTACACAGTTCAAGTAAAGATTGAGGAGTATTGTTTCCTTCCTCAAGATACCACTTCTTCTTATAATTAGTATTTTTGGTTTTTTGTTCCATAGCTCTGGAACCTGCTACAGTACAACCGGAGCTCTTGGTGCCCACAATCGGTAATTCTACCCTCCGGCACTGCTCTCCCAGTGTCACTTTTGCTTTTCCTGCTCTCCACCCAGGCATGACTGCATCTCTGCCTCACCGCTGCAATTTCACTCCATGTGACCCTCATTTCCTATCTAGGTCTGAAGACCTGAAGATAGGAAACTTCTGGGAGAATCCTGTGTGCTTATTTAAGGAAGGTCTGTGGTCTTGGACACAGCTTCCTGGTTTTCCACAAACTCTGTCTTTCCATCACATGTGTTTTTGTGTTGACAAAACCATCTACTCTTTTGCAGACAGGGCCTCCTCTGCTCATCTTGGACTTGACAAGTGGCAAAATGTTATTCCTGTGCCATGATCATCATTTCATTCATTTACTCATTCAACTTGTATGACTTTCTTCCTTTTAAAAAGCTGCATGAAATAATGTCTTCTTCAGCATTTTTGTTTCTTCGAAAAAAATGTTTTCAAGTATGTTTTGATAAGTAGAAGCACAAATACTATTCTTGTTGGAGGGTCCAATATAAAAAATAGTATGGTCTTTATAACTTGAGAACATTAAATGTCCCAAGCTGGATTTATTATTTTTAGTACAAAATGCTGTTTGATGATAATTAGGTGATGGTACGTTCTCAGCATTCACAATAAATCTGTCACTGCTTTACTTTAGAAAAGTCCAGAAATCAGTAGCCATATAACGCTGTTTACAATTTCAGGTGTTAGAGATTATTTCCCAGGTCTACTAAGCTAGTTTCACATTTCTACCTTATTGTTTTTACACTGAAAATATCAATTAAGAAACAGAACTCTTATACTTATTGCATTTGAAGTTACTTGTGGAGAAAAAAGTCTTATTATAGTTCTTATTACTTTTGCTCTAAGACACATTTTGAGCATTTCCTGAATTGTTTTTCCTTTTGGAAAAATGTATAGAAATGGACACATTCCCCACCCTTCCCACAGCTCAGGAATTAAACTTTTTTATATATTCACTGAATTCATACGGTATCTTTGCTCAAGCATGTAGGTACCTAATTCTGACCGTCACAGCCATGACCATTATGCTAATTTTTAATACCTTTTTATTTAGCATCAAAACCATCCAAAAGACTTAAAACCACACATAGACCAGATGTGCCTCAAATCCAGCCTGGTAACTACTTTCAGTGCCTTGATCTATAACTAGGAAAACATTGTGTAAGTAACGTTAATCTTGATGTTCACAGTTCTGCTATGGCACTAATTATAGTACTTTTTCTCCCTCAGATTCAAAACCACCAAAGCAATTACTTCCTAAGCCCCAAACCACAAAACCAGATGTGCCTTCAATTAAACCTGGTAAACATGATTTCCAATGCTTTAGTTTAAGAAGCTCTTTCTTTGGGAATATTGCTGAAAATGTTTACAATTGATTATATCATACAAAATGTAGAAACCCAAGCACCATGATTTTGTTCATAGTCTTCTCCAAGTGGTCACACTGATGTTTTATGGGTTAAATGAACAAATCAATGCATGGGAACTTAGTAAATTTTACAACCGATACCAACAGACTCATTTTCTTAAAGAATGTTTTAGGCTTTGTTTTCTGAATTTGGGTTTGTAATGAGCAGAAGCCTAGCTTTTCTGTACCTGGAATATTTCTGAATGTGAGTGGGACAGCCACCAAGAGGGAGCACCTGGGGAGATGACACTGTGTTCTTCCTCTGTAGGGACATAATTGGAGGTTGGCCTCCTCTAAAATTCCTTACTGACATTTGAAACAGTAACGATTTACTAAGCGGTTTCTTACCAAATAAGGAGATAATTATATAACAGTGCTTAAAAGTCAACTGTTTTGCAATTGAGATTTTCTCCCAAGATTCCCAATCACTATAAAATTCTAACTTACTAAGAGAGCATCTCACATAATAAATAAACCTATCAAGAAGACAATTTGTATCAGTCGAGAATCAACCAGGTTCTGTGTCCTGTGTATTAAGCATCATTGAGCACCTAAAAGTTTCGGCTTCCTTTTATTTATATCTCTGTTTATTTTTTATGATGCAGCCTTTAAGCCCGTTACCGTTGAGACTGACACTCCCGCCGTAACCGTAGGTAATGATGGATGTCTTCTTTCTTGGTCAGTGTTTCTCTGAGCTTGCCCCTCTCATCTCTGTCATTACTTGTATTCTCTTGTGTAAACAATTACTCAGCACTTTCTTCATTCATTCCTAACATTGTTAGGGACCTTCTTCAGATGGTTAGGCAGTCTCACATTGGCTGCTCCGCTATAATCTTTCTTTGGTCACCTTCACAGATGTTCCGTTGCTCCCAGCACTTGATGCTGTCAAGAGTCACAGGCGCTCTCTCCATCCATCTTCAAACCAGGAAATTATTGAGATCTCTGTTTTTTTGGGAACAATTTGTGGATCTGGGAGAGCAGGAATAAAAAGCTGGTTAGGGCTTGGTGCAATACATAATTGTCTCTTTCTGGAAAAATCTCTTCCTTGATTCCATGCTATTCAAACACAACTTGAATGAATGTCAACTTTCTGTTGACAAATTCATCTTATGACACTGAATTCTAAACAAATTAGGGATTCCCCTTTTTGTGTTTGAAGGCAGTCAGTTTTCTAATATTTTCATCCTCTTGTCCTTGCTTTCTCCCTCTTCTGTCTGCCATATCTCCATTAGTTCTGAAGATGCTCTCAGAAGTGGCTTAAGCTAACTCTGCTGTGTGTCTTGGACAGTCAGTGAAAGGCAATCTTTGTATAATTGCTTTACAGGGGTTTTGGTAATAAAAATATTTTAATGTTACATTTAATTTTAAAGAGACATTTAAAATGAGTTAAATTTTCATTTCATATCTAGGCATAATTTGTTATTGTTGTTCAAGTACAATTGTCTCCATTTCCCCCACACACACTCTCCCCTGCCCCCCCCACTTCCCACCCTTGATTCTGTCCCCCATTGGCTCTGTCCATGGCTCCTTTATACATGTTCCTTGACAACCCTTCTCTTTCTTTCCTCAATTATCTCCCTCCATCTTCCTCTCTGGTCACTGTCTGTTTGTTCTTTATTTCAATGTCTCTGGTTATATTTTGCTTGCTTGTTTGTTTTGCATAATTTAATCATTACAGAATACTATAGAATTATAGTATCCTCTTTATCTAGATAAAAAGTTAAATTATTGCTTTTCAGGCTTTTTTCTTAACCATTTCCGTTTCTCCTAATTATCTCCTAATACTATAGAATTATAGTATCCTCTTTATCTAGATAAAAAGTTAAATTATTGCTTTTCAGGCTTTTTTCTTAACCATTTCCGTTTCTCCTAATTATCCATTTGAAATAAATGAATAAATAAGAAATAGTAAGAAAGAGTGCCTTTCTCACTCCTGGAGAAAGGCAAAAGTTTATCTTTTGCATAAATGTCACAGATCTCTAATAAGGAAACTGATTAAGAATTGTACAAATTCTCCTGACCACCAACATTCCTTAAAACAAATATTAATAATGATAGTAAAAGGCTTTCAGATACTAACAGAGACTTCCATTAATTTTCAGAGTCATTTAAAATACATGTCAGAAAACTAATTGTCTGATATTTTGGTGCCAAGTTTCCAATATAGTTGGAATCAGATAATTAAACTTGGGGAGGGGAAAGCTTTTCATTGGCCTCATATGGATGTGAAGAGCACAGCTGTTTTGTGAGATAGATGGATGTCAGAGTATAGCCAAGTATAGAGAAGAAGCACTGTTTTTTTCAAAGTTCAGAAATGCTTTTTAAACATTATAAGGTTCAGAAGATGTATTTTCAAGGTAACTTTTTCTTTTCCTGTGTTTCTTAAATCTCCATTGCTTATTGTATTGCTTTTGGTCAGTTCCTGCCACAGACATTGAAGCTGTAACTATGAGAACTGAGACTCCCTGGACAACAATAGGTAATGACCTTCTATGTCTTTAAGCAAGTGTGTTTTCTGCTCATTGTCCAGTCATTTCCACTACTATCTTGGTCAAGGGCTTTTCTCTTTCCTAAGATTTTCTCATCATCCTCTTGTGATTCAACTAGATTCTTCGTTTTGAATGGGCTAAAACAAGTTACTTGTCTAAAATATGAGCCCGTTTATAGTACAGAGCACCTATCTCCCACACTATCCAGCTTTCTTACTATTTTACAGAGCATGTGATTCTGCTCGGTGTTCTGTGGCAAAGCTGAATTTAAAAGGCGATTAGGAGTGTTTGCCCCATAAACATCATCCATAACTCTGTGTCCATCAACAGAAAGTTGTTTTAAGATATGCAGTGCGTTTTTATTGTCTACCAGGGATTTTAAGAACTGAAATGTGCTTTTCCTAATAATGTTGAGTGGGATGGACGCCTGCTGAAGTGTTATCTCAGTACCAGTCTCCCCAAAGCTGGTGCGCCTGAGTCCCTCTCTAACATCACATGTACATGCTGTGCTTCTGACTTCTCTTGGGTCGGGGTGCCTCTGAAAATTGGACACCATCAATAATAGTAATGCTTTCAGATTATTCAAGTCATATTATAGACACTTTTTCAAAAGAACTGTTAGGAAAACTGCCAAAAATTACTTTGGCAAATGGATGACAAAGAAAACTTTGAAATGGAGATAAATTTCTGAAGACTCAGGAAAATCTAGCAAAATTTTAGAAAACCTAGAGCCATGTATAAACCCTTTTTTAGTTTCTGGATATGTGTGATATTAACCAGTTTCCTTCCTTCAGCTCCAAAAACGTCACAACAACCAAGAACACGTCGTCCACGTCCCAAAATTCCAAAACCTTCGAAACATAAAACCACACCGAGCCCAGAGGCACCGAAGACTGTACTAGGTAAATATATCGTCCCTGGTGCCTGTGGAACTGCATCTGGTGTGGTACTGGGGTGGCAGTTTAACTTGGCACCTAATTAAACCCTGTGACCCTTAAGAGTGAAGGCCCTAGTCAATACCTGTGACTTCCTCACACTGCTGGGTATCTTCTTGGTACTTATGTATTTTATTTGCTTCTCTGACCATCAAATTACATTTCTCTCTGTGATTCTGGCAAAATTCATTTTCAAGAGAATTTGATGACTTCTGTCATGTGTTTAACTTTTCTTTTTAAAATTACTTTTGATCATTTCTTACCACAGAAATTGAACCTATTACTCCTGGGACATCTTTAGGTAATGATTCTTTATGTCCTTCCCATAAATTTTTCATATTCATTGTCAGACCTATCTGTGCTGCTGTGTAGATGATGAGGTCATAATTTGTCATCCTATTTACAGTATTCATCTTAAAATATAAAAGGCTTTCTTTCAAACAGAAATGGGTATGGACTGGATTCAGGACAGCTGTCTGCTCCATATCTCAGTTGGAAATTGCGTCACATTGAGCTGAGTCTGTTTAAACCGTACCATATGGAAGAGCTGAGGTCCAAATGGGATTATCTATATATCCCTTACTTAGACCACTAGTGCAGTCTCAATTATAATACCATGAAGTTTCTTAAGTAGCTCACTTTCTACATTCCAAGTTCTCTGTAACTTTTTTTACTTTGTTGTTGTTTCAGCTAATTTATGTACTAGATTCTAGTAAATTATCAAATGGAAAATTTGCTCAAACCTAGTCATCTAAAATTATAAGTGAATACTAACTATACAATGGTGTGAACTTCTCTCACACCATCAAAGTTTAGCGGTGACTTGTAATCAGTGTTGGATTAAGGACATTTTCAAAAAAATGAGAGTTTTTCATCTTTATTTCTTAACCATCATTGTAACGTAAGTCTTAATCTCAGAAAATTATAAATGAATGCCTATTAATATACTAACAGAGAAAATTTCAAACCAAAGTGACAAATTTTTGTCCACTTAAAGAAACTCTAAGAAGTGTTAGAAAGCTTTGAGCCATGTTCTATCGTCCAATTCACAGGTCATGCAGGGATCAGCACTATATTAATATGGAATTTTCTTCCTCCAGCTCCAACAACAACAACAAAAAGACCCCGTCGTCCACGTCTCAAACCTAAAACCACGCCCCATCCGGAAGTACCTCAGGCTACACTGGGTAAATAAGTAGTTTCTGGTTTGAGAAATTCAAGTAGTCTACCCAAGTTGGTACCCTAAATTCTAAGGACATAACTGGTTCAGGCCCTATATACCTATTAAGAGTAAAAGCTACTAGTTAAGAGAACATGAGATATCTGAATACCCCATGCTTCCTGTTGGGAATCTTCCCCATAATGTTCCCTTTACTTACTTTTCTTATTATTTGATTCCATTCATGTCTTAAAGATAAAGCTTGCTCAGTCAAGTATTAAGCCTACACAATCAAGCCAAGCACTTTTATTAACCCCTTCTAAATTCCCATACCATATTAGCAGCTGTGAGATACATCAGAAATAGGTAGTATGTTTTATTTCCCAGTCTGTTTATACTATAATTGTAAACAAAAGCTGTTCCTGCATTAAACAAGTAGAAAATAACATAAGGCAGCATACCTATATGACTCCAAAAGAAGTTCTCAAATGGTACAATTGCTGTATGCTAGGAGTATAGTAAATATTTGCTAAGAGCGGGGGTGGGGGGGGAAGTCCAGGATGATTAGAAAGAGATCGATGCAGAATTTGGACTAGTGGAGGACAAAGCAGGGAGTGTGTTGAAGCTGGCATCCTAGACAGAGGAGGCTTGTTGCTGCCTTCCTATTACATGGACTCACAGGATAAATTAAAGGGGTGGGGGCAAGTCTGGGGTGTCTACTCAAGAGTTTAAATTTGATCCAGTGGGCTTAGTGTCATTTTTTCTGCACCATACCATGCTTTCTCTATTTTTAGAACTGAAGATGCCTAGTATATGATACCACATACTGAGAGGTTGTTCCTCAACCTTGTTATTGGGTTGGCCAAAAAGATTGTTATGTACAGTGGCTCTAGTAGTGCCTAGTTGTCTTTAACTTCAGATAAAACAGTTTTGTTAGATTGTACTGTGACAGCTGTCATCTTAGTGTGCATTACAAAAGAAAACGTCAAAATTGGTGAATTTTTGTGCAGCCATTTTAATACCGAAGATGGAAGAAGATATGCAGTATTTTCGGTGTTATAATGCTTTATTATTTCTAGAAAGGTAAAAATGTAACTGAAACACAGACACACAAAAGACTCATGCAGTGTATGGAGAACATGCTGTAACATTCGATCGAGTGTGTCAAAAGTGGTTTGCAGAGTTTCTTGGTACTATTGACATTTTGGCCAAAAAACTTTTTGCCGTGGGGCTGTCTCATGCACTGGAAGATGTTTAGCAGCACCCCTGGCCTCCACCCACTAGAAGCCAATGGTGGGAGATAGCCAACATACTCAAAATGTCTGAATCAGTAATCTTATTGGTGAAAATGAAAAATGTGTCTTTTATTTTACAGAAAAAAACATACAAACTCTTTGGCCAAACCAACATATTAAATGCCACTGATTTCACTAAGGATTAGTCTCTTAGTGAGCATACTCTTAGCTTTTTTTTTTTGGCTGTCTGTTGTAAGTGTGGTTGACAAACCCTGGGATGACCCCCTACTCCCCATCCCATTTCACCTCCCACCACCATAGTTCCTGCCTCTGGGTGTTAAAACTTTTGTGTAATCCATCTTTTCCCTCCCCTTCCCCTTCTCCCTTAGAAGCCTTGTTTTTAGTGGCAAGATGAATTTTCTGACATTTCATGCATTTACAAAAATCCCTTTGGTTTCTTTTTATTATTTTTGGTCAGCTCCTGCCACAGTCTTTGAACCAGTTATTCTCACAACCGAGGCTCCAGGGATGACGCTAGGTAACGACACACTACGCTCACTGGCATCTGCTCTTCCTGCTCATTTCACACCCATTTCACGACTCTCCTAACTACAGATCCTCCCACTTCACAGCGCTTCTGTGTCATCCTCTATTGCCAATTACTTCTTAATATGTTGAAGAGTACTAAAACAACTCATTTGTTCTAAGAAGACAAGTACAACAAGTATAATCCCATTCACAGCTTCTGGAACTAAGACACTCTATTAACTGGAGATTTTCATCCTTTAACTCCCAAAGTGCCTGAATGAACTCACCATCCACGTCCCAAACCTAACACCACACCAAATCCTGAACTAGGCTGAACTAGGTAAATGTGTACGTGTTGGGAAAGGAATCCTGGCAACCTCTCCCGGTGGGGGCCAGAGAAAGCGAAGGGACAAGTCAACGTCAGCAGCTGCTGACGCTCCCCAGTAGGCTTGAGAACACAGTTAGAGAGGCATTAGGTGGTAGCCAAATTTCTTCTACTTGGTGAGCAGGAATCTTCTGTCTATTTCATTGACAACTTATTTGTTTCTCAACATCATTTATTCTGATGCTTGAGGGTTAAATGTTCTGGAAATATCAATTAAATCCATCTGGTCTAGTGTGTCATTTAAGGCCACAGTTTCTACAGGGCACTTCCAAGGAGATAGATCTTCTATATGGAAGATCTATCCATTGATGTCAATGTGGTGTTAAAATCTCCTACTATGACTATATTCTGTCAGTCTCTCCCTTTGTACTCATGCTTTAAATATTGAATTTGTATTGTGGACTGAAACAAATATAGAACGATGTGTGTTTGAGTAAATAGGAAATTATTTCTTGGTAACTATAAAAGTTGTATAAACAAAGTAAGGACCTAGGGAGGGCCAAAGTTGGCCAACATGTTCTATAAAGGACTACATAGTAAATATTTGGGGGCTTTGGGAGTCATGTAGTTTTTGTTGCATGTTTTTCTTTTATTCTTTTTTTAATAACCTCTTAAACTAGAAAATAAAAACCATTGTTTGCTTTCACAGGCTGTTTGAAAAGAAGCTTGGGGAAAGATTTGCTGCGTGGGCCATAGTTTCTGGAGGGAAGGGAGTGAAGAAATACAGAAAGGAAGGCCATGTGTAGAAGCCAGTGAGAGGAGGCAGAAGCTTCTCTGACCGATGGAGGCTGTCAGGCTTCCAAGTGTTGATCCGAGCGTTTTATTGAGATTGACGCAGCTTAATGGGCCGGTGCAACCAGTTGAAAAGGGATTTTTGAATATTAGACTTAGGAGTTTGGATTTCATGTTAGAATCACCACTATCCACACATGGTCAGGCTTACTCTAAGCACTGGACAGAGGGATACATACCCTGCTGTACCTCAGATGCTCCAGACTGACCGTCCTCTTAAGTACCCCTGTGTTCTCTTTCCAAAGATGAGTTTTCAGCAAGATGGGTGTGGTTGAATCTGCTGCATTACTGAGACTAGGATCATCAAAGTGAGTGAGAAACTTCAGGGCACTTCCAAGGAGTAGTTGTCTGAGAACAAAGATAAGGGAGAAATTAGTACCTGAGTGCAAAGACACCATATTCTCAGCTTAGAGGGTTGATAGTGTTCGTGACACATTATTACTTTGGTACAATTATTTTTGAGGTGAATGTTCTGAAACAATACAGATGTTTACTATTTCAATGATTTTTATTAATATTTTTGGTCAGCTCCTGTTACAGTCCTTGAACCAGTTACACCTACAAAAGAGGCTCCAGCAACAGCATTTGGTAATACCACTTTCTGACCTTCAGCAAGTGCTTTTTTTTGTTCATTGTCAAATCCATTCCACTCTGTTGCCATTTAATTTCATTCTTCGTCTGATGAGTTGAACATGTATAAAACATGTTACTTATTGTTCTTAAGACAGTCATACCTAAATCTTGTTTGGGATACCTTCTTGCCTTGTCAGTTACTTTAAAATTCTTTCATGCCACCTTATGTTGTTTTTTAACTTTTTAAAAGTTGTTCAAGTACGGTTGCCTCTATTCCCCCCACAACCCCATTACTTCCCCCAAACCCAGCCACTATATTTTTAGATTAACCAAAGTGCTCTGTTAAGGCAAATTATATAGGAGTGCCTGGTTTGATCTATGTTAACCATTCTGTAATAGGAGAGTTTCATTATATGTTCTTTGTACACCTACTTTTTTATCCACCTGGTTTTTTGGTTGTTCTGTTGACATTTGGGTAATATGTTTTTAGTGATTTATCTAAGAAATAATGTGATCAAGGCCAGCAAGTTTAAACAGAACGCCCCATCCTTAGGGTTAAACTGACTCTCCACCTTACTCTCCACCTTACTCTCCACTTTAGCTTCGCAATGATTCCTAACTTTTTAAATGCAGTTAGGTAACTCTAGGATAATGAAAAAAATACAGCTCTGACTCTCTGAATTAATAGATTTATTTTTATGTCAATCCCCCCATATCTTCAATAACAAATAAGATACAGTGGCATAGTGGGGACAGATTTTTCATAAGAGAAAGATCCGTTTCCTGAAACTCAATAAAATCTCTCAAAGCTTTGGAAAACTTAAAAAATTTTAAACCCAATAATTCACAGAAACATACACCTTAAAGTAACTGAAAGTTATCTTTTTCTACCTCCAAAAACATTAACACACAAACTTAAAACCACTCCATGTCCAGATGCACCTGAAACTGCACCAGATAAAGGCAGAGTCCATGGTTAAAAGAGTCTAGGAGCCAGTCACTGATTGAGGATGTAAACCCCCATAACCCCTAGTGGGAGAATCATGAAGAATCCTTCCCCGCTCAAGGTTGGCCGGGAGTTTATATTTGGAGGAGGCAGAATCGGCCCTCTAACTCTAGTACTAGGGGAGTTGTTTCACTTCTCAGTCTGCAGGCTAATTGAACACAAAGTCCATTCCTGCACGAAAAGCATAGAGAATGAGAATAGGGCAGGGTGTTTTTGCAAATTGGAGATTTTTCTTGAGTACATAAACATTAAGTGTTAGATGCATTATTTGAGGTCTTAAAGAGGTAAAAAAATCCATTTGAGCTTCAGTAAGGTAGAGACAGAGTTTGGACCTTGATGTCATAATAGAATGTACGCAAACGGAGAGGTGACAGTGAATGAAGGTGAAAAAGTAGGATATGTGTAGAGACAACCAGAGCGGTGAGAGATCCTTCTTCTTCTGTCAATTAAAGTATTTTCGTTGGTGATTCCGCACTGGATGACACCATGGGAAGTTGGAGGAGGCTGATAGTCTCACGGTCATAAGAAATTTCCTTTTTCCACACTGAATTAAGTTTTTCCTGTACTGAGAGTGGATGGGCACTAAACAGTGACTAAAGGTACTGACAATCTCATGAGATGAAGATGTCCATAGCCAGTTTGGCCAAATCTAGACAAACCAATTGATTTCCTTTTCTGTTAGTTTGCTAGAGCAGCCATGGCAAAATACTACAGACTTAAACAACAGAAATCTATTTCTTACAGCTCTTCGAGCTAGAAGTCTAAGATCAAGTTGTCAACAGGTTTCATTTATACCAAGGCCTCTCTCCTGGCCACCATCTTGCTATGTCCTCACATGGTCTGTTTTCTGTGTACAAGGGTCCCTCATCTCTGTCTCACTTCTTATAAGGACATCAGTCCTATTGGGTTAGAGCCATACCCTTGACACCTCATTTAGCCTTAATTGTCTTATCAAAGGCCCCATCTCTAACTACAGTCACATTAGAGGTTAAGGTTTCATGTGAATTTAGGGAGACACAATTAAGTCCATAGCCCCTCCTTCATCCAGAAATTTTTGTAAAAATTACTCTGGAAGTGTTAGTATGCTGGCAAGATTCATTTATAAAAACTCTTTTATTTCTTCAGTTCCTGTTACAGACCTTGAACCTATTACTTTTACAACTGAGACCTCTGGGACAACATTAGGTAATGACCCTCTGCCTTTCACCAAGGTTTTTGCTTCTCGTCATATAGTCCATTCAGTCTCCATTCCCATAACGTGGCTTTTTCTTCTTTATGTGACAGCCACCATCATCCTCCACTGCCATTCAATCACTTCCTTCATCTGAAGAGTATGGAAGCCTCTTAAAAACAAGTTTCCAATTGTTTTTATGAGAGCAGGCATGAGCTTAGTCAAAAACATTTACCTGTCTTGCATTTGAAATTGTCATGTCATCTTGTGCTTCCTTGAATAGTGTTCTGTGTTAAAGCTGAGTTTAAAACAAATTGGCATCTGTTTCTTTTCTAAGCTGATTTTCAATGACAGCCACTCTATGTTCCTTTGCATATCTAAGTTTCTAGAGTTTTTTTTTATAAAAAACTATTGAAATGTTATGTTGTTTCTGAGTGCTTTAAGTAATGTGTTTTATTATTAATTTGGCAAATAAGGAATTACCCAACTTTGAAAATTTAAATTACAGACCTCTTCCTTAGTATGATCATAACTTCCTCTTCCCTTGCACCAGAGTTGAGCTCTTTGATCATTCGGTTCCCACTGAGAAAATGCTCTGAGTATCCAATTATAAGTGCTAATCCTCATGATTTGAGTGATTTTCCTGTACTTATGAGTTTGCCCCAAAGTATCCTCAATGATAAAAGAAAACACATGGGCATGAAATGAGTAAACATTTTAAACTACAGACAATTTCCTGGAACTTTAGGAAATCTAACAGTTTTGGGAAAAAAACTCCCCTTAGTGTCAAGAGCCATGAGACCCAGGGTAACACAAGACTTTTCTTTCTTCAGCTACCAAAGCATCAAAAAGGCCCCATCGTCCACGTCCCAGACCTAAAACCACACCGAGCCCTCAAGTACCTCAGACCAAACCGGGTAACTGTGTGATTCTTTGGGTAAAGAATGAGCCCTAGCAGCCTAATGAGGACCCAAAGCAGTGCCAGGCTTTTATGTTCTCTAAGCATGAGGTCATGAGGCATAGTCAGTAAGGTCCTCTCTCTCCAGGTGTCAATGAGGTTATGATTTTGTGTGATACTGTGGGTGCCAGAATACCTTATTACTTCTATGTGAGCATCTTCGATATGCATACAACCTATTTCTTACTATCAAATTTCATTCAAATCTTAAAACTCTTTTAGCATAGCCAATATTCAGTTCAAGTACGTAAATATTCCTGGGTCAATACTGGCAACCTTGGGTAATATGTCAGCTGTAGGAAACCGATTTTATTTCAAAAACAGTAAAGTTGAGTACATGTTTGCATGATAATACAAATTTTAAATATCGGTCTTGCAAAGGAAAAGATCAGGGTAGATTGGACTTGGACCTTGAACCTGGACCCACTACAGGCTATGAAGGAATGGAGGGAAAAGTGAACCAACAGAAGGACTGGACATGCAGATGGGGTAGGGGCTGGGTGAAGGCGTTCTAGTCTGGAACAGACTGTCCTGCTTCTAGATGATCAAAACATGGCTGTGTTGCTGCTGCATTTGAAAGGGTCCATCTACAGAGTTGGAAGAGGATTTTGAGGACCTGACTCGAGCTTAGATTTGATTCAGAGACATCAACTCTCTCTCCACCTTTTCTGGGCTTAGACAAGATACATGCTCTACCGATAAAGTGGTTATCTTTATTCTGCTCTCTTATGTGCCATGGTTTATTCCTGGCAACATCAACATAGTCCACTTCAACGATTCCTTTTTGTATCCATTTCAAATTTATAAAGTCTATTTATCCATGTTGGCTTAAACATAGTAAGTATCCATGTTCAGCTGCCATAAAGCTACAAATTGATCAGATTTTTTAAATAGGCAGTTTCTTTTCTATGTGTAGATTAGAAAATAAACTTAGAGCTTTGCATACCAGTTAGAATCTATGAGTTAAAACCTAGGAGAATTTAATGCTGACTTCCTTAAGATACTAAAATAGTTTTAAAGCTAATCCTAAAACTGAATATAATTTGGCTAAATCTTCAAAGAACAAATACCTACTCTTTTTCTCAGTTATTTTTGTTTCTTTGTTTCTGTAGAAGGATTGTATACAAGTAAGATTGTTTGGATGTGAATGTCCTAATTCTTCATGTGTTTTAAAATCTCTTTGGGTTACTGTATTTTGTGGTCAGTTCCTGCTACCGCCCTTGAACCCGTCACTCTAAGACCACAGGCTCCAAGAACAACATTAGGTAATGATACCCCGTGTTTTCAACAAGTCTTATTCTGACTATTGTACAATCCAGAGTTTAATCTCATTTCACAACAGTGTCAATAGTGTCATGGCATTGTACCTGCTTGAAGTGTTAACATAGCATTCTGTGTTTTGTTTAAGCAGCATTTGTAACAAAACTGGTTTTCAAACACACCATGGCTCTCTACCTTTTACCTTGTAAAATAAAGCCATTAACAGCCATCATAGGGCCAAGAGGGTTCATTACTATGTATCTACATTTCTACTTTTTTTATATTTGCATACTATTTAGTGGTTCTTATTTTAATAGCCATGTAGAAAATACACCCCAAATCAAAATTAAGTAGTAAATCCCAGATTTAGTATAACCTTCATTATCCATTAGAATTTACCAACAGTTCTTAAGCTTTTTGTTGCCTAATCCAGCTGTCCTATGAGACTGATTATCATTATTAATTTTTATATATTTAATTAAAAAGTATTTTTGTTTTTAAAGAATCTTCTATGATAAAAGAAGATATACAAGGAGTATTTGTGAGGAAAACCTCAAATGAAAAAAGTGAATATTTAGAGTAGAAGATCTGTAGTCATGTTTTGGCCTCTAACAGCTGCCAGAAGCACAGATAATGTAATTATCTAGTAACCCAAGGTTTTCTTCCTCCAGCTTCCAAACCATCACAACGCACAGGTCGCCCATGTCCCAGACCAAAAACCACACCACCTCCTGAAACACCTGAGTCCCAACCAGGTAAACATATGTCCCTGGTTTCGAGTCCCAGCAGCTAACCCAGCAGGGTCTCGAGAGTAACGTTTGGAGCAGAGAAAGATAGATTAAGAAAGACTGGAGCCTTGAAATCACCGTTGTACATGGATAAATAGAAAGATGGTGAGGAATAAAAGCAGAAAAAGTAGGTAAAAGTGAAGACTAACCAGAAGAAAAAGCCTAACCACAATACTGGTATAGAGGATGCCTGACTTCAAGGTGAAAGTCAAAGCTTTTCTGGCTCTAGATGGGCCCATGGCCTTTCATCGTGGTGATCCTTAGGCAATTGATGGAGGAGTTGAGATTTGATCCAGTGGACAGCAGGCTGTTCTTTGCACATGAAGACATGGTCTTTCTTAGCTTAGAATAGATGAATACCCTATTCCGTTCAGCATGCTGAGGACTCAGAGTCTTTCCAAAGATAAGTTCTTAGCAAACCCACACATCCCACTTTAGAATTAGATCATTGAAGAAGAGAAATAAGGCAATAAGTCCCAGATTTAGGTATTGCTACATTTTAGAAAGTAAACTGTATTCTTGTCTAGTTTAATAGTTTTTAAAAGTTACTATATAGTTCTAGAAGCTATGTTATGCTACTAAGATTAATTTTGGGGTTAAATGTTTGCATGTCCTTTCATTTAAAGCACTTTTGTTCATTGTTAATACTTTTGGTCAGTTTCTACTGCAGCCTTTGAACCCATTCCATTCAGGACTGAGCCTTGGGTAACAACACAAGGTAATAACATGTCGTAACCCTTGGTGCTTCCTTTCTCATCATCAGACCCAATTCCATCAACGCTGTAGCTACAGGCTCTTCTGCTTCTTAAGGCTACATCATCATCCTTTGTTGCCACTCCATTATATTCTTCATCATTAAAGTACTGATGATCTAATTCTTAAAACAAGTTATCCTTTATCTTTATCTGTTATGCATTTAACCATCTGAACTCTCGTCATTTGTATGTGTTTTTTAACCAATGTTTTGTTAAAGCTGGGTTTAAAAAGTAATTCTCTTGATTCTGACAGTTATTATTGTGTTCGGGAGTTTGTGTTTCTAAAAGTCTGCTTTCTTTTAATTATGTAATAGTTGTTCTTCGATTGACATTGGAGTTAACCACGTGGTCTTATTTAGTTAACTCTCAAAGTCTGTGGGCACCACCACCACCCCCATATTTTACCAGTGATTCTTCCCCTTTTTATTCAGCAGAAGAGTCCTAGAAATGGTTTTTCACTTCTTGAATTAGCAACTTAGTTTTATATATGATTCATTTCTAATAAATTTTTTATTGTAAAAAAAGACATATATTAGGAGGTGAAAAGTTTCAGATTAAAAAGTTTAAAAGACATATTTTCTAAAATGTAAGGAAATCTAACAAGTTTTAGGAAATCTAGAGCCATGGATCGTGCTCTGCGTAGCTTCTGAACTGCAGACTCTGTAGTAACTCAAGGTTTTCTTTCTTCAGCTCCCAAACCACCAAAACGGACCCGTCGTCCACGTCTCAAACCCAAAACCATAACAACTACTGAGGCACCTCAAACCAAACTGGGTAAATGTGGGTTTCTGGTTAAGGGGCTGAGTCCTAGCACCTTTGGGGAGCCCCGGTTTAGAGTCCCTGGTGGGAACGAGAGCCCGTGTGAGCCCCTTGTGGGGCTCTGTGGGTAAAGGCACCGCTAACTGCTGTTGCTCCCATGGTTGATTAAGTAAAGGAATTGACCGTTGGGGCAAACCTGTGTGGCACCTGAAGATCTTCTCTTTTAATAGGCATTTTATTTACTTTTTCTTATTTCATTGTGTTCTTTTATTAAAGACAAGATATCTTACATAGAGCAAAGCATTTTTAATTCCAGAAAGAAACACTGAGTGCCTTCCATCCCCCCACAGCCACTGTGAAGGCATCACAGACGCAGGCAGCTTGTTTTCACTTCCCCGTCTCCAGTACAGTCAGAGTCAAAACCTGCCCCAGGATGAAACATTCAAAGATTGAACCATGGCAGCAGAAATCTGGCTCAATGTTTACAGGGGCCGTAAGCATCTATGAGCTTAGAGAGAGAGAGAAGTTTGTCAAGCGCAGGAATAAGGAGTTGGAAAGAAGTTGGGTCTTAAAATCTTGAAAATGAACAGAGTCAGAAAAAAGGGGCTATCAAGGCCAACCAGAGGGCTCAGACTTCTAGAAAAGGACGTCCTGCTTCTAAGCGGTTATAATAGTGCTATCTTTGGAAGAATCTCTGAGAGCAGTTAGAGAGAAATCCTTGGATGTGTGACTCGGATCTTTGAATCTGACCCTAGAAGCATCAGTGGTCTCTCCCACATTTATAGGGTACCACATTTTTGTGATCAGGGAGGTAATCTACCAGGCAACACACACTGAGTGAATGTTCCTTGTTCCGATTCGCTAAGTGCTTTGCCTTAACTGAGGTTTCAGCCTCCTTCCAAATAGGAGTTCTCAAGATGAACATGTTCACTTTGCTATGCCTTCTTTCACACATAAACATTATCTCTTATTTCTATAATTATTTAGATGTGCTATTTTCAACATTATCTATTATTTCTATAATTATTTAGATGTGCTATTTTCTAAAAGCTTCCCCAGATACACCAGCAATTGCCAGACCAGTTACCTAAGTACAAGTTTAGTAAAATATTTAAACAAGTTTCCAATGACCATCTTCTAACAATAGTTGTAATTAGGTACTTAGCAGTATCAAGTTGACTTTATCAAGATACTTATCAGACTTATCTATGCTATTACTGACTGTTTTATAAAAGAACATTTACCTGGCTTTTAAATAATCCTTAAAATAACAAGTGTTTAATTTCAAAAAAATTAGAAACTGCTGTACACCTAATGAGGCAATATTATACTTGCAAGGTTTAAATTGCTGACGTTCACAAGTGTTTATTTCATTGCTTTTCATTAGTTCCTATTACAGATCTTGAGCCTGGTACTCCTAGAACTGAAGTTCCAGAAATCGTAGGTAATGAGAATACGGTCCTTCCAATAGTGTGTTTCCTACTCATTGTCATACCATTGTAGCTACAGGTTCTCCTGCATCTTAAACCATCTCAGCATCCTCTGTTATTAATCCATTACAGTCTTTATCTTGAAATTATGCTAAGCTCTATGTCAAGTTATTTGTTGAATGTAAGAGATGTGCATAAACTACTTTCAGGATATCAAACTCTCATGTAACTTCTCATCATTGTGTCATATCATCCTACGCATTTGTTTGAACAGCACTGATTAAGCTTCATTTCAAGCATGAATTTCCATCCATTACTTACACTGCTTATGTCTCACCAGTTGTAGAAATACCATATTTTTTTGCTCATATTACTTTTTATTTTATTGTATGAGGATCTGTGTGGTTATATTGGTGGATGTACTGTTTCAATGAACAATGTTTTTAGTTAACTGTCAAAATTTTAAATGTGCTAAGACTTGAAAGTTTAAATGATAGGTATATATGCTAGAGTAGGCTGACTTTCCTTTTCTAACAGGGTTTTAAAATGTTTCTTAACTTTTATTGAATCAAGGACCACTTTGAAATTTTGATGAGCATTGATTCTTATATATTCAAATATATGAGTTCATCATTATACTGTGATTATTTAAAATCTAGGCAAAATAATAGATGTTTATTTCAACTTGAACACAAGGCAAAAAGACTGATGAATGCTTGATTTCAGTAGAGTTGGAAAAGTATAGATGACACAAATGTGTAAAAAACTTGTCCAGCAGTGTCTTCCATAATAACAGAGGCACATGGGAGAACTTCTTGTTAACCACAGTTTTTAGCTGAGTGCAATGCTATGTCCATCTTATGAGATTAATGAGTACTTGGCCATTTGGTCAATCTGCAAAGAACATGTTTCTTCTCTCTCAGTTCTGAAGCTTAAAAATTGACTTCTGAAATTAGTCATTGAGTGAATTTTTAAAATTTCTTTGGCTTATTTTATTCTTTTTGGCCAGTTCTACCTACAGTCCTTGAACCCGTCGCTCTTAGAACCAAGGCTCCAGAAACAACATTAGGTAACAATAATCTATGTTTCTCATCAATTTTTATGTTCATTGTCAACCCATTCCATCATCATAATCTCATTGCCATCAGCTTCAAAGGACTGTCTTGTCATTGTCTGCTGTCTTTCAACCTTATTTTTCTTCTTCTTAAGAGTATTTCTTCTTCCTCTTAAGTTACAGACTCTTAACAGAAGTTACCTATTTTTAAAAGCTATGCATGGGCCTAGATCAGAATGTCTGTGTTATTTGAATTTTTGTCATGTACTTTTGTCTAAACAGCGCTCACACTTAAAGCTGAGTTTCAGATTCAGTGGGCAATGTCTCTATCTTTTCTAGACCACCTAACCACAAATATAGCACTTGGTCTAGTGCCATGGATTCCTTGGCCTATTTAAATTTCTTGGTGTGAATCTAAGACCACACAACCTAGTTTGTCTACCATCCTTACCTTTCTTTGAAGTTAGGGATATATAAGGATCTTCACTCTTTGTCTTAACCTTATGTGTTTTATCTCTCAAGAGCCTTTAGTGATAAAAAATTAACAAAATAGGAGAATATATTGCAGTCTTAAAAATTATGTACCTAAAATGTCAAGAAAATGTAGCATGTTTTAGAAAATCAAGAGCTTATTTTTAAAACCATCTTCACTAGAGTAATTCAACATTTCTTCCTTCAGCTCCTAAAATGTCACCATGGTCCCATCGGCCCCATCCCAACAGATTTTCCAAAGCAAGCTTTCATATTACAGTCAGAAATTCAAACACCTCAGAAAATCTCATATTGACCATAATAAAATGTTTATCAGAGTTCAAAAGTTGTGACTACATTTTGCAATAAATTATTCCTAGCTACAGTTTACCAAATCTTCAAAAAGGAACTATTCACTTCCTGTCATTTCTAAAGTTTTTTAAATATTTTATTTATTTATCTTGAGAGAGAGAGAGGAAGGGAGGGAGAGAAACATTGGTCAGTTGCCCCACACATGCTCCCAACCAGGGACCTGGCCTGAAACTCAGGCAAGTGCCCTGACGGGGAATCGAACCAGAGACCTTTCTGTTTGCGGCACAACACCCAACTGACTGAGCCAAGCAGTCGGGACACAATTCAGAAGTTTAAAAATATTGTTTGTCATTTGAAGCTAATGTTTTGAAAGAAAAATTAAGACTCCGTGTATTTAAACTTTCTCACTTTCATGTTGTTGCTTTGGGTTAGTTCCTACTACAGGCTTTGAACTTGTTATCCACAGTTCTGAGGCCCCAGAAACATCAGGTAATCATTGTTACGACCTCATTAAGTACTTTCTTGCTCATTAAAATTCACTCCATCACTGCCATGGCCAGAGTTGCTCTTGCTTGCTTAGGCTGCTGTTGTCATTCCCTTTCCCACTTCAGCGTATAAGTAGTCAGGATTTTAATTCACGTGTTACTTACTGTTTGTAACAAATATCCTTGGGTCCAGTTGAGGAACTCTATCTGGCATGAAACCCCTTTAACATTTCATTATATGTTTCAGTGAAGAGTCTGAAGTTCAAATTGCTCTCCTGTTTGGTATTTAGATTTATAAGACAATGCCAATTAAGTATCATGAACTTTCTCTGCATAACTTTGCCTTCTATGAGATCTTGGTCATATTCTCATTATCTTTTCCTGTTTTAAGGAATAAGGGTTCCTCATTGTAATCAATTATCAAAAAAAGTTGCTTCCCAGAAGTGCCAGTCCTAACAAATATAAGTTACAGGCTCCACAACCATTGATGAATTTGGCTATTCCTTATTCTCCACCACAGTTTAGCAGTTGTTCTTAATCTTTGCTAAATAGAAATCTCTCTGAGTATCTAACTATGCATGTTAATATTTATTTCTTTAATAAATCAATAAATTTTATGTATTATTTTGGTCTCTAGAGGACCCTCAGTGAATATAAGGAACAAATTATATTAGTATAGTATACTTTTTCAAACTTAGGAAATAAATTCAAGAAAGTCTACTATGGTTTAGAAAACACAGGTCAATATACAGCACCGTTGGTGGTTTCTAGACCTACAAACACTGTAATAACGCAAGATTTTTTTTCTTTAATTTCAAAGCAGTGGGGAAGAAACCCCACCCTTCTCCCAAACTCGAATCATCCTGAGGATTCTTTGCTGAAACCAAGGAAATCTGTGGTTTCTGGTTTAAAGAGTCCTTCCAGCCCATTGCAGTTGGGCCACAGGAATGACAGTGATGTGGCTTGCTACTTGCACTTCTCACATCTGTGCCTTCTAAGAGAAGGGTAAAAATGGTGACTAGCATGTCTCCAGCTACAGAGCTGACCAGAAGGCTCATGGTTGGGCAGCGCTCTGTGTAGCTGAATTCATGATATGCCCTGCATAAGGGTTATCTCTGACAAAAGAGCATATCTTACTCAATTCTCCTGTTATCATATTTTATTCATTTTAAAAATGCTGCTTGTTTAGTTTATGCAAACAGACACTTCCCTGTGCTCTGGGTTCCCAGCACTATATTAGCCATTGCGTGGTTTGGGGCGGAGTGCTGAACAGAAATGGAGATCTAAAGTAAGGGTGCACTTTACCTTTTGAACAGATGCCAACATAGTCGTGGGAAAAAAACGGTAACTGAGTTTTTCTTACATATAAGGCAATTTGCTTATAAGAAGCAGCTTATTTATTTATTTTGTGATTTTTTATATTTAATTATTTTTCAAGTACAGTTTTCTATTTCTCCCATCCCAGCCCACCCCGCACTCCCCACCTCCCTCCCATTTCCACCCCCCTTAGTTATTGTCCCTGTGTCCTTCATATTTGTTCCTCTAAATTCCCTCCCCTTTCTCCCCCTAAATTCCCTCCCGTCTCCCCTCTGGTAGCTGTCCCCCTGTTCTCTATTTCAGTGTCTTTGTTTTTATTTTGCTTGCTTGTTTGTTTTGTTGTTTAGCTTCCTGTTAAAGGTGAGATCATATGGTATTTGTCTTTCAACACTTGGCTTATTTCACTCAGCATAATGCTTTCCAGTTCCATCCACGCTGTTGCAAAGGGTAGTAGCTCCTTCTTTCTCTCTGCTGCATAGAATTCCATTGTGTATATGTACCATAATTTAAAAAATTATGGTACATATACACAATGGAAGCAGCTTATTTAATCAGTAAAAATAGAACATATTTAAAGGAGTCAAGGATTTATGTGGGCTATCAGAAAACAGTTGGACTTTGAAATAACTTTAGGGTTTGAATTAATAGATAGAAGGGTAAAACCAGCAAAAATAAAACAAAATCTTGACTACTATTGAGGGTGTACAAGAGAGCAAACAGAAGTGTGGAGCAAAACACTCATAGATGATACTGAGCATTTTCATCTACGTCAGGAAATCAGCTGTAGGAAGCTCTTAAAAGCCTTTGTGAGAATTCAGATTCAGACGCAATAATCAATGAGAACCTAATTTTTTCAAATAGACTGTTGCTCTTTCTAGGAGGATGCTTAAGATCAGTGGCCAGCAAAAGTTTTTATGGGAAGAATTAGATAGTGATTGTTTTACACTTTGCAGGCCAGTCAGTTTCTGTTACAAGTCAGTTCTGCAATTGCACCCTGAAGTCAACCAAAGCCAATATGTAAATGATATGTAAATATGGCTTGAATTACCTTAGTTTGTAGATATATTCTTGTTCCAAAAACTTTTATTTCATACTATTTTTACACTATGAAATATTACTCTTCTTTTAAGTATTTCCCCATAGTTTAACAATGTAGGAAGAAGACATTCTTAGCTCACCAAATAAGCAGAGGGAGGGCCATAGTTCGCCAACTTCTGCTTTAAATAATGGTGCTCTGCATGGAGCGCTCCATTTTCCTGCTGTTTTGAGGGTCTGTGTATTTCAATTCATTGCTGCATTTGTCTAAATCGATAAAATAGATCATACAAAACTGACAACTTAGACCCTCTTCTTTCAGCTCCCACTGAACAGCAAACTTGTATTTTGAGACCAGTGTCACCACCAAGCCTAGAAATGACACAAAGTCAACCTGGCAAATAGATTGCTTAGTCTGTCGGGTACACCGTGAACTTCAGGGGACAGACTCCGGGTGTTGTATTTCCAAATATAAAAGCACAAAAGATTACACGTTTAACAACTCTGTTTACATATGGTACAATGCTCTTTTCATGATTGCATATTGGTGTTAAATTAATAATGTGTTCATATTAATTGTTACTCAACAGTGTAGAAAAACATCATTCTACTGTTTGCTGTTTCATTTTAGATAATAATTATGTATGTGCTTAAGTATTCAACAAAACCACCTAGAAGAATGATTTTATTCTTTATCCTTGCTTTTCACTAGCAATTATGAATTTGTGGCACTTTTCAGTAGTCAGCTCAGTGTGTGAAGAACACTAGTTCAATTGTGACCACCCAGGAAGAAGAAGGTTCTCCCTTTAGTAAAGATGAGAAAACTTTACCTTACACGGTATGAGCCTGAGCATGTTGGCCTTTCAAACTGAAAACAAAACTTTTTAATTATTCTTAGCCATGCCGTTGCTACACCCTAACATTTATTTTGAAACACTGCATCTTAATTCTTTGCAGCATAGGATTGTAATCTTTTTCATTTCCTTTGTGCGTCTTTTAATTAGCTAATGGCACTTGGAGCTCATGTTGACAGTACAAGGTATGGTTGGTACTGGCAACCTACAATACTTAGAAAATGGTGAGTCCATTTCAGTTATTAGAGCTTCTTTTAGTGTTAATAACATATTATCATATTGGCCAGCATAGAGCAGGTATATGTACAAACACTTAGTTTTTCTTCATTCATTCAATGCTCCCACAATAACTCATCCTTGATCAATTGTATCATCATGTGCTCAGGGTTTGTCTGTCTTTTTTTCTTACTAGTTTCTGAAGTCCAAGAATCTGTTACATTTAACACTGGGTCGTCAGAGGAAGCTATAGGTAAAAATGTTTCTTAAGGGGAAGTCAGTATACATGCTTTTTCCCATCTTATGGTGGAAGTCCTCCTTGAATGCCCTCATGCCGTGTGACATTTCATAGCTTCTCACACCTTGCCTGTGCTCATCCAGTGACTCTTGAGAGCCAAATATTATATTCAGCACATGTGCTAGTGTCTGCTGTATTGCCATGCAAGTTTCATACTTTCCTTATTCAGTGTCCTCTGGGCCTGAATGAAATTTTAGTATTTTTATGTTCTGATCACTCTTTCAATGTGAATACGTACATGTTATTCTTCATGTGAATATCATTTGTATACTCATCCCCATGTTCTCCAAAGACTCACACTATGTCTTTTTCTCACTAGAGTGGAAGGAAGTGAAAGATCTGCTTTGCTCCAGGCAGAAATTGCTTAGACCTGCAGTTCTCATGTGCGTGTGCATGTGTGTGTGCGAGTGTACATGTGTGTGTGTGATTCCACACAGCACATCGCCTTTATTTCCTGCTTTCACGTCTGCCATCTCAAATTGCAGTCATCTTCATTGGGTCACCTAAATGTTATTCTCATGAATGTATCTACTTAAGGTAACTGACCTTTGTTTTCAAAGTAAACAGTGTTCCATTACAGAGCGCTGTGGGCGGCCCACCACTAACCAGACGTCCCTGTTTCCTCCCTAGCATCCACGGAAACAGATTATGTATATCCCACTGCCAAAGCACCACTCAGGCCAGAGGAGCCAAACACCGAAGGTGGTAAAGGTTTTCATGCTTTGATTCATGTAATTCAACAACCTCTTAATTAGTTCATATTATGTCCATGGAACATGAACGTTCAAGCTTTGGTACTTGTTCTACAAGTGAATAGATTTGAAGAGCTGATAGCTTTCCAAATTCTTGGATTCTCAAAATGATCATTGACTCTCTGAATACAGAAATGTCAGTTTCTCTGTGATATCTAAATACTGAGTTGTAGTATTTGTGACAACCAGTTAATGAAAGTTAAAACATAAATATTACTTGGAGGGTTAGTTTTCTAGGGTAGAATGTCCACTCCTGGTTCTCTTTTCTTCTTCTCTAAATTCATTGTTCTGCAAAGTCTTAGAAGAATAAGGTGTACTGATATTAAAGAAAAGTACTTGACTGTAGCTTAACATCTTACAACGTGTTAAATTTTTCTCCTTTGTTTTGATACAGTTGTGGAATCTATTACAAATGTGTCTGAACCACCTGAGACCACATTAGGTAATGACACACCCCAGCAGCTTTCATACTCATTGCCACCATCATCTGAGAACCTCGGGTTCTCCCTCATTGTGAAGCCACGCTGCAACCTCATTCCTCGTCACAGCAGTTACTTTCCTTCCTAGGTTCTCCCATGCATAACCACCCCCAGTTAGTCTCTTCTTCCATTCAGTTTTGTATCTAGACCTGGACTCTTTCTCTGCTTAAGTTCGTGAAACTGTCCAATATAAAGCATCTTTTTTCCTAACACTTTGTACTCTGCCAGCTTGATGTTGTGTTGAATATTTCCAATAATATTTCTTATATAATGATCCACTTATACTTTCTACCCTGGCAACATACTTCCCACTGACACTCGTTTCCACATGCCATCACGTTCATGTACATGTTTGATGTTTTTTTCCATTATTTAAATGGAATGCATTGCTTCTTGAATCAGTTTATGCTTTACCACTTTTTATTACTTTGTTTTTTTCCTTTATGGTTACTACTGAATATATCTTTCTAGCATTGTTGAGGAGGTACTAGTGTGAGTGAAGATTTAAAAAAGTAAGGGCATTGCTTACTTGGAAAGTATTTTCATAACCTGGCATCTCTAAGCATTTTTTAAAATATATGTATTAGGAAGAAAGAGGAATGCTAGTTTGCTGCAGACTTGCAGTTTTCTTTCTTTTAAAAAATATACTTGTTACCATCATTTCTATTATCTGTACTCAAAGTGTGCGAAGCATCACGGTTTCCTTCGTTACTCTCCTTTGGTTACGATAGAAGCATCAATTCTACCTTCCCAAACTATAATCCTACCCAGCCCAAATGAGCCTCACACTGGACCGGGTGAATGCATTATTTTGTACTTCATATAGAAGGTGAGTGTTTGCAAAATATAAGAATGGACAGAGGTGGGTACTACATGACTTCGGAAGCCCCGCCTTAATCACTCAGCGCACAGTCCCTGCCGCTCCACTTCCTCCCTGCGCCAGTTGCAGGCCGCCAGGTGGCAGTGTCGTGAACGTTCTTCAGGGTATGACTGGAAAACACCCCTCAGCTGCAATGCAAGTGTTTTAACATAGTAAATGGTAATGTCTCTGGGGAAGAACATTTATATCCCATTGAAACGGAATTTTAAATATCTCAACTAATTTTACAAGTTCTATCTTCATGTAAAAAGTATTTTAAGATACCTAATTTGTGTTTGAGGTTAACAGAAACAGGTGTCACTTTGCAAGCCCTATAAAAAGGCATGACTGACCATAGTTACCTTGACATTATTCAGGTCCTTTACTTCTTTCCACTCCGTCCTGTGGTGGGTTGGCCATTTCACTGCATGCAAAATAAGAGAAACTGACATCAAACCAGTTACTTGCGCAAGTCATAAAAGGTTTACTTGATGGCGGAGTTAGAAATGAAGGAAAACATGCCATGAACATGGATAACTAGAGACATTTCTTCTTATGAGGAAAAATACTCTAGCTATCTCTAGGATTCTCTTGAAATAGGAGTTTACTATAAATAAGTCCAAACTTGTGTTTCGATTGCCATGGAATTTTTTATGTGACTATTTCCACACGGGGTAAAGATACTAATTTTACTCCTTGTCCTTGGAAATATCCTATTAAATACTGCCTATTAAACTCTACAGTTTAATTACTGCCAAAATTCTGCATTGACTGCATTAACTGAATCTGTGTCAGTTATCACTAACTCTTCAAAGTTCATTGTTTTTAATAGCTATAATACTCAATATTATCGAAATGTTTAATTGTGAATGCTATTAGCGATTCTTAACTCTTCCTGAATCATTTCTGTGGACTTGCCTTGTGATATGCTTTGGTCTGCAAACTGTCTCTCCCACACCCTGGGGGAAGCAACTAGCCTGTCAGTAGGAACCTCCTCAGCAAGTAGTAAGTTGGGAGTCAGGGAATCATGAGACTGAAAGAAACTCTGGGATCAGAGAACTTTAGAATTAGAAGGGCTCTTGGAAACTTCTGTAACTTTCAATGGAAACCCTGCAGCTGTCACTCAGTGACGAGCAAAGGGAGCTCTCAGTCTCCAGGTTCCAGGTTCCTAAACCAGTGTAACCTCCAAGATACCTTGGCGTTCATCTCTTTTACAGGCAAGAAGATCCCACTGAAGCCACTGCATGCCTTGGTATTTAGATTTAGCATCGAGAGGAAGTGTCTGCAGACTCTTCAGAAACAGCCTGTAGTACCTAATAGCACTTGTTTGCAGCAATCTTTTCTTAAGGTGCCTGAAACTCCATGACCTTGGAATACATTTTGTTTCTTCTTCCCTCTCTCATCCCAAATACACTTTAATCCAACCAAGTGAGGTGTTTCCACAAACTGCAACTTTGCATTTGGTAATTCCTTTTCTCCAGCAGGATATACTTTTAATTTTCTTGGTGAAGAACTAACTGGTTTTTATACTGAATGTCCTAGGACTTCTTTGGGAATTGCCTAGCAAAGGAATAACTTTCTTCAATAATACAACCTTTTAATGTTCAAGTTCTCTTCTTCAGCATGATCAATTTTGTTTAATAAGATTAATTTTCCATTAGCACTTGCTATTGAAATACATTCATTTTCTAGGTATGTTTGGAATATGACATGCTAACTTTTTTGGAAGCCATTGTATCTATTTGCAATCAAATTTTATACTGGAATAATCTGATAAAATGGTGTGAACTTGTACTAAGTACTAAGGATGAATACTTGTTACTAGAAAATTTATTTTAACCAGTTTAAAAGGTATATGAAGTAGATGTTTCTGGAATTTCAGCAGTTTCCTTTGTCAGCTGAATATCTTGGATATTGTTTAATGTGCCTTCTTGTTTGTTTTCTGGTATAATAAGAAACCGTTTTTCTATACTTTGTAGCTCTTTGGAAGCTTTAATTGCATTAATTGCTGTGTGTTTAAGTCATCAGTCACTGGACAAACATCTCTGAAAACCTAGAGGCTATTAAGCACTGTGACTCTGAAGAGCTCTAGAAATCCGAACCTCCTATCTTTTTTTTTTAGCTCCCAAGCAAATACCGCTCATTCCTCCCAAGCCAAAAACATCTCCACGTCCAAGAGTCCCACAAACACAGCAAGGTAAATACATGTTTTGTATTCTGGCCTGAAAAGTTTGATGTTATTGAAGTCATTCTGTTGAGTTATAGCAGTTGAGTTTTAACCCTCATGAAACAAGTCTTCTTTTGCAACCTAATAAATATTTACATTTACTTTTAAACTGAGAAGTATATTATTGGAATAGCTTATCCCAGAAAGCTTCCCTGTTGTAACATTATTTTGAACAAGAGGATGGAGAAGAATGGAATTTCTTTGCCTCTCCCAGAGTGAGAATCCCTCCATGGTCCAATCACCTAATTTTGTTATACCCTTCAGTAGATTTTATTTAACACAAATGCCACAAAGATTTTATATGTATATCTTATGTACAAAAGATACATATATACATAAGATATGTATATCTTATAGATACAAAAGATATATCTTGCATATACACACACATATATATATCCTCTCCTATATATATATATTGCATACATATATACTCTCCTATATATAATATATATGTATGTATATACCCTCTCTAACAATTACATATTGTTTTGCTATAAAGGACCCAAATAAGATTCATTATAAACTTATTTGTATTCTGTTGAAGGAGCTCTGATTTGAATGATTAACTCCAATCCTAACTTCTTAATCAAGCTCTTGTCTAATTTCTCCAGCTGCCTTAGCCAATCTCTATTCTGGAATATTATAAACTTGACATGCCTCAAAGAAAGCCCATTGTGTTTTTCCCCTTTCAATTTACATCTGTGGCAGGTTCTCAGCATTTTACATCTGATTTTTACCTCTATTCCTCATCCAGCCTTGGCAGTTCATTTGTTACTAAGTATGGGACATCCCAGTGCTGGTGGTTACTCCAAATGTCTACCCAGTCACACTTAGTCTATTGTCATCAATCAGCTGATGTCCTCTCTTCTCTCCCAGTTTCAAGTTGCATCACCCTTGATGCTTAAGTGTTTAACTAATTCATTTAATTAGTCATTCAACAAATATTAATTGCATTCTGACTAGGTGCCAGGCAATGCTTTGGACTCTAGGAATGTGAAACAAAACTGAATCGCTTGTGGTCAAGGCAGTTACAGTCTAGACCAATCACCTAAATTTAAATTTATCGTTTATATACATGGTCTATTTCCAAAAAGTGTATGAGGCGCACCTACCAATTTATTAGGAAAGGAACCTTCACTGTCACTAATGGTCTGGGGAAAGAAAAACGTTAGCAGGTAGTGGTTCTGGATTCCCACTACAAATTGTAGAATCATATGTCAGTATCCCTTTTGAAAGAAAAAAACTATATATTTAGGCATGATCTTTAATTTCTGATTCTGAGAGAAATTTTGCCTGTTGTTTTTTGTTTACTTAAAGGGAAATTCATTAAAAGATAGCTGTATGTTCCACATCCAGCTAATAATTTTAAATGTGTTTTAATGCACTTTAAAATGTGCATTATTTAATTATTAAAACTTTGTTATGAAAATAATATGTATGATATGTAAGTATATAGGGTACTCCCCTGATAGAGGCATTTAAAGAATAACAATAAATACATGTGAAACAATATATAAGAAATATTGGGGAAAATAATATAATGAATAATGAATAGAATAGGAATAATAAAACCAAAGCAAGTATATTAAATTTGTGGATAGGAAACTAAACTCTAACTTTAAAAACTAAATCAACAGATAAAATCACATGAAGGTGTTCTTAACTTTTTATTTGGACATAAAACATAGGACAAAAGTAGCAGAAAAAGACATGGAAATAAATAAGAAAGCTTAAAGCTTAGTGAATGTTGGAAAAATAACAGTAGAGATGAAAAATAAGTGCTGGGAGTTAAGACATTGGAAATATAAATTCCTGGTTAGTAATATTTTTAAAAGTAAAGGAGATATAAAATAACAAGAAAGACATTCATAATTTTCTTTTTTGAATTTTACTCTCTCCATATAAAAATACAGAATAAATCAGCAGCTTACTCTAAATTTCCATTATTATGCTATATTTAAAGTTTCAAATTTGTTTGATTTAGACCTTTAGCCAACCCTTTTCCACAAGATACGCCGCTTCAGAATGGATAGATTAGTACGCTCAGTGCATTCCACTCTAAATCTGAAACCCTTGACTGGCTGCCAAATGAGCAAGAGAGCCTCCTGGTTCTGCTCAACTCAGGCAACTAACTCCCGGCCCATCGGCATCTCCTGTGGAAAATAGCTGCAACCCAAATACATCTGGCTTTGTCAGTGCTACTCAATGCAAGGCAACAATTTGGAAAATTGATCATGAAGAACAAAATACACTCTAATTATTCCTCTTAGAAGTGAATGGCCTTAGAATCTCTCTTACCCAAGAGAGTACAATCTTACCTAATAGATCCCACTAATATCTTGGGTTTTTATAGTCTTTCAAGAATGCTTGTGAATGTAGAGATATGTATTACTGAGTATTTCAAAGGCAGATATTCAAATCCTAGTACTTCCCCTCTAAGCCTTGGCTAGCTCTTTATGGACTTGAAAAAGCTTTTGGCATGGGAGGATGTTCTGTTCACATGAGCAATACCCAATGCAAATCTTTACTATTGGGCTAGATGGCTCTCACCTGCAAACAGCGTCTGCACCTCAAAGTGCAGCACAGGGTATTCACCTGTCACTTTTTCCAGGGTGAGATTCTATTACCGAGCATGTCACCTTTCATCTTATTTATGCTTAAACTATGTGTATGTATTAGATGGCAAAATTTAAATCTAGATTTGCCACAGAAGGCAATGTGGGGTAAAAAATGTGGAACAAGAATCATCAAGAATACTTTGTCATTAAATAAACTTGTGATTTTTAGATTTCTGTGGTCATAGGTAATACTCAACAATCCCAGTATTAATTTTATACTTAGAAATCTTATAATCATCCATCTATAGGTTCTCCTAGTTTTTGTAGGAGCAAAGCGAAAATTACAATATTCTCAGATTCTTCAATGTCAACTTCGTCACGATTTTTTAGAAGTGAGAAAAAATTTACAAATAGTTTTCATGCCATTTTGACATTTCACATTTAATTGTCACAACCATCCTTTGAGATAACACAGGTTTAATTATTTCCTCCTAAAACATGAGAAACAAGTTAAAAGGTGACATGCTTGGAGACAGGGTACCCACATGTTTAGACCTAGTGATCACATCAGGACCTTAGCTTCAGCTCAAGTCCTGTCTCTTGTTCTTAGTAACTGTGTAACCTCAGGCAAATAGTCACCAACCCAGACCTTTAAAGTGAAGCTGATGATTCCTTCCTCTCAGCATTTTGATGAGATGAAAGCATTTTTGAAATTGTTCAATGAGATCTAAGTAAATTAGGTCTTTTTTTTCCTGGTATGTATTCCATTAGCACCTGTTACTCTATTTTTTTTATTATTATTTTTTTAGCACCTGTTACTTTAGAGGAAACACAATTGCAGACACACTATTTTAGTTTGCAGACATGATCATTTAAAGGCTTATCTGGAGCCTAAGAATTGCAGGGAGAGTAGAACGCCAGCCCACCCCTGCATTCCATTCCACACTCACCTCCCTTCCTTCTGCCACCTGATAGCCATGCTTCATGGGCTTCTACTCTGACTCACTGAACTCGTCTTCAAAGAAAGACTGGAGGGTGTGGGGAGTGATTTAAGGAGAAGTAAACGTCCAGGCAAGAAAAGCATTCTTGAATCAATTTAATTGGTAATCTCTTCTGAAATGATTCTCTATTCTACCCTTATGCTTAGTCAACTATTGTATTTCTCATATTTTACTTTTCTAAAAGTATCTGGAAATCTAACTGATTTATTTTTAGAGCGTAAAGTTTATTTTTCCATGTACCTTCCAGTGTACACCTTTTATATTATGAGTCATTAAGCTTACACTTTGTCACATCTTTTGCCTGTGTACAGACACCAAGCGACTCATGACCTGAGTTCTCTCTTTCAGTGGCTAAGGTGCTCCAGCGTGTTACTTCAAAGCCAAAAATGTCACCAAAGCCGGAAGTGTCATATACTCCACCTGGTAAATGTTTTGTTTCATTTCTGAGTCAAATGCTTTCTACTGTCACCCTCTGCTGCAATGAAACAAGAGCGGGTTGATGTGAGGTTGATGTTTCACTGACGTTCAGATACCCTGTCGTATTGTACAGGGCGTGATCATCTCAGAGATGCTATAGAGCTCAGTGCTTGCAGGGTGAGCTACTGATACAATGGAAAGGCAGAGACATATGCTAAGAATAGAGTGTTTCTTTTAGAACTAAAATTCCCCTATCTTCTGACTTGTAAAACATGACCTACTTGTGCTAACTCTGCTGTGCTCCAATGTTTCATCAAAATAAGATAAAGAATTCAGGACTTTTCCACAAAAATTATAAAATGGTGTTTTTACAAACAGAGGAAATGATGTTTAACTATTTTCTTAGGCTTAGAAATTTTACATTATCCAACATTAAGGGTTTGTTTGCTTTTTCCTGTCAAACTCTATTTTACCAGTTCATGGAACAACAGCTTGGGTTAAGAAATAAGAAGTTTGCTTCACAAAAAAATGATTTCTTTAGCTATAAATTGATAGATGATAGATAATAGATAGATGATAGATAGATAGATAGATAGATAGATAGATAGATAGATAGATAGATAGATAGATACCTTGTTTATCATCTGAGAAGGCCGTTTGTCCACTTACGGGCCAGAATAATCCCATGTATGGGGAGTGGCGGTGGGGGATGCAAGGACCAGACCTTTTCTGCGTCTTGCCGCCAGTGCTGTAAGTCTTCAAATGACCTTAAGACACCGTTAGCTAAACAGTTCTATGATAAGCAAAACCAAGCACGTTTTTAACTAGAGTTCCTGAAAAATACTATCAGGTTTTTTTCCTCCTTCTTTTTAAAGGTCTGATTATTATAAATTCCTAGTACTCCTAGAACCATATAAAGCATTCCCAGAACCAAAAGTATTTCTAGCCTGTAGCTTAAAATGACATTTTTAAAAATCCTCACCCAAGGATAAGTTTTTATAGATTTTAGAGAGAGAGGAAAAGAAAAAGAGAAATATCCACCCGAGAGAGAAACATTGATCAGTTGCCTCCTCTGTGCGCCCCAACCAGGGACCAACCTGCAACATACTGTATCTTTCTGTGTATAATGTGTACTTTTTTACCCAAATTTTTGAGGAAAAAATAAGGTTGCGTATTATATTTAGGCAGTACTAAGTCCATGTCTATATAGATGTTTTTAATTCTTTTATTTATGCTAATGTGTTAAAAGTGTAACTCTAGAAAGCAGCAACAATACCCATATGCAAAGTAATACTCTGGAATATAGTAATTGGCTTTATTTCTAAATATAAGTAAAAATTGAATTAAAAAATTAAAATGAAAGAATTTTTTCCTAAAAGTTTAGGCCAAAATTATGGGTGTGCATTGTACATGGTGTGTGTGGGCCCCAACTGGGGATTGAACCCACAACCTTTTTGGGGTACAGAACAGTGCTCCCACCAGCCGAGCCACCTGGCCAGGGTGAAACGATGGCACTTTGGAAGCAAGTCTGATCTCACTTGCTGTGGTGTTTTCCAGACTGGAGGGAGGGGGAGGAGGTATTGTACTGCCGTGGAATGGTCGGGTTGTCGCAGGCGGTGGTAGGCTAGGGACAGGCACCTTTGCCCTGAAGCCTAGAATTTAAATTTGTATCACTAAACCAACAGCCAATATTATATAAATGCCAATAAGAAAAATGCTAATCTTTCCACTTACTAAAGATCAACTTCTTATTTTCAATTGCGAAAAATTGTAACAGAAATTGAATTACAGATAACAGCAGTAGATTTGAGTGATTTTATTTGCCTTTTCTTTTCATCAGAGAAAGAATACCGTAAGTCTTGATGTTACTTAATCTCATTAAACCACTATATCTAATAGTGAAACATTTTTGTTCTTTTTAAATGTCTCATATTTGCCATAATGCCATCAACACCTTAGTTTTTACAGAAATTCTAACCTGTAGTCCTGGCTGGTGTGGCTCAGTGGACTGAGCACAGGCCTGCAAATCAAAGAGTCACCAGTTCAATTCCCAGTCAGGGCGCGTGCCGGGTTGCCTGCCAGATCTCCAGTAGGGGGCATGCAAGAGGCAACCACACATTGATGTTTCTCTCCTCCTCTTTCTTAAAAAAAAAATTCTAACCTGCAGGCTTGAGCAGTGGAACAACAGCACAAACCCTTCCCCTGGAGTGTCCATTGAGCTTATTCTATTGACTCCCCAGTTCCAAATGTTCAGTGGAATGTCTCTAAATCTGGGACTAGTTCTGCTATGATCTGTATTCATCAGGGGTTCCTGCTGCTTTAGGGGTGTGATGCCTATAAGAATAATCATAAGGCAAGTGTCCCTGTGTTTCAGACAAGTGTTTACGCAACCTGTTGTGTTCAAACAGTGGTTTGTGTCTAAGCTCGGGTTTGCTTCCTAATGAATCCAAGACCTTGTTTACCGGCTTCTGTAGGTTATTCCCCCCAAAGCACAGGTAAATTACATATATGTAAATAGGCCAGTTCTAGTCAGATTTTGCTGCCAAATGAGTTTTTGTTTTTTAAACTTTCCATTTCAGAAGGTTGTGGACTTTAGAGCTATGGATAAGGAATCATGGATGCATAGTTGTAGAAGGTCAGTGAGGTGGGAGCCCAACCACAGTGGATAAAGAAGATGTAATTGAGAGACAGACAGAGATTTTTGAGTAAAAGAACCAGGGCAAGAGTGGGATGGTGTGAAAAAAAGCCACGTAAAGGGAATGATATTTTTTTAAAAAGATATCAGGGCATTTGAGCTGTTTTGTAGGTGGAGGGGAAGAAACTTGTGGGTAAATGGGAATATGGACCAATGGAGAAAATGATAAGATAATAGAAATAATGGAAAGTGCAAGGTCCCAGAAGAGAGGAGAGGGAGGGAGGTCCAAGAGCCCAGGTTAAGCTTGGAAAGTGGCGTCCCAAAAGGGCAGAAGACCAGCTTCCTCTCTGACAGGACCTAAGGGTACAAGGTTAGAATCAAGGAACAGGGTACTGGGGGGTGAAAAGTGCGTGTAGTCTACATGTATTACTTTGCCAAAGAATCTCTTTGTAGACTTTTGCAGGGGTAAACCTTATTGCAGACTTCATATTTTATCATCTTTGTCAGGGGATAACACATTGATTCTCTCATCAAACAAAATATCCATTCATTTTCAGTTGTCCACATTAGACATTTTTACTCATAATTGTCTTGTGTTGAAATTTCTCCAGAGTAGCGCCCTTTATTCAAAAAAGATAGTTAATTTCATTGATTGGCTTGTTAATATACGTGGTAAGCTGGTTAATACAATTGAGTCTAAACTATAATAATGGTAAATACTTATAAGGAAATCATAAGTGCCTTCTCACAAAAATTGTCATATTTATATTGTTTCCCCCAGCATGGAAGATACAGGTTTTAGGAGTCCTGCTCTCGTTTAATACACAGAGGCATGCCACGTACAGAGGAAAAGAAAAAAACTTGCATTTCTTGGAGCCACAATTGACCAAGCGAGAGAATGATTCATTCCCCTTTCCTGTGAATATGTCCTTTTTTTTCTTTCCACTGATTTTAGCTGCTTTAGAAAGCCCGCTATTGCAATTTATTAAATCATCACTGCATGGATAAAAAGCGCCGATCGCAGCAGCAGGAATCCACATTACCCCAGCCTGAATTCCTCAGGCAGCCAATACAGGCGGCGAGTAATGTATTTACAGGATGGTGGGTGTATCAGCTGCACAGTTCTTCTTTCGTTCCTCCTAGCTCCTCTGTGTATGGTCTAGCACTGTAACCAGTTAGGTTACTTATGAACTACTGGTGCTTTGTATGGCCATGACCTCCACCGAGCCAAATCAGAGTGTGCTGTCCAACCTCCTGATAAAAGATTGGTTTGATTAAAACTGGAAATTCCTCATATTTTACTATTTGAATGCCCCAAAATATGACATAGCGAAGGTGAAATATTCACTGTCGTGATGGGTTTTTTCTAACTTTGTTGACCACTGATCTTTTTGAAGTTGCCTTTTTCCTTTAAGAGAAAAATCCAGGTTTTTAAGTTCCCCTGGAACCTTTTACCTGAAAGAAGTTCTAATTGAGTCACATTTCTTTTCCGTGTATACCACATTCCACAACTGCAATTTCACTGGTACTTAGTGGCCCACACTAAGAACAGATGTGATAGGTACCTTAAATATGATCCCCAAAAGCAATAAAATGAGAATGTCTGTTTTATATAACCTATTTTTATACTAATGGTAAAGTGGTGGTTGGCCACCTGATGCAAAAGTTGTTTTTTTTATCTTTCTCTGAAGCATAGTTCTATCCTGAATTCGAATTCTAATTAAGAATAGAATTCTATCCTTAGAATTCTATCCTGAATTCTAAGAAGCTTGGCTTTTTCCCAAGCTTCATGTAAAATGTTAGAAAGTTACACTGCCTACCGAGGGGATTCATGAAATGTTCAGAGTGGCAGAAACACCTTTCTGTGAGAAAGTAGGGCTGAGAAGGACCTCCTTGTGGGGAAACTGAGTCAAAGAAGCACATTGTCTGGTACTAACCATAGGCAAGTCACCCTGATATTTGCCCCAAGGTATCAAATTCTCAGCCTACTGTTTCATGTTGCCAAAATGGAACTGGGCACAGGCATTAAAAATATACTGGACATCAGGGACTGAAAATGAATAGGCTTATTGTTCAGCTGATATTTTGTTCTTTGTTTTCATATTCTCATGTGTCAGGGGCCCTGACACCTAAATACTGGAAGCTACATCACTAAGAATGACAAAAATGGCAACATTTGTCAGGATTTACTCTGTGACAAACACTCCACCAACTTTTCACGTGGTATCTTCTACTGAGCAGCTGATTTCTTTTCCTCTGTTTTCTCCCCATATTAATTGTTAGCGTCTTTTGGAATAAAACTCTGTTCTTCTCTTAGATATTTGAGAATCTTGCCTTTCTTGGTGGTTCCATGAATTTGTAGGCCCATTGGCACGCTTTATCTAAGAAGTGGGATTTTAGCACGAGTGTCAAATAGCCACTTCACACAAAATCTGACTTTCTATTTGGAAGTCAACTTGAGGGAGACCAACCTTCTGTTCACTTACATTAATTATTTCCTCCTCCCTGCCCTGCTCCCCTCCCCCGCAAAGAGGGAGCCTTCAAAATGAACTGTGACCAATGCTGTTTTACTTCCACTAGAATCTTCCCTAGACAGAAACATTTTTCCATTTTGAAAAGAACAGTGTCTTGTCGGCTCTGCTCATTAGCCGCTGTGGAAGTACCTGTGCTTCATTCTCGCTTTCCAGGATTGCGTGTCTGTGGATTGCTTCACTTAGGCATGACTTCGAGAGTACATGCATAATGTTTCCTCACCTTTTCTTTCAGTTCCAGAGGTGCCCCTTCCCCGTAAACCAGACCACCAAGTCTCTCAGAGCGAACCTGGTAAGTGAACTACTTTATTTTCCCAATTAGGAAGTATATTTTTCAAAAAATATTCTCGAGGTGAATAATTTTTTTAATGGTTGTGATGCAGAAGTTGGAAGAAAATTATGGGTGTAAAGTGTACATTTCTTTTTTTGGAAGTTTTAATCATATATTCTGTTTGAAGTTTTCCCCTGGTTAACACGAGGGAATAATGCATGATTAGTTTACTGTTTTCATGGAATAGGAGATTGTGCTAAAATTACAACAGATAGTCATCTTGTTAACGAAGCCAACCATTTTTACCTTCTTTCAAAATGTAAATATTGCCGTGTTCCAACTGTGTGTATAATTTTAAGTAAAACATGGAGGAGGCTACTCAAAAATTTTGTTAATGTGACAGTGAATGCAAACTTTAATATTTTAACTAAACTAAGTTTCCTGAGTGGCATGTAATATACAGTATTTTCTCATATTTATCACAATTCTTAGAAAATGCTTAAAGGTTCGAATGAATGCATGTAGGAACCCAAACTGTTTTTACTTCTCTGGGTCGTAATTCTCACGAATATGTCTCTTTGGTTTGCTTTTGGCCTAGTTCTGCAGCCCGTCACCTTTAGAATCGATCTCCCAGCGGCAACAATAGGTAATGGTTTTCCCATGTTGAGCAGCTCTCCTTGTGTTCTTTGCCACCATCAGGATTCCAGGTCTTCCTCAAACAGTCGTACTGAACGTCATCTCTTCTAAAACCATTCCATCACTTCATTCTCACTGTCACTCTTTCCAAGTGGGAGGAAGGGTGATGGTGTCATGTTGTAAAAGCTTTTCTCTGAAGACCAGCTTAAGACAGCTCATCACCAAGTCCATCCTCACCTACCTCATTGGTCTGTGTGTTCAAAATGATTCCACCTTCCTCATGTCCCTCCAGTCAACATTTTCTGCTGGTCTAATTGTTCTCAGCTGTACTGTTATGATATACGAGCAAGTTGTAAGAGGTACAGTCAAGTAATTACCATTCATATTGGTCAAAATACTGAAATTTGCCAATGGTTTATTTTAAAAAATAAACTCGAGTCTACAGCCGTACTGCCCTGAATACACTTGATCTCATCTAAAAAATAAACTTGAGTAGACTTCAGATGATCATAGCAAACACAGTGAGGATATTCTCATTCATTTGGTAATCCTGTGTGCTGTCTTGGCTGGGAGAGCTACAGCTGACAGACTCAGGACCGCGTCTGGCCCACACACCGTCTTGCCAGGTGTGGCCATGAAGTGTGGCAAGCATTGAATGCCATTTATCATTTATCCTAGTGGAAAAACAGTTGAGAACTATTATTCCAATATTGCAGTCATTTTCCTGAAGGTTCTGTGCACACTTCTTGTTCTTCTCCATGACTCAATGTTTTCTATTTTCTCTTTCCAATGAAAGAATCCCATATAATATTCTGGTGTGGTGCTTGGCTTTTGAATCTAAAGATTGAAAACTTTGGTGCTTATCTTTGCAGCTCCTCTAGAGACTCGAGGCAGCCCTTTCATTCCTATGATTTCACCAAGTCCTAGTCAAGAGGAGCTACAAAGCACTCTGGGTAAATTTTGTTTTGATATTTCAGTCCAATGAAGATCTATCTTTTACGGATTGCCCTTAAAGGAGCCATGTGTACATTGTGTTCATGGGTTTTTTCCAAGCAATAGAGGCCCTCTTTTTGCCATTACACAAAATTTGCATTTCACTCGATTCTTTTACAGTAATTGTATATTTGTCCTGATATTTATGGTGATTTTGAAGGTAAAATGAGAATATTACAAAGCATCCTGACAAAATTTTAAGTATCCCAGAAAGCAGAATATTCCCAAAATGTATTAATGCTCTATTTTTATTGCTTTTTCTGTATTTGAAATTGCACATGGGAAGAAAAATTGAATCTAGTATTTTTTTAGTATTTTATGGGTACTAAGCACAGTGCTTAGCAGGAAGTTTTAAGGGAGAACTGTTCTAAAATGGGCCCTTACCCTTGAGAGCTCACCGTCTGATGAGGGCAGAATTTAGTGACCGTGGTACTTCCTGAGTGCCACCCAGCCTGCTGCATGTAATTTTTAAGTTAAGCCACATAACAACTTTGTAAGGTGGGTTCTATTCGTTGCTCCATTTTACAGAGTAGAGAATTAAGGCACAGAGAGATTTGAAATTTGGTCCAAGTCCACAGCTAATGTCAGCGTGAGATTGAAGCCCACACACTCAGTTACCAGAGCTCCTGGGATCCCCCCAGTGTTCTACTTTACAATGAGTGTGACAGAGGAATGAGCAACATGCTGACCAAGCACAATACCTGTAGCCATCAAGGAGGGCTTCACGGAGGAGCTGACATTTACACTGGGTCTTCAAGGTGGAGTGACGGTTAAAGTTAAAGATGCAAATGTCCTTTCAGGTTAAAGACAGGTGGGAATGAGGCATAGGGCAGAGAATGGTGGCCAAACGAATCCGATGAGCAGGCAGGTCACCTGCAGAAATGAGGACGGATGAGCATGGACAGTTGTTAGGGAGGAGCTAGGCGAGTTTCAAGGAGTTCGTTATGTGGGAAATCCCAGTGTGACTGACTCTTTGCTGAGAAGGAACCAGACGAATGTCCCCAGCTTTTGAGTTTTGGCTGCTCTTTTCTGTCTGTGCCACATGGCACATGGCCATATTTAAGTCAGTGGCCTTATTTTTCTCCCTTCATTCCTTTTCAAAAGAACCCATTCTTTGTATATGCTGAAATGAAGCTACTGATCACATTTTAAAATAAAATTTTTTGGAAAATAAATTGAAAACTGAGCAAATATACACTGATTATCAAATATTCATCTAGTTTTGTGTAGGCCCGCAAGGTCAACATCCCCCGTGATGGGGAAGTCAAAAGTACTTTCAAGAACCACTGTCAGATATGCTAATTATTTCACTTCCACTCCCAATTTTTTTAAAATACATTTTGGTTTATTGACACAAGAACCATCACCTGCTATTTATCTCAAGTATCTATCTGGTGAGCTGAATCCAGATTACAAAGTGGAGCAGAAGAAAAAGATAACAATATGTTATTTGTACCAAGTATTTCCTTGGCTGCAGGATGTGTCAAAGAGAGCAAAGACGTCAAAGACATGTGTCAAAGACATCATTTTCTGTCTCTGTGATGTTGTAATGAATTCAAGATCATATTAAGCCTGGAACTATTGCCAAGCTTAGTGTTTATTTTGTCTGGTGAATTGTATCTGTAAGTCAGTAAACATAAACTTTGTGCATGAGGAAAATAATATTTATTCTTACATGGTGTAAATACCGTATCTATCTGATCCGTTTCTTTTCCTGCTCACCCAAACAACTCGTGGAATTTCTGAGGTGTGTATGAGACATGAGGGCAGCTAAGAGGCACATCCAAGCATACCCACCTCCTGTATCATGAAACAAGGATGCTGAGCTAAAAGCTTTGGAGATCCTTAAAGTAATCATTAAAATAATTAGTGTAGGAAGAGGGAAATATAATGAGAGTTATTAAAATGTACCATTGTCTATAAATTTTTATGATTACTGAGCATACTTATTATTATCACTTGGGGGCAGTAAAGAATGTTTTTTTTGATACATTTATGATGATAAGTCTTTAAAGCAAGCCATCTTACTGTGCTCTAATCCCCGGCAGAAGTAGACCAATCCACCCAAGAACACTTCACAGCTAAGATTCCACGAACAACTGAATTGGCAAAGACAACTCAGGGTAAATACTGTTTTTTCTACCTCTGGATAGTAACTCTTCTTTCTTCATTTTTAACCAGGAAATAAAATTTTTTTACAGAATGTAATTTCTCATCACAGTGAATTGATTGTTTTTTTCATTTCATAGGTGCAGCCACATAGGAATATCAGTGGAATGTAGGGAAACAAGTTTAGTCAGAGCTTTGCTTTTGAACGTAGGGTTGACCACATGATGCTGATAACTAACAATGAAAGCTCTCTTTTGTTATTAACTGACCTTCATTTACCTCATTTTCTACATCTGATAAATAAGAATCTTTATTACCCTCTTCCCCCTCCCTTTTCTCTCCTGTTTCTTCCTGTGTCTCCCAACTTGAGGGCCATCTTGCTGTTGTGGCCTCGGGAAGGAAACTCACCTGCACAGACTCCGTCTCACCTGCACAGACTCCGTCTCACCTGCGTGCTCTCAGAGAAACGTTTTATCCTGTCTGGGTTGTAACCGTCGTGGATTTCCAGGGCTTTCGTGTTTCCTTTCTTTTTTTCTCCGACTCCTCTTGCCCATCTCTGCCTCTTTCATGAGGAAGGAAGCCCATAAGACCAAAGCAAATAGTTTTCGAAGAGTGGGAAGACAGATTTATTCATTGTCAGTTATAATTTGAGGGTGGAGAGAATTTAGTGGAAGAAATTCAAAATGCAAGAGGAAATGTTAATAAAAGAAATCTAATTTTATGCTGTGTATTTTATAGTAAGTAGTGCCATACTTATTAAATAACTGTGACTGAGCACTATCACATAGGATAGTTCTTATAAATTTTCTATGTCATTTTTTACTTGTTTTAAATGTTTATTATTTACTTTATTACCCTTCTAATTATTAACTTTTTGTTTATTTATCAATCCACATAGAAGCTTAAAACACTGACAGCCCCCCTCATCTTCATTAGTAACAGATTAATGGATGTTTAGTCACGTTACATCTGTGTTCCAAGTACATTTTTATATGTTTATTTGTATGTTTTTGCAAACCGTTTAAATGTCTGGCTTAATAGAAGGTAGTTGGATTCTCATAATCAAGCACGTTAATTTTTGTAACAAAATAGATATACACATACAATAAATATGATAAATAAAGACTTCATTTCAGGTTGTGCTGCCAAATGAGAAAAAGGTTTTAGTTTTTTAGAGCTTTATAGATTCCAGAATTGAGGATAAAAGATCATAAGGCTGTTCTTTTTCATTGTTGTTTTTTGGAGGTGTTTCTTTTTTTTTTGCATTTTCTTACTTTAATGGGAATATCAGTAACATGTCACCATTACCAATGTATCTGGAATTTTTATCAAATTCCTTCTAGAACATGGTTTTATTAGAACTTTCACAGTTGATTGGATGTATGTCCAATACTTGATATCATTATATGAATTCTCTTAACATGTTCATATAACAGACTGTGCCAAGAACCTGGAGAGTGGCTCACCAGAGATTCATTTGCATGAGGTGACAAAGGACATCCTAGGAAAGAACCCGGCTTAGGGATGAGAGTAGCATCCAGGTCCTGGCCTGATAACCCTGCTGAGGAGCGGAGGGTCAGCTTTAGTGAAGGCCCACTGCGTGTCACTAGGAGCACCTTTCGGCGCAGTCCTCACAAACATGTGCCTGAGCTCCTTAGAAGAGGAGGCCAAACAACCGCTCTGTTTTCAATGTGCTCTGTCAGGTTTTGTTTTTAACATGAAGCGTCAGGAGCACAGGACAGCACACGACAATTTGACAGAGAAGCTTAGGGGTGAAATGTTCCTCTTGGTCTTTGCACTCTACCCATGTGCATCCCATGACCCTTCCAGTCCCTCAATCACGGGCCCACGGGCTCCAGAGACACCCCAGCACCGCTTCTCTGGGGCACCCTTGCTCCGTCATCCACCGAGATGATTCCCTGATGTGTTCTGCAGCCCTGAAATGCTCAAACTTTTCTCCTTTGCCTTCTCATCTCAATCCACACTAGAAATCCACTTGGTCGGAGGTATTTGGAGAATATTTTGATTATTTTACTCCTTTCAGCCCTCCGAAACTTACCCAAGCAAAGTTGAATACCCCTTCCCCTCTCCCAATACTGGGCAGAACATACATCATTCAAAGTGTTTCGTCCATGCTCCCTGTTTGTTTAGTTTTGATGTTGTCATCATACAGCATTTTTAATGTTCATTTTACATAGATTTTTTGAACAGTTACAAAGTCATCTTTTAAAATTATTTTTGTATTATTGGTCACCTAAGACTACATGGAGATGATGTTTACATAATAACATTGTCACCAAGCTCCTTTGTCGCCATTTTGTTCATTTGTTTGTTTCAGTTTATGATTGAAACTCTAGAGTAGCTTTCTCAAGACTGTGTGTTATCTGGTGGTCAGTGATGCGAGTAATTCACAGCCTAAATTTAAATTATATTTCAGTTCTTTTATAAAAGCTCTTTTTAGATTTAAGTAGTGACTGTGGAAAGTTTTTTTTCAATTCTGATCCTGTGGCTTTGAAATAATGAATATAGTGCTGATTATTTTTGTGTTCAGTTCTGTCTCTTTTCTGAATAAAGTCTTTAAATTTATACTTTTTTCTAAAGTGGGACTAATAAGAACCATGATCATTGTAGTTCTTTAAGTAAAAGCAATCTAACATGGAGGAAATGAACATGAAAAGCTGAAATATGTTCATTTGACAGAGAATCCTATCACTCTCAAAGAAAAGTAAAGAAAGGTGTTGGCTGGCCATCCTCACACACGGCAGGGTGTTGAGAATTTGTATTTTATAACGTCAGTATCTCTGTTCACTCTATTTATTACACTTCGAAAGGCCCACACTGAATCTTCAGAGAGTTGCAGTATGTGCCTGCTGTTTTTGGCCAGAAATATGGCAAAAATCTGCTCATCAGTCTTAACCTTGGAAGCTTATAAATGAGCTACATTCTAATCTGTTTTGCAGGTGTATTTTTTTTAATGTGAGGTAAGGCATTGCTGATTTATGGTTACATAAATACCCACTCAAGGTGAGAGCAAAACCAATGTAAAGATGTAATTTACTTACAAGTTTGCAGGAAAATGTCTCCATCCTTAGCTAATGTGTTATCGAGAAAGTTGGAGTTCAGAGGCAGCGTGCTGTGTGGAGGGAGCCGAGGAGGGAAGGGAAGAATGGACGAATTCTGGGATGAATGCATGTTTAAAACCTTAGGAAGCAAAAATATTTTAGCTGAGTTTCTCGTGAATTTGCCTGTTTACAGGAGTCGCTCATTTTTAAATTTATTCCAAAATTCTTCAGTAAGAGTCCTCACTCTGTTAGGTCCTGAATTACAGGGGCAGGAAGAGGCAAGGTGATGTGTTGGTCCCAGAGGGTCCCAGAGCTGGTAGTTCTTGCTCCCTGCTCTCTCTCGATGGGCAGGACAGCAGAGCTTATTTTCTCTCGTTCTGGGTCTGTAAACAATGACACTGACTGGTTATTCATTTCAGGGTCCATGAGTTAGTACATTTTGACAGAGATCACATTTTTACTTTTTTCTTCTTACCTACCTCAAAATATTTTACTTTTTGCCTTTCAAATTACTTGCCATTTTTGGCAAAATAACCTTTCACAGTGACTACCTAATTGAATGATGTGGACGGATGTATAGATGGATGGATGGGTGGACACGCAGATGGATACACGGATGATGAATGAATGGGTGGATGGATGGTTGGCTTCCTTAAATGTTTACCATATTACGCAACCATCTGGTAAAATGAATGCCCTTGAAAACCATGGACTAAATGATGACACCCTTTACACACATTAGAAATGACCTACCTCATGCTGACAATGTGCATCTTTAATATCCACTCATGAATATTTTCACTTGTTTTATTTGCCTTTAGCATCATTGTTGCGATGCATAATTGGAGGTTGCAGAACGTTCTTTGTGCTTTCATGTACAGAGTACAAGTTGTCGGTCCCTAGGGTTCTGAATCTCCATGCAGTGGGCTTTGGAGTGTGGGGTATTAAGCAAAGTGTTTCTGTGTTTCAGCACCACACAGATGGCACACTGCTCCTGTGAGGCCCAGAGTACCAGACAGACCGCACTCCAGACCTGGTGAGTGGTTTCTTTTTCTGATAACCTAAACAATCAGCACATCTGAGAAGATATAAAATGTATTGAAACAGTCAGATGCACCAAAGGAGAGCTATCTACTTGAACTGAAATAAGAGATATACAGAAATTCTGATCCTTGCAGAGAAGTAGAGAGGTAAGGATGAATCCACGGAAGTGAAAAGATTTGACTGAGGCTTTTAAGGAGGATCAGATTCAGAGACCGCTATGGACCTTCATCAATATAAAATTATTTTTAAATAGTATTTGTGTATAAATCACACATGCACATGCCTTCAGTCAGTCTTCCATGGCACTTACACATAGCATTAGCATTCTCTGTGACATATTAATTGCTTTAAAATGTTATTTATTTTTTAAGAAAAGATAGTCTCTTCAGTATAAAAAGCTCATATCTGAGAGAATATTTTTACTTGATTTCTTCTAATGATTAAAAAGTCCACATCCCTGGCTGCTGTGGCTCAGTGGATTGAGCACTGGCCTGTGAACCAAAGGGTCCCCGGTTCAATTCCCAGTCAGGGCATGTGCCTGGGTTGTAGGCTGGGTTCCCATTAGGGGATGCACCAGAGACAACCACACCTTAGTATTTCTTTCCCTCTCTTTCTCCCTCCCTTCCCCTCTGTCTAAAAGTAGAATAAGTACAGAGGAGAGGTTGGAAGGGCTAATGGGGGGGTAAAGAGGGAAGGGTTGTCAGAAACATGTATAAAGGACACATGGACAAAGCCAAAGGCAGAAAGGATCAAGGGTAGGATGTGGGGATGGCGGTGGTGGGGAGTAGTGCTGGGGGAAATGGAGACAGCTGTACTTGAACAACAATAAAAAATGAAAAAAATAAGCAGACTCAGTTTACAGGTTATAAGTAGCAAAAATAAAGTGATAATTACACACTGGAAAATACTTTAAATTTACTAAGTTCTCCAAAGGTTCTAGTATTTCCCTTACTGGAGCTTGTTAGGGAAGAGTTAGTTGAAGGGGTTGATTTGGTCCATGTAAATCACTTCTATGCTAAAGCATAAGTTGGACCACAGACTGAATTTTTCTGCCCTTTCCCCACTGTGTTTATAAAAGTCTTCTTGAAGTTCTAAATGATGAATCTGGCTTATAAATTAATGTTCTTGGTTGATATCTCTCCAGGCACATGGAAGAAAAAACAAATAACTATTTCTATCCTTTGATTTATGGAAAGCCTGTAAGTTTTAGAGAATCCTCCAAATCCTAAAGAGAGTTAGGCACAGAAGTCTTTTATAAACAACTATATCTCCACGTGACTTTTGTATCATAATAGCTGTTGAAAGCTGGTTATATTAAATGCTCCTACAAAATAATAAATAGAAGCAATAATGACGAACATTGACTGAGCACTTGCCATGTGTCCTGTTAGGTAGAGTTGAGGAACACATGAGAAAAGCTAGAAAGCAGACTCAAAGTCAAGCAATCAGGCTCCACTCTCTGCTGTCTTAACCATATGTACAGTTAGTGCTTTTCCTTAAAGAGTCATATAAGATAGGTCACCTCTGAAAGTTGTAGTAAGGTTATGGCTGTCAACAGAGCGGAAGGGAGACTCCAATGGTTTTATTTATTTTTTAAAATATATTTTATTAATTATGCCACTATAGTTCTATTCCCCCCTTCACTCACCTCCACCCTGAACACCCTCTCCCCCACCATTCCCCCCTTTAGTTTATGACCACGTGTCTCAAGTTCTTTAGATTCTATATTTCCCCTACTAGTCTTACCCTCCCCCTATCTATTTTCTACCTACCATCTATGCATAGAAATGAAGATCACATGAAGGGTTAGCAACAGGGGAGTGGGAGGAGGAGAAGGGGGGAGAAGGTACAGAAAATAAGTAGCATAGATGGTAGGTCCAATGGTTTTATTACAGTTCTGGGTTCAGTGATGGGCTTCTGCCAGAATTATCCAGGACCATCTGTACCTAGAAATTCATGCAAATGGACCATCAATTTATGAGTTATGAACCCAGGCCTTGAGAAATAAATACACTTCAAGTTTTGGTTTTTCATTACCAGAGGTAGTCCTGATTGTTCTTCATTTCCATTTTGGAATGAATCTAGTGCTTATAATTGAAGCAAGATATTTCCCATTTAAAAATATAAATTCCTTTGCCAGTTATTTTTTTCCAAGTCAAGTGATCAGACCAGAGTACAGACTCATGTCTCTATTTCCAAGTTCAAGCCTATGATTTTTATACCAGAATTGTGGTTTTTATATTTTGAATACTTTTTAGTAAGCCATTATTTTATTGCCCGGTTAAATGATTTACAGTTCTCTGGGAAATTTTGTTTTCCCTGGCTGCAAATTTTCATGAGAAATTGTCTGAACTATTTTCTTCTCACTCTGTTGTAGCTCTGAATAAGACAACTACAAGACCCAGCAGGCCCAGACCCAGCGGGCTGCCTGCAGGGGATGGGATGGGAACAGGTAATGATCACGCATTTGTTGTCTTTTGATGTTACCAACACTATAAATTTTTTCATTCAATTTTTATAATTTTGTTGAACTCTCACTTCAGTTTTTTTTTTACCAGTGTTGGAAGTTTTTAGCATAACAAATTGAAAATTGTGATGCATTCCAAATATCAAAGCTTCAAATGTCTCTGTAAATAAATATTAAAGAAGGATTTATCATTTTTCTAAATCCAGTCCACTAAATTATCTACCACACATAATCTTGATTCTTTAAAAGATCCTGACTATATATAAATTATTGAATTAAAATAGCAAAATAGCTGTGTTACCTAGTTTCAAAACACTTTCCATACACAGTCTGGGTCTTCGAGACTGAAATCACTTGGTTTTCAAGGTTATAATGTCACAATATGATTATAATTTTTTAAGAGACCTAAATTGGTTAGAAATCTGGAATATAATATTCAAATAAGAAGAGGAACTAATTGGCAGTTGATCACCCTCATTATAGTCACATCAATGTTTCCGTATCATTCAGCTTAATGAAGCACCACTGCCCCGACCCAGTGTCCGCTCTGGGAGTGGGTGTCACACGGATAACCAGGACGATTATCGGATAAAAGGTCTAACACCAAAAGGTCACTAAGTGGGTAAAGGATAGTTTCAGTTACAATATGAAATTGCATTATTCCCTTGTAATATTTTTAAATAGTATAAAATTTGTGCTTGTTTGTATTAAAAAAGCATAAAAATTACAATATATTTAATGATATATATTTAATTAACACATGATGGTTTCCTAATAAGAAAAAGATGTGAGTCATACCTGAAGCTGTTTCAGTGTGAAATCATTTCAATTTGTTTTAGAATGCATTTTTTGTACTAGGTTGTTACAATGTCTGAAGTTCTAGGAATTCACTTCCCTTCAAACCAAGTATTGAGACACCTTCTGTAAATTCCTGATTCATGAAAAGCAAGAAAGGATTCTAGTATCTATCTGTGCTCAGCTGCTCCTTTAATTTTTCCCAACTGTGGGATTAGGCAATGCATAGTTTCTCAAATTGACATAAACAATCTGGTTCTAAACAGAGCCAACTTCTTAATATTCAAAGTAATTCCCTCAAGTTTGTCTAAGTAAAAATAGAAGAAAGTATTTATGTCAACAAAGCAAATGAAAGGAACAAGTAGCTGTGATCAAATTTGAAAGCCTTCAACCTTCAGCACAATCAAGCATTGATTCTCACTTGGGAAATACTAATTGTTCTCCAGAGGGAAATAGAGAGTCATTATATTTTAGTTTATCAGCAATATAAACATTTTTTCAGTGCCACTTGTAACACAAACTGATATATATTTACCCTCTTTTGTAGATGAAGTCAACTATGTAAAAATAACTCATCTAATTAGCCTTGGATGACCCCCTAGTCAGGGTTTATTCTGTTTAATTAGTTGGTTGCTGGTAGAAAGGGGCTGGTGGGAACAGGTAAACAAAGCTGAGCTCATTCTTTGTCCTGTCCCTGCTCCACCTCCATCCCCAACAAAGCTGTGTTGTACCTAGTCTATGTCCTAATGTCTGTCTATTAGGATTTCTCTTCGGGGAAACACTTGCTCCCCACCTACAGGGAGTGAGGTCAGCACACAGTATTCAACTGTCAGCTCCTTCTTGGTCAGCCTCTCAAGATCTGGGTGGTACATTGCCTTGTCAACCACAATAATACAAGGTTGGTTCAACAGTCAAACAAATTAGTATAATTTACCACATTAACAGAGCAATGGAGAAAAATCATATGATCATCTCAATAAATACAAAAAACAGCCATTAGACAAAATTCAAAATTTATTCATGATGAACTCTCAGAAAACTAGAACTAGAAAAATTTTCCTCACTGATAAAGGGCATCTGTAAAAAACTTAGTTAACATCATTCTTAACAGTGAAAGTCAAAATATTTTTCCCCTAATATCAAGAATACAAACAAGGATTCCTATTTTTACCACATCTATCAAAAGTAGTAATGGAGTGTGTAGCCAATGCCATAGGGCAAGAAAATAAGTAAGTTGTCACAGTTGACATTATTTAGCATCTTATGAAAATTTAATAGCTCTCAGACTATTTGCCAAAGGAATAATATTTTGAAAAATTGATAAGAAAAACAATGTTTAAATATGTGCTTTCCCATGTTATAGATGTATATGAGTTTATCTTTCTTTGATTCTGCATAGTTTTGATCTGATTTGTTTACAGAAATGCAGGTATTCACATTTAGTTCATTTTCTTCTGTGACCCACTCTCTCATCAATACTCCCCTCTAGCCTCTATTAAGTCTTAGTGAGACAGCATTTCTGTGTCACCTAATTCCTTATCCAACTTTTGACATCTTGCCCAGAATACTTATCTTTACTATCCATCTTACATGTGTTTCCTATAGTTTTCCTTGCTGAAGTTTTCAGCCCAGATGCTTCATTTAAAAAATTAGTCGATAAAGGTGCATCGAGAATTTATAGGACTTATTCTTCATGGTCTTAAGTCTCTTAAGGTTGTGCTCTTTGAAGACTAAAGAAGAAAGATTCTAAGGCTTCAAAACTATCCACCTTTGATTACTTGGACCTCTATAAAAATTTTGCAGTGATTCCATAAACTACAGAAATCTTTAAACCATCTTGAGCTAAGTGTCTTATTTCATAACACCATTGCAGATATTTATTCCGCTTTATGTGCATTCCATACCTATATGCATAAATATTCTCCATCTCAAAGTTAGAAAGTATCAAGAGGTTGGGATTTTAGGTAGGCCATTGTTCCAACATCTCTTTTTTCATGGTTTCTAGAGTTGTGTTCTAGAAACTTAGAACACAGCTTAACTGATGTGTTCTACATATTATAAGCAACTTGAAATCTGATTCCAGAGATGCGGCAAGCAGGCGCTAGATTGGGGGGGTCACATAACCGCAGCCCACATACCAAATCCAGCACACTCTTTACTTTTGTAAATAAAGGGTTCTTTATTCACAAAATATAGCTTGCTTTCACAATGTGGCAGAGTTGAATAGTTGTGACACAGATGTATGGCCCACAAAGCTGAAAATAGTTACTGTCTGACTCTTGACAAAAAGTTTTCTGACTCGGTGCTAGACAGTCTTTCAACTTTCTCCCTACAGAAGACAGCTGTTCAGTTGTGCAGCTATTATTTCATTTCATCAACATTTATTGAAGGCCCAGTATATACCAGATAAAGTAATTTGGAAACCACCTTGACATATGTGGTTTGGCATATATGTTCAATATCTGGAACCCAGACTCCCTTCTCTACATCCTACTAAGCTGTACTTCACTGTCCCCACTTGGAGTGTGCTTGACATCCAGAACCCAGACTCCTGGGTGAGAAATGTGTTTGAGCTGTGGCTAAACTTCCAGTCTGCTGGCTCATCACCCCTGACTTTTTAGCTAAGTGCTAAGATTTGGAGACAAGCATGAGGAGAGCAGTTATCCACATATACTACCACATTTTGGTTGCAAGAAATAGTCTCTGATACATTTGGAAACTGATGTCCAGTTTACTATGTTTCTTGCAAAGTTTTTGTTACCATGGTTAAAAATACCTGAATTATTATTCATTTTTGACAATAAATTCCTAAGCAGTGAACTACCTAAATCCAGAAATTTTTGGAGAACTCACATTAGGCCATAGAGCTCATGGTGAAGCTCAAGTGTTGGTGCTTCTAAATCCAACTCTGCACTTTAGAAAATATGTGGATTAATCCTGCCTAAGAGAAAAAGAATTTAGGTCACAGCCTGGGCCAGAATGGCTGATTATGTGCCAATTCCCGAGGATGCTTTCTCTAGTCTATCTCTTACTGGCTTCCTCCTTTTCTTCCCATTTCCTTTCAGCTCCCTTTGGCCTTCCCTTGCTCCCATCAGATTCAGGGAAACAGAAGTTCACTGGTCTCCAGCTCTGTGCTCACAGTATTGCTTAGCTGGCATGCAAACCACAGCAAGGTGGACACCAGGCCAGAACTGGAGTTCAGTTTCCTGTCCCCGGTTCAACATGCTGTCCCTGAGCCTTGGGGTTGCTTTTTGCAGGGCTTTTACCAACATTCTCACCTACCACCAGCTTGTATCTGTTCTACAGGCTAGCAAAAATCCAGTTTGTCAGCTGATACTTTATTGATCTGGGTATTTACTTTTAAGGATTATAACAGTATGACGCTTCTGTCTCTACATATGCAGAAAGTAAGAGAAAATGCCTGGCTTCTGCTGATTTCTCCCTTAATTAGAAGCCAGAGGAGTTTATATTGATGGTCTAATTCATAAAGTAATCTACAGAATTTTTGGTTCCCTCCTAGATCTGCGTTTCACCAGCCTGTGGCTTGGTGAATCTGGTATGTGCCTGGGGTGGGGGGGCTGCTGTCAGCCTTGTGGTGTGGCTGGATGATGCATGCCTACCAGTCATTGCATTGAGCCCTTACACAGTGGTGGCATTTTATACTACCCGAAAGACAGAGTATAGGACTCTAGGACTAACATCACTTAGAGTCATTGTAAGGAACAAAAGAGGAAGAAAATGACAAGAGAGACAGTACTCTGTACTAGCCCACTTAGGGTTTAAGAGATAGGCTTAAGAGCCAGGCACATGCGGGTCTGAATCCCACCACTTCTAGCTGTGAGGCCATGGGCAAGTGCTTAACCTGCTCTTGCCTTGCATTTCTTCATCAGTGGAACCTGGGTGGTGTCACCCACACAGAAAGTTTCGAAGGATCAAATCAGATAAGGAACATGAACAGTGCCTGCACAGTATCAAATCAAAATACTTATGATTTTTTTAAGGGTAGGAAAATTTGGAGAAAGGCTGTGAAGAAGTATGCTGCAGGTACACACAGCCTACTAGCCTTCTACAGTATAGAACACATTTTTTTACCCTTGAACACTAGTGGTAAATCAAATCTCACCAAGCCAGGTTATCCCAGTGACCCAGATGAAAGTATTTTCCATTTCCCTGTGCTGTGCCCAGAGCAACCACCCACATGAGTCATTTCCCTGGCCCCTTACCGCTGACAGCAGGGCAGGGGAAGGAAACTAATGATCTGTGTGTTTTCACCATGCCTGTGGGGTTAGCCACAAAATAGTCATTGACCCCAGAAACATTTCTTTTCCTACCACAAATAGGCACCAATTAATTCATGGCTCCATATAAACATTCACCGTAATTTTATATATTTCTTTTATTCAAGAATCAGAGTATAGGTTGTAACATTAGGGTTTTTAAATTAATGTGATCATTGTTATTATAATGTTAATTATAATGTTGATTATAACAATACTAATTATAAGGTTAATTTATGTTATAATACTTATAGTTAATATAATTTCATAAATGAGTGGGAATATCATCCAGTGTTGGGCAAGCAAAGCTCTTATGGCATATTTAATTTAATGACATGTGGTTTTGGTTGTGTTTGTCATTGCTGATGTACTAACTAGTATATTAGTGAAATGTTTTTATTTTTTAATCAGTGCATTTGTAAAATCCTGAAAGTATGGATTGTTTTTTCAGGATGAACCATTATATCTAACGTGATATTTACATTTTAGGTTTAAAAAATACCTGTTTCTAATCCTTCTTCTTTTTTTAAAGTATATCCTATTGATTATGCTGTTATAATTTCCCAATTGTTCCTCCTTTATCCCCCCTCCACCCTGTACCCCCCAACCCTCCAGCATTCCCACTCCCTTAGTTCATGTCCATGGTTTGTACATATAAGTTCTTTGAGTTCTCTCTTTCCTATACCATTTTTTACCTCTCCCCATCTATTTAATGCCTACCCATTAGGCTTCTTATTCCCTGTACCTTTTCTCCACTATTCCTCCCTTCTCCCTCCCCACTGAAAACCTTCCATGTGATGTTTATTCCTCCGATTCTGTTCCTGTTCTAGTTGTTTGCTTAGTTTTTGTTGGTTTTCTTTCTTTTATTATTTTTAGGTTCATTTGTTGGTAGTTGTGAGTTTGTGCCCATTTTACTTTTTATGTTTTTGATCTTCATTTTCTTACATAAGTCCCTTTAACATTTCATGTAAGAATGGCCTGGTGATGATGAACTCCTTTAACTTGACCTTAACTGGGAAGCACATTATCTGCCCTTTCATTCTAAATGAAAGCTTTGCTGGATAGTCATCTTGGATGCAGATTCTTGCCTTTCATGACTTCCAATACTTCTTTCCAGCCCCTTCTTGCCTATAAGTTTTCTTTTGAGAAATCAGCTGATATCCTTATGGGCACTCCTTTGTAAGTAACTCTTTCCTCTTGCTGCTTTTAAGATTCTCTCTTTGTCTTTAATCTTGGGTAACTTAATGATGATGTGCCATGGTGTGTTTCTCTTTGGGTCCAACTTCTTCCAGCTTTTCTGGGCTTTTTGGACTTCCTGAAAGTCTATTTCTTTCACCAGACTACGGGAGTTTTCCTTCACTATTTGTTTAAATACATTTTTAATTTCTTGCTGTTGTTCTTCTCCTTCTGGAACCCCTATAATTCAGATATTGGAACATTTCAGGCTGTCCCAGAGGTTTGTAAGTCTCTCTTCACTTTTTTTCAATTCTTGTTTCTTCATTCTGTTCTGGTTGGATGTTTATTTCTCCCTTTGTTCCAAATCATTGATTTGAGTCCTGGTTTCCTTCCTGTCACTGTTGGTTCTCTGTTGGTCATTTTAGGTATCTTTCATTTGTTCTTTCATTTTTTGACTAAGCTCAATCAGTTGTGTGAGCATTTTGATGACCAGGGCTTTAAATTCTCCACCAGTTAGGTTGGCTATCTCCTCCTTGCTCAGCTCTCTGTCTGAGGCTTTGCTCTGTTCCTTCATTTGGGCCCCATTTCTTTGTTCCGGGCACCTGTTAAGTTCTAAGTAGGCGGGGCCTTAGGGATTCACCAGGGCGGGGGAACCCTCATTGCTGTGCTTGGCGCTGCCTGTGGGAGAGGGACCAAAGAGGGTGCAGTGCAACTCCCCTGCTTGTCTCTAGCCTACTTTTCAATGAACTCTCCTATAAGGCAGGGAGTTTCTCTCACAGAGGCAACCACTCTAGTCCACAGCAGACTCTGAGTCTCAGTTTCCCCTTAAGTCAGCCCCTCCCTTGCAGGCTGCTGCCTCACCAGTTTCTCTGCCAGCCCTGCCCCCATGCTCTGCAGCCTCACTGCAGTGTCTCTCCGTCCTCGACCTCACTGGTCTGGTTGTTCTGGTTGTTCTTTTCCTTAATTCCTTGGTTGTCAGAGTTCCATGCAGTTTTATTTTCTGGCGCTTCTGGTGGTTTATTGCTTTTAGATCAGTTGTTATTCTCCTTTTGGTTGTGTGAGGATGCAGAGGGTTTCTACCTCCACCTCCATCTTGGCTGGAACTCCTCTGTTCTTTCATAGTGAAGACTATCAGCCACATCAGGGAAGATTATTTTATACTGTAAAAGAATGAGAATGAGAATAAGAACAGGATGAAACCTAAACTGGTATTCTCAACCACTAGGGTAGCCGCCCAGACTCCAGGCATGAGTATTTAGATGAATGGCTGAGTAATAACCACTAGATTATGTTGGAAAAATTTAGGAGATAAAATATCACACAAAGTAATTTTCAGATTAGTTTCTTTCAAATTGCTATTTGGAGTTCTAGGCCTGCCCAGGATTAACCTACAAACCTCAAAGGTATAGTTCCAGTTTTTGGCCTAACCAGTATGAGAGCCAAGGCCTCTCCAGAATATTTTACAAGTCAATCCATTAAGTATAAACCCAAACACATTGGAATTTTATGGGTTTTTTTATGGGAGTAAAGGGACTGGAGGAAAATTTTTGAAACCACAAAATGTACCCATGAATATTGGAAAAGAATGGCTGGTCACTGTGGGTGAACCTCCTGCTGAGGCAGCACTGCCCAGGGAGGCAGTTCAGGCAACACGGAAAATTAAGACAGAAACCACAATCCACAATCAAATGTTAACTCTTCAGGGAAAACATCACAACCAATGAAGGTAGCCCTTTGAAATTTTTCTATTTGCAGTTGGGAAAAGCTAATTAATATGTCTGGACACAAAATCACCAGTGTCCCTGCTCTATAAAGAATGCACATTATCACTGATGACTCTGCCAAGTTTCCATGAATAAGAACATTTAGCACATTTTTGCTATATATTTATTCCCTTTACTTATCTCTGCTTATAGGGGTCAAGGAAGTACCATTGAGTGCTGATAGAAATATGTCCATGAACTTCACCCACTTCACAAAGAAACCAGGTAAGGGAAAGGATGCTGACTCCTTTACTCAGCTCTGGGCTGGAACATGGGCGGTAATGGCAGTACCACTGGTTGCAGTGACAGCAGCATCTGCGTGACCCCAAAGCATCAGAGCCATGCTAACAGGACATGGGGATTGCTAGGAAAGCATTCCCAAATCTTGTATTTGGGGGAAGGAAAAGTGCTCTGTGCACAATTAAACATTAATAAGAACCTCTAATGGGGTACCACTTGAATAATTTCTTTGTTTAATGTTCCAATGAGCCACAATACACAAATGCTGATGAGTCACTGTGGGTTCTAGCCTTCATCATGTTCAAGTTTTATTCTTCTGTGCTTTATTACAATATTCTTTTGCCTGAAATGACTTATGTTTCTAATTGACAAATATGCTGTATATTTTAGGCCAAATTATGTAATAACTGGTTACTTGGAATATCTTTGCATCAAATGAGAACTCTGTGCTTTTTGAAAAGATCCTGTGAAACCACTGTGGTGTATTGATATCGGGACTGCAGATCTGTGTTCTGTGAGCACCATGTACTCTCCCCAAACACACACTCCCTCCTCTCCTAAGGAGTACTTACAGCCACGGGGCATTTTCCTATATTGTCAATTATACATGATGATTTTTAAGTCAACATTATTATGCCTAGAAAAAAAATGAATTTTTTAAAGTATATTTTATTGGTTAGGCTATTATAGTTGTCCTTATATTTTCCCCTTCACCCCCCCTCTGCCTGGTACCACCCTTCCCTCCAGCAATCCTCTCCTTTAGTTCCTGTTCATGGGTCATGCATATAAGTTCTTTGGCTTCTTCATTTCCTATAATGTTCTTAATATGCCCCTGTCTATATTGTACCTACCAGTTATGCTTCTTAACCCCTGTACCTTTTTCCTCATCTTCCCCCATCCCCCTCCCCACTGATAACCCTCTATGTGATCTCCATTTCTATGATTCTCTTACTGTTCTAGTTGCTTGCTTAGTTTATTTTTGTCTTTGTTGTTTTAGGTTCAATTGTTGATAGTTGTGACTTTGTTGTCATGTTACTGTTCACAGTTTTGATCTTTTTCTTAGATAAGTCCCTTTAACAGTTCATATAATGAGGGCTTGGTGAAGATGAGCTCCTTTAGCTTTACCTTGTCTGGGAAACATTCTATCTGCCCTTGAATTCTAAGTGATAGCTTTGCTGGATAGAGTAATCTTGGTTGTAGGCCCTTACTTTTCCTCCCTTTGAATACTTCTTGCCAGTTCCTTCTTGCCTGCAAAGTTTCTTTTGAGAAATCAGCTCATAGTTTTATGGGAACTCCTTTGTAGGTAACTCTCTTCTTTTCTCCTGCTGCTTTTAAGATTCTCCCTTTATCTTTACCCTTTGGCATTTTAATTATGATGTGTCCTGGTGTGGCCCTCTATAAGTCCAAATTGTTTGAGACTCTCTGTGCTTCCTGGACTTTTATGTCTATTTCCTTCACCAAAGAGGGAAGTTTTCTTTCATTATTCTTTCAAATAAGTTGTTAATTTCTTGCTCTTCCTCTTCTCCTTTTGTCATTCCTGTGATTTGAATGTTGGCATGTTTGGAGATGTCCCAGAGTCTTCTTATTCTCTCCTTGGTATTTTTTTATATTCTTATTTCTTCATTCTATATTGGTTGACTGTTTATTTCTTCTTTATGTTCAAAATCATTGATTTGAACCCAACCTTCCTCCCCTTCACTGTTGGTTCCCTGTGGATTTTTCTTTTTTTTTTCTGTTTCTTTTTTGCTAAGAATTTTTAAAATTTAATTATTGTTCAAGTACAGTTTTCTATCTTTTACTCCCATCCCAGTCTACCCCACCCCCAGTGCTCCCCACCTCCCTCCCATTTCCCCCTTGCCCCTCCTTAGTTTTGTCCATGTGTTCTTTATACTTGTTCCTGTGAATCCTTTCCCTTTTCCCCCTGAAATTCTCTCCCCTCTCGTCCCTGTCAGCCTGTTCTGTATTTCAGTGTCTTTGGTCATATTTTGCTTGCTTGTTTGTTTTGTTGTTTAGGTTCCTGTTAAAGGTGAGATCATATGGTGTTTGTCTTTCACCGCCTGGCTTATTTCACTCAGCATAATGCTTTCCAATTTTCCAGATTTTTCTTTATTTCACTTAGTGTGTTCTTCCCATATGTGTTTGCCATACTTAATGAGATCTCTGAGCATCCTTATCACCAGTGTTTTGAACTCTGCATCAAATAGGTTGGTTATCTCCATTTCATTTAATTCTCTTTCTAGAGTTTTGATCTGTTTTTTCATTTGGGCCATATATTTCTTTGTCTCCTTAATTTAGCAGCCCCCTTGTGTTTGTTTCTGTGTATCAGGTAGAGCTTCTTTGACTCCCTGCTTGGTGCACCTGTTACACTGTAAGGGGCAGAGCCTTAGGTATTTGCCAGGGTGGGGCAACCTACTTCCCCACTTTGTGGCACTGTGTGTGGGGGAGGGATTGGAGAGAAACAATGCTGCTTGCTTAGCTCATGCCCCTTTATCAGTCACTTCCTTCGCTTCCCATATGCAACTGGCAGCCTTCTAGTGGCTGCCCTGGGGCTGAATCCCAGAGAAGGTGGGTTTCCGTATATTCTAGGACCATGCAGGTTCTTTAAACTGACTTTCCTGAGAGACGAGCAGTTTCTTCTACCACCCCAACCCCCACTGGTTTTACAGCCAGAAGTTATAAGGCTTTATTTTTCTGGTGCTGGAACTCTGGCTGCGCCGTCTGGCCTGGGGCTGGGATCACTTGCTCCCCAAACTCCCACCCCCACCAGTTTTTACCCACTACACATGAATGTAGAACTGCCTGCTCCCCTGGCCCCCACTGCTGCCGCCTTGCCCCTGCCACACCACTTCCTGTCCACCCTGACTCCTCATCTCTGCCCCTCCTTCCCATCCGGATGAGTATTTCTTCTTTAAATCCTCGGTTGTTGGGTTTCCATACAGTTTGGTTTTCTGGCAAGTCTAGTTGTTTTTAGTTTTGAAGTTAGTTGTGATCCTTCTTAAAGTTGTGCAAGGAGGCAAAGCACGTCTACCTATGCCTCTATCTTGGCCGGAAGTTCAAGATGAATTTTTAAGCTGTAACACAGATTTAAAAGATAATTTGGGTTAAAGTAAACCACTTCATGCATCTCTAGCCAGCCTTTGTGCGAAGTAGACATTTTGTGCAATTCTTAGATGTTACCTCTTCCCTCCATCCTTTAGGTAGGCTGTGTACAAAAATGTGCCTTTCCTCTGGGCTGGCAACTTTGCACCAGAGCTCATGAGCAGTAGCAGAGTGAGCAGTAAACTTTGGCTCCCACTTAACACACCTCTGACCAGGTGCCCTTGTACAGTGCACACCCATTCACAGTGCCCTTGCTCTCTATGAGCACCAGCTTATAGTAGCTTCTGCCATTGGAGCTTTTTTGCTGTAAATTCTGAAAGTGTTTGTTTAATTATAATTACACAATGGATTTGGGAATGGAGCAGATCACCTACTAAAAGAGAAATATACACTAAAAATTTCAAGCTAGATGGTATAAGAATTGTAGTCTTAAAAATCAAAAGCTATAGGAGGCAATGAAGCTCAGAAATGCTACTGTTGAGACTATATGGTAGGGGTGTCAGACTCTTTTTCACTGGGGACCACATTAGCCTCACGGCTCAAGGTTGCCTTCAAAGGGCCAAATATATGTAATTTTAGGACTGTATAAATGTAACTACTCCTTAACAGTTAAGCAAGAGCTCAGCACTGCCGCTGGCTAGAAACAAGGTGGAGGGCCAGATAAGACAAGGTGGAGGGCCAGATTCAGCCCGCAGGCCTTGCGTTTGCCATCTGTGCCATGTGGGAAACTAAGGATGTTGCGCTCTCTATAACTGTACAGCCTTTCAAAAGGCAAATACACCTATACATTTCTGCCTGTAACTAGAGGATGCTTTTTTCTTTTACTAATGTGCTTCATTATCCCTTGTACTTTACAATCATTACTTTAGAAAAATATCAGAAATTACTCAAGCAGTTTTCTGCAGAATCTATTCTCTGTCATTCAGTTACTATTTATCAAACATTATATTTTTGGAAACCTGTCATTTTCATAGTGCGAATACTTATGACAACTTTATCTGTATTATAATCTCTTAGCTACTATTCCAGGCACCCGCCGCCCGCCCTGGGCACTTAGGCCCACACCCCCACGACGAAAACCTTTACCGCCAAACAACGTCACTGGGAAGCCGGGAAGTGCAGGTATGTCAGTCACACACATTTCCTTCTCCCTCCATGATTTCAGTTGTCCTATCCAACCACAAGCCCTTCTGGGTGTACTAACTCGGGCAATGGACAAGCCCATGGTGATTGTGATACATCCCCGTGTTGGCCCTGAAGACTGGATGTTGTAAATAGCTTCGGGCACTCATGTCCTGATTCCGGGTGGGTGGGTTGAAAGAAACAATCTATGAGCATCCAAGCCAGTGTGTCTGCTTAGAGCAAAGACAGACACCAACTCAGCCCCTTGCAGAAGTGGATTATTTGGGGCAGATATTGTACTGGGTTGGCCAAAATGTCTATTTAGTTTTTTTCTGTAAAATAAAAGACACATTATTCATTTCCACCAATAACTTTATTGATTTGAGTATTTTGAGTATGTTGGCTATCTCCTGGTATTGGCTTCTAGTGGGTAGAGGCCAGGCGTGCAGCTAAACATCTTCCAGTGCATAAGACAGCCCCACAGCAAAGAATTATTTGCCCAAGATGTCAATAGTACTAAGAAACCTTGCAAACCACTTTTGACACATTCTATCAGTCACAGCACCTTCTCCATATACTGCACAAATCCTTTTTTGCATTTCAGTTGTTTTTACCTTTCTTGAAATAACAAAGCACAATACGCTGAAAATATTGTGTATCTTCTCCCATCTTCCATATTAAAATGGCTTCACAAATATTTACCAATTTTGATCAACTGTTTTAAATGCAGGCTGATAATGACAGCTGTCACAATACAATTTAACAAAATGGTTTCAAATGAAGTTAAAGGCAAGTAAGTAGCACTAGTAAAGCCATCATAAGGAAAAAACTAAGTGAACTTTTTGGCCAGCCCCATCCATTGCCATCCCACCAGGCATAATAGAGAGTGTCATGCCCTGTCAGTGTGTTTTCCAACATGAAAGCTTCTCCTTCTCGCTGAAGCTCCCCCGTCCACCAGCCTTTCTGCTGGCCCCGCATTGTGGGAGCAGGGGAAAGACCAGGGACTAAGAGAGTAGCAGCTCTGTTTGTGTCATGCAACAAGACGGGGATATATTTTAGAAGTCAAGCTGCCTCTCATTCTGTGCTTTGGTGTTTATCGTCTCTTTCCCATAGAATGACCCCTCCCAGTCACCTGGGATAATCATATTTTACTCTTTTCTTGAAAAAGCCTTTTCTAACTCCCCCAAGTAGTCTTAGCATTTCTTCTCTGTTCACCTTGTCCTTGATACATACCTCTGTTAGAACAAAGAGCAAGTTTTTTACACCTGTTTGTATTCTTTTCTTCCCTTACTAGACTAGTAGTTTTGTGGGGACAGAATCCCTGGTACATTTTCTCTAAATTCCCAGAACCAAATCCAGTGCTTGGCACCCAGAGAATATTTTGTAAGTTATCACTGGCTGAATAAATGAAAGAAATTAAGAATCAGTGAAGTGACCTGGTTCAGAGCAAAGCTTTACCTCATTTTTCTTAAGTGCCCCTCACTGGACTTGCCAACAAATCGCAGCATGTCCCCCATCACCTCTCCCTCTTTCCTGCATTTCTACTTCCTAAATATTCTGTAGGTGAAATCAGGAGGAAAGAAAGTATTAAATAGACAGCCATGAATGTTGGAAGTGTTAATGGTTTACATGAAATGGGAATGGATGTCACTCTTTCCACAGGGTAAGAGGGTGTAGTGATGGGGAAGCTCTTCTGCTGAGTCACGTGCACAGCGAACTCCAGGTCATTTGCCCCATCAGCTGAAGGAGGACTCAGTTTCTTGTGCATGTTTCCAGTGCCTGCCCAAGTCAAGGCCCGGGGACATGCCTCTAGTGTGGACATCTGGTTTTCCTCATTGATTGTGACCTGGGTCAAACTGGATGAGTCACAGACTGCAAGTGATGCCTGAGTGTCCCCCCATAGAAAACTTGGGAGGCCATGGCCTTGACCCCTGCCACATAAGACCCTTGTTCTCCCTCATCAGTAAGTGTGGCTCTGATGCAGCCTGCCCCACCTGGGGAAGAACCACAATCACCTTCCACTTCTGAGGTTAACTCTGGTCCCGCCACACACACTTCTTGCTAGCTACCTCACTCAAAGGAAGTGGCTACATGGAGGAGCCAAACACAAGAAGGGCAGCTGTCCAATTCTGACCTGACTACAGAAAGTGCATCCTGAATTCAGGAATCAACAAAATGTTCCAGGGCCCCCCGAGCAGGAGTCCTCTCTCACATGTGCCTGGGAGCGCTCTGAGGCTGCCGTGCGGCAACCTGCCCTCAGCTGCACACGTCTCCTCTCTCCTCCCTCTGCCGCCAGCCTTGCATCCTAACCATTCATTCTCTTCTCATCTGATCCAGTTGCTTCCCTGTTGAAAATCTTTCAGTGGCTCCTTGCTGCCTAAAAATAACGTCCAAATCCAGGTTTGCATGGTTCTTCCCGGTCTTTTCTTCCCGATCCTCCACTCTCAGCTAACACGGCACCCAGCAGCACTGTTGGCTCTCTCTTCAAATTAAAAGTACCAAATGGTTACATGCTTCCCTGACTTGGTTCTTCTTGCAACCTCTGATTAGAATACAGCTCTCATATCCAGCTACTGATAACTTCTCTTTACCATCACATCCTCTGTGAAGGCATTTTCCCCTCCCCCCCACACAAAACACTTCATCTTTCCCCATAGACATTACTGTTCCCTCGTGTTGCTCTCTCTGTGACCTTAGCCAGTTCTTTCATAATATCTGTAATGATTCAGTATATCTGAATCTGTCTCGATTAGAATATCAGGTCTTTTCTCTCCAGGCCTGGCATATAGCGTCAAGCTACCTGGTAAGTGCTTAATAAATATTTATTGAACAAATGAATGGGGAACTTGGCTCCTGTGAAGCTTGACTGCTTTGTCTCTGCATTTCAGGAATCATTTCATCAGGTTTAGGAACGTCCCCACCCTCGAAGACAGCCCTCAGGCCTACAGGGACCCCCTCAGAGGGAACAGAGATAGATAAAAAGCAACCGACAGCTCCCGCCTCAGGAGAAGATCTTGGTTAGTATGTCAGTCACTTGCCCCTGGACGATTAGCCACAAAGTACTAGAAGATTTCCAATTAGGGGGAAAAGAGTCTCAGATCTGGGTCATCTGTTTTACTCAATTTTATGATTAAGATGAGTCTTTTTAATTTTAAAGTGATACTTATTTTTAATGTTTTGTATAGAATATGTTCCTTCCCTTCATAGACACGAACATGCTTGAGCTTTTTAGGAAAGTCTTTCTGAAAAGCGCTAGATCCCGATGCTTCTTACTAGATCACATGTCATTACTAATCATTACTAATTACACATACCTTATTTTATTGACAACTATTAGCTACTTGGTTGTGATCTTTAGAGCATTATTTTTTACACTGCAGAATACCTACAGCAGGATACAAATTGCAGGTAATATGAATAGTAATAAAAATGAAAATCAAAGGTTGAGCAATGGACTAGGAGACATATTAAATACTTATAGTCTTGACTATGTTTTATTGTATTGTGAAGCTTTACCTTTTGCAAAAATTGTTTATTATATTCCATTCTCAGGTAATCTAAGTGACTTTAGCTCAAGTCCAACAAGAGAAACTGATCCTCTTGGGAAGCCCAGATTCAAAGGTACGTATCTTTGGCCCCAAATCTTGATTTTGATGAGGCTATCTTTGGTGAGTATGTCCGTCAGCTGTTGCTAATAATAAACAACCACGAAATCTTAGTGGCCTGGTATAACAAGGATTTACTTCTCACATGAACAAGTCACCTTCATGATATTAACAAATGGGCATCAGCTGATCTAGGATGTTCTTGGCCAGGTGGTTCCAATGGGCCTCTTGTGGGTCGGGTGCAGGTCTGCTCCTCATCTGTTCATTCTGGTGCCTAAGATGAAGGACCCACAGTGACCCAGGAGAAGCCATTCTCACAGAGTCAGGAGAGGGGGAACCCAAATATACAACCACACTTTAAGCTCCTCCTAGTGTTATGCCTGCCAGTATTCATTGCCCCAAAAAAGTCACATAGCAAAGCTAAGATCAGTAACTAGAGACGTTTGTACTTTCATGGATATAGAGAATATTTCTGAATAGTAACCTAATCTAATACAGTAGGAGAAATGTGATATAGAGACCCGTATTTCCTTTCGCAATATTTCATTCTGAAGAATAAAACTTGATAAACCGTGACCTATGTATACACCCATGAAGCTGTCATCATGGTCAAGGTAATGAATACAGTCCCCACCTCCAGAAGTTTATAATACCTTCCCTCTCCTCACACCCAACCTCTAGTCCCTACATAACCACAGATTCGCTATACTGTAAGTAAGTATGAATTTTGTGGAACTTTATATAAATGTATGAACTTTTGGTCTGGTTTCTTTTACTGAGTGTAATTATTTGGAAAGTCATCCATGTTGCTGCATGTAATGTTAATAGTCCATTCCTTTTTATTACTGACTAGTATTCTGTTGTAGTGCTGTAATTATTCATCTATTAAACCTGTTTGTGCCAGTTGGGTTGTCTCTAATTTTTTTTATTGAATAGATTTCCATGAAAACCACCATGACCATTCATGCACAAGTCTGTGTAGACATGTATTTTCATTCCCTTTGAACAAATGCCCACGAGGGGTATGGCTAGATTACATCTAACTTTACAATCAGCATTTTAAGAAAGTTCCAATTTCTCCAGGTCTTTTCCAACACGGTATGGTCAGGCTTTTTCATTTCAGCCATTTTAGTAAGTTCGCAATGGTATCTGATTGTGAATTTACTTTGCATACTCCTAACAACTAAAAATGCTGAACATCTTTTTACATCCTGGTGTAAAAAGGATGTTCATCTGCCACCTGCATATCTTTTCTGGTGTGTTTGTGCAAAGTTTTTGTCCATTTTTTTCTTCTGGAGTTGCTTATTTTATTATTGTTGAGTTTTAAGATGTTCTGTATTTTGTGGGTAGAAGATCTTTTTCAGATACATAGCTTTGCAATATTTTCTCCATTGTGTGGCTTCTCTTTTTAATTTTAATAAATTTGGCTTATCAATTTGTTTTTTTATAGATTGTATTTTTGGTGTTCTTGAGAAATCATGGACTTATCAGAGGTTATAAAGACCTGCTCTGTTTATTTCCATAAATTTCTGAATTTTACATTTAGGTCTATGATCCATATTGAATCAAATTTTATATATAACACAAGGAATGGATGCAAGCTAATTTTCCTGCTATGGATATCTAATTTTTTCCAGCACCATTTGTTAATAAGAAACTCTATTCTTTTTCCACTGACTTTATTGTACCTTTGTCAAAATCAGATGTATATATGTGTATGTATATTTTGTGGTTCTCTACTCTGTTCCATTGATCTCCTTACCCTTACATCAACGTCACAGTGCCTGGATTAGTAATGGTTTGTAGTAAATGCTATAATCAGGTTGTATTAGTTCTCTAATGTTGGTCTTATTTTTCAAAGTTGTTTTGGTGATTCTGGGTCCTCTAGATTTCTATCTGAGTTTCTATCTGAAACTCAGTTTCTATCTATTTCTATCTGAATTTCAGAAACAGCTTGTTAATGTCTAAAAAAATAGCCTGCTTAGATTTTTATTAGAATTGAAAAAAATCGACAGCTGTATAATATTGTCTTCCTGTCTATGAACATGGTATATTTTACCATTTATTTAGGTCTTCAGTTTCTCTCACCAGTGTTTTGCAGTTTTAGAAACCATAAGTCATACAGCAAATCATACTGGAAATATAGCAAATCAATTTGATTTGCATCTTTTTATGGAAAATCATAAAAAGTATTTATATTTTAAGTTCCAGTATAGAAAAACAGTAGATTTTTGTGCAGTGATCTTGTATCCTGCAGCCTTGCAAAAAATCACTTAGTAGAGTTTTTCTAAGTCCATTGGGTTCTTATATACACATCATAGTAGCTGAGAGTAAAGTTTAAAATTTTACTTCTTCCTTTCCAACTTGGGTGGCTACTTTCTTGCCTTATTGTACTGACTAGCACCTCAGTAAAATATTGAATAGATATAGTGAGAATGGATGTCTTTTTCTTGTTCCTGATCTTGTGGGAAAAGTATTTGGTCTTTCACCATTAGGTGTTATGTTATCTGTAGGTTTTCCATAGATGCGCTTTAGTGGGTTGAGAATATTCCTTTCTCTTCCCACTTTGGTGAGAAATTTGATTTGCATCTTTTTGATATCTTTCACATCTTAACTTTTGACCACGTGGATTATAGTGATAATAACTGCTTTATCGTTCCTGTCTAATGATTCTAACACCTATGCAAGTTCTAGGTTGTTTTCAAATGACTTGTATTTCTTCCCATTATGGGTAATACTTTCCTGTTAACCTTATCTTGTTGGGTTCCGGATATGTTTTTTATTCCTAAAATATATTTGAATTTTTTTCTGTGTGCAGTTAAATTACTTGAAACCACTTGATTTTTTTTTTTTTTTTAGTTTAGTGTTTAACATTTACTGGGTGGGGCCAGAGCCACGCTAGATGTGGGGCCTGAGCTTGCCCACTGCCGAGGCAGGCCCCTTTAGAGCGCTCATCCCAACACCCCAGGAATTGTGAAGTTTAAACCATGCTCAGGGGGAACAAATCACATTTGGATACTAGTATACACTAAACTACTTAGAAAATAAGTCAGGAGACAACTGTGCTTGAACAACAATTAGGAAAAAAAAGAAATCAACACCATTCTAGATACAATACATTCTGTCATGTATTCTAGAGACAGAATTTTCACATGTCTGAACTGTCCATATCACTGCTTTCATCCATCCACTTATATTGTGGGACTGAATGTCTTCAAACAATTATAAGTTCACCTGCCCCCATTTTTGCTCAAAAAAAAGTGCCAAGTGTCAGTGTCCCTGTCTCCTAGGTCCTCATGTGCGATACATCCCAAAGCCTGACAACAGGCCCTGCTCCATCACTGACTCCATCAAACGGTTCCCCAAAGAGGAGGCCATGGAGGGAAATGCCACCAGCCCGCCACAGAACCCTCCTTCCAACCTCACTGTGGTCACCGTGGAAGGGTGCCCCTCTTTTGTCATCTTGGACTGGGACAAGCCACTAAATGACACTGTCACTGGTAAGATCATGGCCTAAGGACTGTTAGTACTGCAGTGGGAAGCTTTGATGATGCACTACAATGGGACTGTGGAACCCCAAGTCCAATAATGCCCTGGGGGCACATCTCAGGAGTAGTGAGTCCCGCGGCACAGTATTGTCCAAAGTGTCGTATGGTGGGAAATGGCTGTCTCTGTCCTGGTTGTGAGCTCCCTGTTAACTCAGCAGATCTCTCTAAGTTGCATTCTTTCATCTCCTCTTAGAATTCTTTTTTCATAATCTAAAGATACATCTAGTTGTTTCATTACCAAGAAAATGTCAGATAACACAGGAAAAGTTTCCACTGCTGATGATATTTAAATCGGTTTTCCTCTCACCAATCCAATTTCTAGACTGACCTAGAACTTTCAAATAGGCTAAATGTTATTTCAGTCATTTTAGGGTACATGTTTTTAGAATTCTAGTCCTGGTGAATTTCCCACTCATCTCCAGAAATTTTGATTCTGCTATCCACCCATTTCCTTTAAAAATTACCATGAAAATTAGAAATCCTGAGTCACTTTTGAACTTGTCATATAGGAATTAATTCTCCATAATGAATAGGATAATCAAACTGGTGAGGAGGGGGAAAGACTAATGCTCTAAATCAGCTGGAGAACGTAGCCCAAGTATGAAGGTTCCTGCCGCCCTTGTCCCTGCCCTGTGCTCGGGCTGGGGGAACAGGCGACAGAGGAGCCCACCAAGAAGCTGTCAGGAGGGGCTGAGAGCAGCACACTAAGGGGTGGGGAGCTTGATACTCAGATCTGCCAAAGAAGTTTTCTGTGAATAAAGGAGAAAACAGCCGTCATTTCTCCTCAGACAAAACCGTCTGGGAAGATTCCAGTGTAAGCAGCTTATCTTTACTTAGCTGGCATTTTTAAAAGCTATATTTTTGTGAGTTTCCTCTCTCATTCGAAGCTTACCTTTGTTTTGAGAAGGAACCAGCCACCACCCATGGTTCCTGGGGACTTGCCTAGTCCTGCCTCTTTACATTGGACTGCATTGGTAGGATCTAAGTCACTATTTGAAAATATCTAATATCTAAAGCTCTAAATCAACATCTAACAATCAATCTCTAAGTATTGATTAATCTACATGTATTTAAAAGTTCAAAATTTTCAATCCATAGACTTTGTTAATCGGGGGTTCCTGCAATAGTCTGAGGCTTAGTTCTCACAAAACAAAATATGTGAGATTTTATTTGCCTTAAAGATGCAGGACATCATGTGAGAATTGGTTAATCTAATAGGTCTAATAATCTAATACAGCAATTGCCAACTAGTGTGCAACAAGAATTTTTAAAGCATGCAATGCCTCACTTTTTAGTCAGGGGCGCTGACCTCTTTTCCCTTAGATTGTCAAATTCAGAAACAGCAACAGCCAATGCAGCAACAGCCGTCTGGCGTGAAAGCCCCGTCTTGAACCATAAATATATAGGTCATAAAACAGGGTTACATCTTATCAGTCACAGTGCATCATAAGGGTAGGTAATTATGGGGTATTTTTGTAAATCACTCAAAATTATAACAATTTTTTGTCTGATTGGCAAAAAGTGTATTTTTTGGTGTGCTGCAGAAAATTCATTTTTATGTGCCATAAGATGAAAAAGGTTGAAAATTGCTGATCTAATACATCTTAATACATATTTACTCGTCAATCATATCTGATTTGATTTTTTAAATTAGAAAGATTTTCCTTTGTGGCTCACTATGTAACATTAAAAAGATTATTATATAAACACATGATCTCAAAGTATTCTAATTACTTTTAGAACATTGTTATCAAATGTTCGATGGGCTGCTTGAGACCTTTCACAAGATAATGGATTTGCGGTGACAATTTCCATGGATAAGGACCACATCTCTTCAGCTGTAATATTTTCTACATAAAAATAATTCCATATTTAACCATTCCTCATCTAGTCTGTATTTAAATGTTGGGTGATATACCTTAATGGTTTGTTCTATTTTTCCATTTCCATTTATTTTTAAATGGTTTGTTAAATTTCAAATATAGTCTTTTACAAACCAGCTCAGATAAAACAGAAATTAATTCTCATATCACTGAAAATGATATGAAAGGAAAGGATCGAGAAAGATAATAAAAAGAGAGGGGAGCATATTCTTCATTTCCTGAATTGGCTTCTGTCCATAATCTCTCCTTTAATGGACAGGCACGTACTAACCTCTAGTGAATACATTCAAATTTAGTTGCGTCTACATGTCCCTTCCACACCAATGTAGAAGGGGGCGACCTAAGAAATTGGCCATAGGCTGCTTGGGTCCTCGGGCAACTTAAGGTTAATTTGGTGATAAGCTGTTGCTTTGTGCGATGCCAACAGTGTGCTGATATGGTTTTAAATCCTAGACAGGCTGTGTTCTAAACATAGAACTTGGACATACAATTAGCCTCTTTGAACTTTATTTGTAATGATACCCATAGTCAGCAATTTATCCTGAGGATAAAATTAAAGAGAATGAATGTGTGGCCTAAGTTAGCAGCTGTTGAATTAATGTTTGTCAGTAGTCAAAGTAGTAGGGAAGGTAAAAATAGTATCACCATCACTATTTTTAAGTTCTGTTGACCAGAGTGATGTTCAGTAACTTTATAATAAATAATTTTTTCTGTTAAGTGAATTACATCATAACAGGACAATAAAACCCTCTGAAGGGAATAAAAAGACTAATTATTCAGTGTTAGTTCTCTATAGATTTCCTTATATGTTTACATTAATGAAATTATAAACGAGCTCCCATATTTGAAAAGAAGAAATATGGACATAAGCCTTCTGAAATAGAATGCATTTACAAACATTCATTCCAAAGTTAATATTTCATTATAATGTTCATAATGTTGGATTTATTATAAAGCTGTTATGGCTTTAAGGCTTGGCCTATCTCTTTCCATCAAGCCATACAGTTCCCATTTTTAAAAAAATCAATTTTACTACCACTTTAATTACTGTGTTTTTCTAGTAACTATCCCTCCACAGCTGAGGAAAAGATATAAAATGGACACATTTGAATTCAGGACCCTCCCCCTCTTTCCCTCTGTTAGAATTAAAAAACAAGTGAACCAGAAACAAAAAGAGTCAGGAAACAAAACAAAACCCAAAACCCCGGGGAGCGATAAGAGTCTGAGGAAGGAACACAAAATGCCAGCCATTGGCTCCTCACGTCCCCTGACGCCCGCCACTTGCTCATTTCTTTATATTGACAGAGCTGATCTTGGGCGGGGTTTTGTTGTCTGGTTTTTGTTTGATTTTTAAAATCCTTTGTATGATCTTGTCACATGCATTAAACTAAACCCCAACCACAGGCAGAGAAAACCAATGAACCAATTTGTAAATTGTATTTCATATTCTGAAACTCTTTCTCTTTGAACTAGTCTTGTAAGTTCATGGAAACGTGCCTTTACGTGAAATTGATGCAGATTTGTGTTCAGACTTTAAGGACATAGTTTCTTTATACAAATACAACAATAATTATCAAGGAGGCAACATTTAAGTAGCGCCTACAAAACTTGTGTAAAACTTATGTGAGAAGTAGGTGCAAAAATCCCATAATTCTATAAATCAGAATAGTGACCCATAGGAAAGTAGAGCTCATTGTTGGGTTAACTGGTGTTTGCTGCTGTGGTTTTAGACATGGAGAAGTTTTCCGCAGCAGCACCACAGAGTCAGTGGCCTCCCCCCAACCCTCGCTGTGTTGTAGAGCCCTGTAGCACAGGAAACTACTGAAAAGGTGCTTCCCAGCAATGACTGACTCTCCTAACAAAATCATAGGGACCAGCCTCCAAAGCTACTCTCAGAGCGTCATCGATCTTCAGAGTTACCAGGCTTTCCCTGCTCTGCTGAAGGGAAAGCAGAAATGGCCAATGGGCAACTCCCAAGTGCTTTGGGACCTTCATCATCTGCTGACCATCCCGATCTGGAAATGGTTAATGTATAAGTTGTATACACAATGTATAAGATCAGAACTGCAACCTGAGTGGCTTCTTTTAATGAGTGTGACTGTATTATGCTATTAGCTTCAAGAAAAATTAAATCAGCCTGAACATGAAGATGAGTATCTGTCGGCCTGGTTACTTTTCAGAATATGAAGTTATATCCAGAGAGAATGGGTCATTCAGTGGGAAGAACAAGTCCATTCAAGTTACAAATCAAACCTTCTCCACAGTAGAAAATCTAAAACCAGACACAAGGTAAGTCGCCAGTGCTATTGCAAGAATGAAATGACAGCAGCCCTCTGTGTGTTCAGGGAGGGTATGGTTTGTGTCTCCTTCTTTGGCTTTCTGCACACACCACCAGATTCCTCTAGAGTCGTGTTTGGCAACTATGCAAGTTATTGGTGAGCATACAAGACCTAACAAGATGGTCTGGTAAGCTGATGGTATAGCTTTGAAAAACAGAAGGGCATTAGTGCCAAATGGTAATATTAAATACCAAAGTTTAGAGAAGGAAAAGTTTGTGGACCAGAGACACCTGGTTGTGCATGATGTAAACTAGATTTAAAGTACAGAAGAATTTAGCTGGCATGCTGGAAGGGAGAGAGCAAGGAAATAAAGCCATGTGATAAACACAGGTGAATGTAATAGTTAATGCTTAAAATAGCTAGAGACTAGTCCCAGACCAATACTTTGCTTTTGGGTCTTTTTACCATAGTCAAATGAGAACAGATTTCTGAAGGGATATAAATAATATTAGCATTGTTCTATAATAAACAACTTTTCTTGGTATCCCTCATGACACACTGGTACCAAGTAGTTTATATTGCTGTATAGTTTTGTGATAACTTTATAAATCTAAAATAGCCTATATTTTCTCAGTATATGTCATTATTACACGACATATAAGGGCCTTAGACATTTCTAGAAATGTAGTAAGATTTTTGCTTTGTTTTGTTTTGTTTTACATGGATAAGTAACCAAATTTAGCCATGTAAAACAAAACAAAAATCAAGGAGATTCTAAATGGATACAGCCAAACATTTCCTTACGAAAGTCAATATGCAAATTGCCGTCCTGGACTGAATTTCACTCTCTGTGGGACGTCAATTTCTTTCCTCAAATTCCACAACACTGTTTAATAAACTGCCTGTGCTTTCAGTTTTTAAAAAATGGCATCTTAAGTTATAGCGTACCAATGAGCATAGAAGAATTTTCAGAGGGACGCAGCTGAGAACGTGCTTGATAAAGTTCCTCAGTGTTGAGCAAGATCAGCAGAGGTGAGGACTGAAAACCCAGCTTCAGAGACTTATTTTGTAAATTTTACATCCTGCATCTTTCAGTGTCACCGATTAATTGAACTGAGTTGAACTGGGAATCGTTTGTGACACCAGAAGGAGCCTACTTTGGCTGTGGTGGCAGGGAGACTCTTCTAATCCTCTCAGGGGAAAAGGAAGCAACTAATTCATTATTGATGGTGTGCTGTGCATAAAACTGCAGTCATATACTGCAGAAATAATGGTTTTCCACAAGCATTTTTTCTTTCAAATTTTCTGTTTTGAGCTGTAATATGGAAATTTTTGCAACTGCAGATTTCCTTAAAAGATTTAAGTTATCCAAAAGAAGCATATTTTTCAGTAATGATAATCTTGGTTCCATTTTCTTAATAAGATTCACAGGGATAGAGCCTATTTTTACCATAATATTTATTGGGCTGGCCAAAATTGCATATGCTTTTTCCATAAAATAAAAAACACAGTTTTCACTTCCACCAATAACTTTATTGATTTGGATGTGTTGAGGATGTTGGCCTATCTCCCACTGTAGCCTTCTGGTGGGTAGAGGCCAGCGGTGCTGCTAAACACCTTCCAAGGCAGCCCCACAGCAAACAAGTGTTTGCCTTGGTACTATTGCAAGATGTCAATAGTACCAAGAAACTCTGCAAAGTACCACTTTGGACACATTCGATCAGTCACAGCACTTCTCCATACACCGCACAATTTTTTATGTGTTTCAGTTGTATTTTTAACCTTTTTTAAATTAATAAGGCATCATATGCTGAAAATGTTGCATATCTTCTCTCTTGAAGATTAAAATGGCTGCAGAAAAATTCACCAAGTTTGATAAGTTGTTTTTTAAATGCATGCTGATATGACAGCTGTCACAATACAATGTAACAAAATTATTTCAAATGAAGTTAAAGGCAACTAAGCATTACTAGAGCCATTGCACAGAAAAAAACCTAAAAGACCTTTTTTGGCCAACCCAGTATACATTAAAGAAAAAGTAAAAGAGAAAATTCACTTAATTTGGACTTTTTAATAGGTGAATTTGGGCTTACAGGAGTTGGATGATTTTTTTTCAGTTTCTTGCTTTATATTCCATATAATAAAAATGTGCTGTGTGGTTCACAGGAAGGAAATTGAAAGGCATCCAATTTCTAAATGTTCACTTGTACTCCTTTTCTGAATCAAACTGTCCTCAGATTTCAGAGTGCACCTATTAGCTATAATCAGAAGTTATTCCAGTGATATTTTAAACCTGATTTGTTTGTAAAAGGTTTGCGTTTCCATTCAGCTAACATTTATTAAGAACCAACATTGCGCTCAGCGGTGCACTTGCTGTTGTGGCAACAAACAGGAGTAAGAGTGGCCTTGCTCTTGCGGGGCTGGAGGCAAGGGGGCAGGCAGTCAGTTAGTAAGAGATCACTCCACACAGAGTGGTGAGAGCTCTGGTGGAAGTATGCCCAACCTGCTGGGGGAGCCCAGAGTGGGTGGCACCTCACAAAGGCCGGCGGAGTAGGAAAGAGCTAGGTGACTGTCTCAGGGGAAGTGTCAGAGAGAAGAGCACATGTCAGTGCAGAGGCTCAGAGTGGCATGGTTGTGTGCAGTGGACACAACCCTATTTTCACCAGTGTGAGGGGTGAAAAGTGGACCGAAGCAGTGGAAGCAGGGGGTGGAAGCCAGGTCGTGGGCAGCCTTCTATGCCAGGTCAGGAAAATGGGTCAAGAGATGGGGAGAACTTGAAGGATAGTAAATGGAGCAGGACTTGTTCTTTCATTTTAGTTCATTCTCACTTTCATTTCGTTGAAAAAGATCATTTTCATTAAGAGATACTTAAAATGAGTGACATTTAGTGGAATAAATCTACCGAAGAAGAACACTTTGTTAAGGTCATGTAAGAATGCCCTTTTGGCATCTGACCTAATTGGTCAGGTAGGCACATAAAAGTACCTTTGGGCTGAGTTGCATTTCATTCTGAAATCACAGGACCAATCAGGGATTCACATTCTGGTTGTGACTATGGTAGGACTCATGCTAACTGTTGCTGGACTTTGCCTCAGACGGAACTACAACCAAGCCCCCTTATCCTGCCCTCATGGTTTGTGTCCTGCCCGTGTCTCTTGTTCATCGGTGGGCCTTCGAAGGAACATCCCTACGGCCTGCTCTCATCTTGGGACAAGCAAAGCCCCAAAGAGGCGCTTTCTGAATTTGTCCTTGAAAAAGAGTAATGTTAAATTTAGTTTGGGAATCAGAACCCATGACTAGTTTCACTGCCAGTTATAAATTTGAGGCCATTCAGTGTGTCTGTATGTGGCTTACTTAATGTTTTTAGAGTTTGGTATAATCGAATGAAATTTGTTAGGATATAAAGACTATTCATGTTCATGTATATGATTTGACCAGGATTATATTTAAAAGTTGTATATCAGTAATTTCAAGTAAAGGACATTTTCCCACTGGGGGCAAATATAACGCATGTGGCTGGAGGGGCTCTAGGGAAACCTTTCTGCCCGCAGGACGTGAAACTTGGTGTGTTCCACAGGGCCCAGCACCCACGGGGTCCGAGGGTGCATCCAGGCTCTCTCAGCACAGGAATGCTAGACATTAATTTGTCTAATTTTGTGGGCAAAATGATTTGAGCTGAAATATTAAAAACTATTTGTTGAAACGCCATTAGTCGAACTAACTTAGTGAGTTAAGGAAGAATAAAGTGAAATCAAATTATTTCGTTTAACTTAAGGTTTCTGAAACCTAAAAGTACCTCAAGAAACAAAACTAACAACCATGAATCAGCTGGAAAGTATCATAAAATAGCATAAAAAAACATGCCAGCCCTGGCTGGCATGGCTCAGTGGATTGAGTACCAGACTGCGAACACAAGGGTCATGGGTTTCGATTCCCAGTCAGGGCACATGCCTGGGTTGTGGGCCAGGTCCCCAGTGGGGGGTGTGCAAGAGGCAACCACACATTGCTGTTTCTCTCCCTGTCTTTCTCCCTCCCTTTCCCTCTCTAAAAAGAAAGAAAATCTTTAAAAAATAATAAAAAGAACATGCCATTGTAGGACTTAGACCCAGTTCTGCAGTTCATCAGGAGAGAAAGCTCGTGGAGTACCTGAAACTGTAACTCGATGGTAAAGGATAGGAAGGAACGGGATAGGCTGGCAAGAAAGAGCAGCAACAGTATTCTTTCAAAGCAAATCCATGTGCATGACCTAGTGAAATACGATAGTCCTCAAAGTGACTACTGACAGCAAGGCTACAGCCAGAATAAAAAGATTACAAGTTCCCAGGTTAGGTCCATTGGCTTTTTTGATACAAACTTTTTTTCACACTGAATCACACTGTTAAGTCAAGATTTCATTCCATTGTATTTTTTTCTGCCCAACCATGGTACAAGGTTGCTAATAAGACACTATAAGATACAGAAGAGGTCCGTGCAGGATGTGGTTTTTAATGGCTTATAAAGAATGTCTTTGGCCACATTTCAATGCTTGGAGGAAATTTTATAATAAAAATATATGGTAAGAATGAATTTCCCAAATAGGCAAACTTTGAATTATAGCTGTTAAAATCCCCTCTGCCTTGGTTCTGGACTTACCTATTTGAAAAGCTGAAAGATAATAACTTCTGAAAGAATCACTATAGCTGCATTCCAGTTCTAGGAGGCATATGTAAACAATTTATTTAATAGCATTCTCCATCATTTTTCCTGACAAAAAAAAAATGACATGTAAAACAGGTGATAATCACTGGCCAATCATTACACACAGTCGAGGGTGGAGTAGAGAGCTTGGGGTTAGAACTTTTAACCCAAGAGAGTCAAGGCGGAGAAAATAGGCCTGCAGTGCCCCCAAATAGCCCACAGCGTGGGGCGGGCCAGCAGCTGTCTCGCTGCTGGGAGGGTTTGGCTCCACACCTGGCGTGCGATGTTTCTGTCTATAGAGACCAGAGCCGCACAGCTCTTCTGGGGCACCTG